CTGGAGCATCTGTCACCTAAGTTCAGGATGCCTCCTGTTGAGCGTGAACCTCGCGCAGCCCTTATCCTGAACCGGTTCACCCGCACGCTGACTGTCATGTTTGCAACCAACTCTGTGTCTTCTATTCTCGGCGTCCGGCCAGACCAGATCAAGGACAAGAGCTTTTACGAGTGCATCCAAGAGAATTGTCTGCCGGATGCCATCAGATGCTTGGAGAGTGCGAAGGCCAACGACTCCATTGCGTACCTAAGGTTCTGGTATCGAGACCCGAGGCGGCCAGAGGATTTCGATGGCGGCGATGATGAAGAGCATCAAAGCGGTAACTCGAGTGATTCGGATGGTGGCGGCGTTCAGCTTGACGACCAGCTCGACGGCCACATGGACATCGACGAAGATGGCCCTCAGATCAAGCAGGAACACCAGATTCGGCCTGGTTTGCCATCAAACCACAGCTCCACAGCACACACCGTAACCACAGACGCCTCGGGTTCAAGCAACGGAACGCAGCAGACTGCGGCCACCTCGGCTCCGTCTATCGATGGCGCAGCAGCCCAGCCGTTCCCGCCAGCGGGGCGCCCAAGGAACCGTCGCCAGGAGCCGCCTGCAGCCTTTGAGCTTGAGGCCGTCGTTTCATGCACGTCGGACGGACTCGTTGTCGTGATCCGCAAGGCGCGCCCCCCGATTCCAGCGGCTCATCCACCGCTGGTCGTGCCGACTTATACAAACGGCCTATTTGCCGCGCCTTGGGGCCAACATCCGATCCGGCCTCAAGCCCCGCAGGAGACGCTGCACACGTTCAGGCCTCCCTTCATGCCTCAGTACATGCCTCTGCGTGACAATGTGATGGATGCTGGAAGCTCACATGTCGACCACCTCATGAACTCAATCAGAGATGTTGCTGTTTTCGCATGGGCGCTCGTGGGCATCAATGGCAACCTTGCCACATATACGCGAGGTTTGCCGCGTGACCACGCCCAGCCTGACGGACTGCCTGTATGGGACCCGAGCGCTGGGAGCACCTCGTATCTCGGCCCGGAGAACCAGGCGGTCCGGCGTTGGGCAAACTATGACAAGGAGAAAAGGTTCGGCTCAACATCCTCGTACCAGCAAGCACACCCTCACGGCGCGATGTCACGCCACGAACACGTCCCTCAAAGCGGTATGAACAGCTATATCTACTCGCAGCCGCCGCCGCCCACATGGCCTGGCCTACAACCTGCTTATACGTCCGCTTTCGACCCTTTCACAAACAACAGCCATCGACAAGACTACCGACATCAACAATGTTTGCAGTGTCAACAAGACCGTGCTCACCGTAACCGCCATAGTCATCACCAGCCACACCAACAGCACCATCATCATCATCATCATCATCAACAACAACAACAACAACAACAACAACATCAACAATATCAACAGCAAGCGCATGGCTATGGGCATCAGCCAGCGTTGCAGGGCCCTTCACAGAACGAGATTCCGCCACCGTACAACGGACAAGGACATGTCAACAGACACACTAACGATCATTCCAATGACCGCTCCACCGGACACCCCAGCGGGGATTCTTATGGTCATTCCACTGGTAGCCCAAACCATCCGACCGGCAATAACGAGCCGTCCAGTGGCTACCGCTATCCCTGGCAGTAGTCAAAGAATCCGTGGTGAAGAGAGTGGCTACGGCGTTTGAGATATTGTTCAATTTTTGTTAATATTAGGAGTGGGCGAGGATGTCGGCTTTTCGAGGGGAAGCTTGCATGGTTCTTGGCAGACGGAACAAGGTGAATATACTGACGAACTTGATATCGATGAAGCAGCAGATTATGAGAAACTTGACGTTGGGTGTTCCGCGATTTCCTAGATACAGCGGCAGGAGAAGATATCCGCGAGGCCTCTACTCGCTCGCAAAGGGGACAAAGGCGTTTGGAGGCTTGTAAATAGAGCTTGTAGGTAACTTGACATCAACGTAATGAGCAAAAGCAGCACATCAAGCGCCAAGCCATGAGGACGCGTGATTCAAATCATTTACGTTTGCAAAGAATAAAGTCCGTCGGTTGGACTGTGCCTCGCAGGAGACAGTGCAAGTGACCAAGAGGGCGGTAATCCACAATGAAGAAGGCCAGGCGTTGAGGGGTGTCTACAATATCTAGGTACCTAGGCGCGATGTAGGTAAGTAGGTAATACCAATACCTACAGGTACATTAAACTTCAACTTGTTCTGGAAGGCGCTTGCCACAAGGGAGACCAAGTCGGGAGGGCGGACCACCTTTTTCCGGATCCAGGGAGCTTGGACCATAATACCGTGTAAGAGGAAACCGTGGACCTTCCCACCAGGGAGTCGCAAGCTGCTACGTACGTCAATTTGACATTCTGCCTATCCCATCTTGAGCTCAGAGAACCGCAGGGCCACTAGCAAACCAACAAACCAATCGGTGGCGGCATCGGCTCAACTGCACAATCGTGCAAGACTAATCAACAGGAACGGAGCATCGAGATTGCAGGTGTATCGAAACTACAAGACTTGCAACCATGGCATCTACAAGCAGACGGGACGATTACGCCAACCCTCCCTTGCCCGACGACGACCTGATTGACCCTGATGATGGTAAGGTTCTATGGCTGCCTGCAGGCTGTTGAAGCTCTTGGAGCTAATCGCATATTTACTTACAGCTGATCTTGACGATTTCGATGACCCTCTCGCCAATACATCATCACGTCAACCGCTGACGGGCAACATCGGCTCCGGCTCCTCCTCGTCGCGGCCGCTCAACGAGAACGCGTGGACCTCTAGCATACCTGGTGAAGATCGCGCTGCACCGCAAAACACAATTGACGAGTCGGTATGGGATACACTCCGCCGAGATTTGCTCGCCGTCTGGGCCAAGATGAGGGAGGTCCTGTATCCCAAGTACTTGCTTGGAGGGACCATGTTCGATGCTAACGGCATCCGAGGGGCATATGCAAACATTCGTGGGGCTGGGTTTTCCGGCGCTCGGGAAGAGATCACCGGTCTGGCCAGCCGTTTCATGGATTCGGAGGCGCTTCTGTCGCAGAACAACATGACACCGGGCCTGCGCGACTGGGATCTCTGGGGCCCTCTCATTTTCTGCTTGCTCCTCAGTCTTCTCCTGAGCTTCAACGCACGAGCTGATCAGAAGGACATTGTCTTCAGCGGAGTATTTGCCATGGTCTGGATTGGAGAGGCCGTTGTGACGCTGCAGATCAAGCTGTTGGGAGGCAGCATGTAAGTCAACTTCGTCCGTTGCAAGGGTGGCCTGTCGGTCGTCTCTCTTGTAAGTAAACAGCCGCTGACGAAATACGATAGCTCCTTCGCACAGAGCGTCTGTATCATAGGATACACACTGTTCCCGCTGGTGATCGCGGCGCTTCTCTCGGCCTTTGGCATCCCAACCGTCGCCCGTGTTCCCGTCTATCTGTTCCTCGTCGCGTGGTCTCTGGCCGCAGGCGTGAGTATTCTGGGCGGCAGCGGCGTGGTGAAGAACCGTGTCGGCATCGCAGTGTACCCGCTATTCGTTTTCTACCTCGGTCTGGGCTGCCTCTGCTTCATCAGCTGAGCTATACCTAGATGCAAGAGGAGAGCCAGAGGGAAAGGGTTGCGGGAACGGAGTTGCGCTGCATCTTCTGTGAGGTTGAACGAAGCAAAAACCTAGGGCGCGTACAATATATACTTTAGATATCCACGCCGGTGTACCTGTATGTTTTGGTTGTTTTTAGAGATGATGGCGAGCCAATGAATGCAAACGAGGAGTTTTCTGACTGCAATCTCGGCTGGCTTGAGAGAGAGAGAGAGCCAGCTTGCATTCACCGTGAATCTCTGCCCTCGGAGCGTCTTGCCTACCGGGCAAGGGGAATCTGGCAGGGACAATCATGTTATTTCACTTTCACCTTTGGATGGCCAAACTGGTTGAACACACGCCCATGGGAGGCAAGTACTGGCTCCAAGCGGCGTCAGTAATACCCCGAGAATATCAGAAAAGGCCATGTGCTCATAGCGTGCAGAGAACAATCTCATTTGGTTTCGTCATTGTAGCTTTAGCGACTGACTGCTGCACCTAGTGGTGGGGGAGGGCGGATCGGAATCATGCTTCCCCCGCTGTACCTATAAAATTTAGGTACCTACCTACCTATGTGCTAGGTACCCCTCTAGCTGCGCTGACACCCCGACGGCCCGGGACGCTGGGCATCCATCGACCACGGCGGTCGGTCTACACGTGGCCCCGGGTGGGCCACTGGCAAAATATTCAATCGAACCCGGGTCATTCCCACAAGTCATTTGGTCAGCTTAGCGAAATGCTAATAGGTGGCCCAGTCCTACTCTGGCAAAGTGCGCTAATGCACGCTGCCTATAACCCAATGGAATCCGCTCTCTACACTACAGCTACCTGACTTTAGGTAGGAACTGAAGGATGTCCTGTCGTCTTATGCGGGCCAGGGCGCACTCAACAACGATTGGACCGATTACCCGTCAACTCCAATAGTTTAGTCGGTCCCATCCAATTATTCCTCATTTCAGCAACAACGCCTGAACCTCGTCCCCGGAGCAAAGTCGGGTGAGAGAGCCAGACGCCGACCGGCCTGCTGTCACCCACCGCACCTAAACTTCTCCAACCACAAATCCAAAAGCCCAGTCGTCGCGCGACCACCCACCGACGTGCATCGCCGACTCTCATCCCATACTGATCTTGCCCACCCACTGCTCTTGTTGTGCAGATACTCCTTGTCTTTTATTCTTCGTTTTTTGCTTTTTTGGGAATTTTGTGAGAAGCCCGCAACTTTTTTGCCTGGGTCCTGCGCCGCTGCTCAAACTACCATCTGCCAGCTAACTTTGCGCTTGGCTTCTGGACAGCCGTTTGGCTCCGCCACTTGCCGGGTTGGACAGGAGAAACCTCCAGACCACCTCAACGACGAGGACGACAACGCCAACGCCGCTGAAACGACACGATACAACACGACAAGCCGGTTTGCCGCACCGACCTGCCACCATGGCCGACGACCCTCAGCCAGGCAGTCCAAAGTCTGACCCGATCTATGCAAAGGAAGACGCCGAGACTGCTGCTGCCCGCAAAGAACTGAAGCACACGGCTATTTCAGAGAGGCCTTCCGCAGATGGAACCGCCGCCGAGATCACACCCTCGGTGCCGCAGAACGATGATCACAAGGAGCGCCCTTCGTCGCCAAAGAAGAAGCGGGCACACGATCAAGTAGACGAGGACAAGGATGTTGACGAATTTGATGACAAGAGCGTCGCCTCAAGCGACTCGGCGAAGGATAGAACTGCGCGACTTGAGCCCGAAAAGAAGAGACACAGGGATGAGGTCGCTACCTCGGCTGATGCTGTACCCGATTCCTCCGTGTGTTTTCTCCTCTGCCGCCTCGTTGACATGGTCATACATACTGACGCTACGCTACTCTGTTAGGCGCCGCCCACTGCTGCTACCGCTGCCGACTCGGAGGCGAAGGAAAACGTCACTACCCAAGGCATATCTACGACATCACAGGGTCCTATCAAGGACGAAAAAAGAGGAGCGTCGACTTCCGCCTTTGCTAGCTCAGGCTTTGCCAAACTCGCAGCCTCGAGCGCATCCCCGTTTGGTTCGCTGGGGGGTGCAACCAAGGGAAGCGTGTTTGGCGGATCAGCATCTTCCGCCTCGCCCTTTGGTGGGTTGTCCCCTTCCAAGCCTGCCACCCCCGCTCCTGCTCCTACACCTGCTCTGAGCTTCGGCGGTACCAGTGCAGCATCCTCGCCCTTTGCCAGCGTTAAGCCCACCAGCACAAACGGCGGTTTCGGTTCGGCATTCGGCAGTGCCTTTGGCGGAGGTCTGGGCAGCAAGCCCCTTACTAGCTTCTCCAAGACGGGCGAGTCCTCGTTTAAGACCGAAAAGGCAGCCAAGCCATTTGGTGCCCCCGATAGCGATGCGGACGAAGGCAGCGACGAAGACACGGATGACGTCGCCGAGGCTGCCTCAGAATCTGGCGACAAGGATGAAAAAGAGGAGTCTGATAAGGAGGAATCCAAGGCTGTGGACGATAAGAAACGTACCAAGCTGCAGAAGAGTGAGTGGACGCTGTTCAACCTATGATTCGTAAACATACTAACTGGGCACAGTCACTGTCGACGATGGCGAAGCCGGTGAAGCAACCATACTCCAGGTCAGAGCTAAAATATTTTATCTAGAGAAAGAGGTCGGTTGGAAGGAGCGTGGATCCGGCATGCTCAAGATCAATGTTCCCGAGGCGTGCGTTCAATTTGACGAGGCTGGGTTGCCCGTGCCTGGTTCTTTTGACGCATCAGGCCTGGAAGAGGATCCCGAGGCCGGCGACAACAAAGGCCACAAGGTGGCCCGTCTCATCATGAGACAAGACCAAACACACAGAATACTTTTAAACACGGTCATTCTGCCCGTCATGCAGTTCCAGGAGAAAGCGACGTTGAAGTCTGTTGGGGTCATGTTCACGGCTTTCGAGGGTGAGGAGGCCAAACCTGTGAGCGTTCATGTCAGGGTATGTGGTCACCGGCGCCGCCGGCTTCTAGTTTGATGCTGCTCGCTAACTCTCGTTATCTAGATGAGTGCCGCCAGTGCAAAGTCATTCCTTAATGAAGTAGGAGTGATACAGAGAGAGTTATCGGGTAACTGAACACCTGGACCCCCAGGCATAGCGGTCTAATGGGCATCAAGTGGCGTTGCAGGCCGTGCACGTTTGTAAGACGATACAGATCCGGACGCATGGTATCACACAGGCAGGGCTGGTGTAAGCATTTCTGCAGGCGGGAGAGGGGCGGAGAAGATACAGGCATACAACCGGCGGGATGGCAGAGACTTGGTCTCGAGGGGGGCGGTCACTTCAGTTTGACTATGCAGCGCATTTCAGTCTCAGGTCGCTAATCTGCCGCGATACCAGCAAAGAGGGTATATTTCGATACGTTAGGTATCAATCAAGCAAATAATAAATGAGAACTACCCTCACTAGGTATCTGACTGCGTTGAAGAGCGCGAGATGAGACTCTCAATAGAAGGGTGACTGTAGGATGGATGGTGGTAGTCAAGGCCACCCGGCCCACGTGACTTGGTGGGGATTACGTGACGCAGACGACTCCCTTCATCCTGACGCTGTGGCGTCGTGTGTTCCATGTCAAGCCACTGATTCCCCATATGAGGTTCTCACTTTACACCAGCAAGCTAGGTGCAAGCTTGCCCACGAACTTATCATTTCCCAGAACTCTTCCTAGCTCAACTGCAACTTTCTACTCATGCTTAGGGAGGGACGGCCTTTGGAGGGCCACTGAAGCCCTGCGAACATGCAGTCCATCCCACCCGATGAGGAGCTGCCTGAAGTCCAGAAGTCACGAGGCAAACGGAAGAGACTGGAAAACGAGACGTCTATGGCAGTAAAAGGTAGGACAGCCGCTGTAATACCAGCAGACGACACATCAAACACTGAAGATACCGCCCCCACCGACAACCCGAGAACCACCAAATCCAAGAAACGGACAGCACCAAAGAAGGCCGGATCAAGTCTGAATCGCGCGGATAGCGCAGCATCCGTTGTAACTTGCAAGATGGAGTGGCCCGAACGCTTCAGAGCACTGGAAAAGACGCATCGTGCCCTCAACCTTGTGTTTACCTTTTGCTGCACCCGCAAGCACCTTGCCACCACCTTTGACACGATCAAGTCCGCGGTGGAATCACACACTAAAACGTCCCTTACGATTGAGGATGTTGCAGCCATTATCTCTATTCGCCCCGAGGGCGTCAATTTTGCCTATGTCGACGAGATCATGCTGCAAACAGAAGTCCGAGGTGCCGAGCGGGACGTGGTGTTCAAGAAAGGGCGAGATTTTCTCTCGCAGGCACCCGCGCCCGATGCCTCCGTTGGAGGGATCTCGGGCCTAGATAAATTGGATCATCACCCTGACGACCCTGTTGAAGGGGGAAGGGAAGTGTTGTATTTCGAGTTCGTGGACGGAGACCTAAAACGGCAGGTCAGGGACAAGAAGACGGGCGAGATCACCAAGCCCAACAGGAAGTTGAGAGACGAGACCCTTAAGATGCCCGTCTACAGCCAAAAGCAGATGACAAACTTAATTGAGCGGCGGAACCAAAAGTTCGGCGACGCCGTTAGCCTGTTCCTCAACCAATGCGTAGTGGAGGGTGTGGATCCCGAGCTGAAGTTGGCAAGAGCGACTGAGGCTCACATCCCACTGCCGACGATGCCAGAGCCACTGGACAAGAAACTCGGGGCATTACCGGGATCGATCCCGACAGAGCGCAAGAGCATTCCCGAAATCGTCCAGGAGCTCAAGGACAGTCCCTGGTACACGGGACAGATCGTCCCTGATGGGCATCGCGTGTTCCAGCCGCAGGAGCCCGTCTACGGTGACCTTAACTTCCTTCTCAGCCAGGATCTTGTTAACGCACTGTACAATTCCAAGGGGATAACCCAGTTCTTTGCGCATCAGACGGAAGCCATCAATGGTCTGCTGGAGGGTCAGCATGTCGTTGTTTCCACATCGACAAGCTCTGGCAAGTCCCTCATCTACCAGCTCCCCGTGATCCATGCTTTGGAAAAGGATCGGAACACCCGAGCAATGTACATTTTCCCCACGAAAGCTTTGGCGCAGGACCAGAAACGAAGCTTGAGGGAGCTGATGAGTTACATGCCCGGCATGGAGGAGGTGCTCGTTGAGACTTTCGATGGCGACACCCCGATGAATGAGCGAAACATGATCCGGGAAGAGGCGAGGATCATCTTCACCAACCCGGACATGCTCCATATAACCATTCTCCCGCAGGAGGAGAGGTGGAGGACGTTTCTGAAGAACCTAAAATATGTCGTGGTGGATGAGTTGCATTACTACAACGGGCAGATGGGCTCGCATATGGCCTTCATCATGAGGAGACTGCGACGAATATGCGCTGCTGTGGGCAACCGACACATCAAATTCATTTCTTGTTCGGCAACAGTGGCCAACCCAAAGCAGCACTTTGAGACCATTTTCGGCATAGAGAACGTGCGGCTAGTGGACTTTGATGGTTCTCCATCAGGTATGTATTCCAGCCTCGCCTCAAAATCAGTGTTTTTCCACTCACGCCAAACAGGCCGCAAAGAGTTTCTGTGCTGGAATACGCCGTACAAAGACCCTGGGGATCCAGCGAGTGGCAGAGGCGACGCAATGTTCGAATGTGCCCGTCTCTTCTGTCAGCTCATGCTCAGAGGCGTCCGAATCATTGCCTTCACCAGGGTCAGAGAACAGTGTGAGAAACTGGTCACCGCTGTACAACAGGAACTCGAGTCTCTTGGAAGACCAGAATGCGTCAATAGAGTCATGGGCTACAGGGGCGGCTACACCGCCCAAGACCGGCGGAGAATCGAGTCGGAGATGTTTGAAGGTAAACTCTTGGGTATTGTCGCGACTACTGCGCTGGAGCTGGGCATCGACATCGGAACCCTGGACTGCGTGCTGACCTGGGGGTTCCCATACACCATAGCCAACTTGCGTCAACAGAGCGGCCGGGCCGGACGAAGGAACAAAGACTCACTGTCGATCTTAGTTGGGGACTGTTTCGCTACAGACCAACATTACATGCAAAATCCCGACGAGCTCTTCTCGAAGCCAAATTGTGAGCTTCAGGTCGACCTAGAGAACATGCTGGTGCGGGAGGGACACATTCAATGTGCCGCATTCGAAATGCCAGTGAGGCCAGTTGAGGATGCAGAGTATTTCGGCAAGGACTTACCTCGGATATGCGAAGAGAGGCTTCTCAAGGACGCTTTGGGCTTCTACCATTGTCACGACCGATTTCGACCCATCCCTTCGAGATTTGTTGCCATTCGCGATACCGAGGATGACTACTTTGCCATCATCGACATTACTCATGGAAGGAACGAGGTCTTGGAGGAACTAGAAGCTTCGAGGGCGACGTTTACGATCTACGACGGCGCTATTTTCCTGCACCAGGGAAATAAGTACCTCGTCAGAGATTTTCAGCCCGACAAGATGATGGCACGAGTGGAAAGAGTCAAGGTCGAGTGGACCACGACGCAACGAGATTTCACCGATATCGACCCGATCGAGACGGAGGCCATCAGAAAGATCTCCGGGTCCCTGTCCAGGGCGTTTTACGGAACGATCAAGATCCAACAGAACGTGTACGGATTCTTCAAGGTCGACAAGAAGAAGCGCGTACTCGACGCTGTACACGTGGACAACCCTCCCGTCATCAGGTACGGCAAGGGGATGTGGCTTGACATACCCAAGAAGGCCTTACAGATACTCGCAGACAGACGCCTTCACATCGCCGCGTCCATTCACGCGGCGGAGCACGCCATACTTAGCCTCATGCCCAACTTCGTCATCAGTTTGCCCGGCGACGTGCGGACAGAATGCAAGGTGGCTCTGAAGGAGTTCGCCAAAAAGGAGTCGCAGAGGAAGAGACCCGGACGGCTGACCTTCTATGACGCCAAGGGAGGGGCCGGTGGATCCGGGATCAGTACCAAGGCGTTCGAGCACATTGATCACCTCCTCCAGCAGGCTCTCAAGCGGATCGAGAACTGTCGCTGCGAGAACGGGTGCCGAGAGTGCGTCGCGTCGGATCAGTGCAAGCAGGCCAACGAAGTGATGAGCAAGGCAGGCAGCCAGGTCATTCTCAAGGCTCTTTTGAACCTCGAGATCGATATTGAGGCGTTACCAATGGGACCTGAGGAGTACAGTCCGGCGGGCATTGAGACGGTTGTCGTTGCTCAGACTGTGCCAGCGAAGGACCGGAATAGCCTTGAGTTGGTTGAGATCAAGGACGAGGAATTCGAGGATTGTGGTTCGGTGCTTTTGGAGGAGGCTGAGGCTTGGGATGGCTAGCAGGACGAGGGATGAATGCTCACTGGCGCTTAGTACAAATCATGTAGACATAAGACCAAACCAACCAGGTACAAATCAGACATGGACGAGTGCAGATCTGGATTAAGAGATGTGATTAATAATCATGCTTGATAATAAGGAATCAAAGATAATATGGATCTGCTTTCTGATTTCTGTATCCTACTGATATTTATTCTATGCGCGTTTCATCTTACGTATGATTACAGGAAGAGAAGTATAATAATAATACGGATGAATGATACTCTTACCATGCCTCTAATCCCATCTTCATGCGACCTGGTCTCTTTTTCCCTGGCTTGAAAGGAAAAGAGGAATAAGTCTAAAATTGAGGGAGACTTCTGTCTTCACTATAAGGCATCCTATACCATTTCCTTGGTTTTGACGGGGGAAGGGTTCAAGATGCTCTGGCCTAACCAACCGGCCTGCCTTCGCACTTTAGGTATTCCTTGAAAGATAAGTGCCTTACACGTGAATGGCTTCACTGCAACAACCCTTTCCTTCCCTTTTTGTACCGCCCAACTGCTGCCTGCTACTTTGGTCTGGAACTTTGGCCCATCTTTCTATCTTTTCTTCCCTTATACAATCCTTACTCTTCTCTTATTTCCCTCACCTACTTGAATACTGTTTCCCACTCTTCACAAGCAATCTATAAACAGTAGCTTGTTTGTCCACTCACACCACACACGCACGCACACAAACACGAATTGCTTCCTTGATCTAAAAGATTGATGCTTTCTGCAAACCACAAAAGCTTTCTCACACCAGACTGGCTGTTAATCCAACACATCTCACTACTTCCATCCCAACTTACCTTCGTCTATCCAACCTGGCTGTCTCCATCTGGCTCACAAATATCCCTCTGTCGAATCAGCGCCTGCTCGTCACAACCGTTTGCTATCACCCGCAACGATATCAGTTTTCCAGAAAGTACTTCACACGCACGCAAGCCAAAATTCGACAATCAACAAATACTGAGAAAATAACTAGTGAGTAAATTTGCATGCTTCATTGTTGTTGAGGTTATTGTTAACAAAGACTAGAAATGCCTGTCAGCAACACATCTAACGCCAACCAAGCCGAGGCTCCTGTTCCGCTTGTCAACCTTGTCCAAGGCCAGGCCCCTGGAACCGCCCAGGAACAGCCTCTCGTTGCTCCAAACGCCATTATCCTGGCCCGGGCTCTCAAACCTAGTGTGCAACCTCTGGGACAACTTGGCACAGCTATGCTCACAGCTGCCAACTATGGTTCTGCCGACGGTTCCCTTAATAATGCCCCAGTTCCTCTCAATACCGCCGAAGCAGGTGCAGGCCGCGGGGTTGTCATGCCTTCCCGAGGAGGAGGAGTTCATCAGCGACAGTATCATCCCATGAGAATGGTGTCCCAACCCATAATCCGATATAATAATAATTCAGATCTCGAACGTGCCTTCCGTCAGGCCAGAGGATTTTCGGACCAATACCGCGGCGATGTATTCAACGACCGTAACATGAGTCTCAACATCCCGGCCAACGAGAACACATCGCTCTGGATTGAAGGCCTTCCGGCTGGTAGTACGACCCAGCTGCTCCTTGGAGCAGTTGCCCATGTTGGTTCGACAGGCAAGATATGGGCCTCCTACATCAACCCAGCCAACGCCGCTGACAACAAGCCGTATGCGGCGGCAAAGATCGTATTCTTCTCTCGCGAAGGCGCAGAGGGCCTGCTTAGGGCCAGCCATACCGGCAGGTTCTTGGTAGGCGGCCGTCGTCCACGCGTTACTTGGAATCGAGTCAAGACAGCAAGCCGAGGTGCCAGGGACAGCCAGAAATCTCGAGTGGTTTTGATCCGCGGCCCAGCCGAGTACGTCAACCAACCACGACTGAGCCAATGGTTTAGGGGGTTCTTCAGCTTTGAGACCGAGGTAGTCATCACGCGCGACTACTGGGTCAATGAGAGAGGTCAGGCCATGCAGCTCTTGGAGTGGCGGTTCGCGAGCACCCGCTGTCAAGGTGAAGCAGCATCCATGGCGATTGGCTTGGAGCTACGTGGAATGGTGGAATGCCGCTATGGATAGGACCCTTGTGCGTAAGCACCATTTCCCACCAACTCGTCACTGAGGAGACCCCTTTCTTTCGGCTCCGTCCTGGGCATGACCTGGTTCGGAGGATCTGTTTCCATTTTCCCTTTTCCCGTGGATTTTTAGACGCCGAATGGACACTGGGCGAAGAAACATAATGAAGGGCAGATGGTGGCAAGCAGGGAAAAATGGAGAGGCTCAGGGGAATAAACCAGGCCTACAGTGAACGTGAGACTGCCCTTTAGGATTCGATCGCGTGCGTTACATTACATTCGGCCGCTAGGTAGGCAAACACCACGAAAGACCATTTGTGATTACCAAAACAAACGGGATGTGTCGCGAGTGACGAGGGGAAAGGATGAAAAAAGCCTTTGCCAAGGGGCAGCAAGACAGGACGGATTGCTGGTGTATGTGTGACGGGTTTCTTAGCCTCTTTGGGTACTCGTGGCGTCAGCTTGGTATCTGGTCGCTGTAGCGTCAGTGCTTGGCGGCCTCCCTCACCGTGGTCGCAGGTTAGGTACTAGGGATTTATGTGCTGCAATTTGGTGCATCAATGCAGGCCATCGCCTCTGCCCGCTGCATAACAGCCCAGATACCACAAGCCTTGGCGGCCGCGTTTTGCGGGCGCCGATGGAAGAGGGGAGGGCTCTTGAGAATAAGGAAATCTAGGCCATGTCAGACTGGTCATCATGGCGACCAAGACAGGATGCAGCTGATCTGACCCCCCCCCCCCCCCCTTGGCTGACCTGACCTAGGCCCACTCTAACCCTAACCTTATTAAGAAGGAGGGTACGTCAGGTGAGGTATAATTAATTCTTCGAAAATTCATAGATACAGGTTAGGGTTTGTGGTTAGGGTCAGTGGTTAGTTTAGCGTATGGTATATGTTTATTCTTTTAGTGTTAGATAGCAGGGTGTAAGGGTTAGGGTTATGGATTGATCCTGGATTAATACAGGATTAATCTACATTTTTGGGTGGGCCTAGGTCAGGTCAGCCAGAGGGGGGGGGGGGGGGGGGGTACGTCAGGTCAGCTGCAACCTGCGACCAAGAGCAGACAAGAGAGCCGGCCAGTCAGTCACATCCAGCCAGTCGGCTGAGAGATGTGGTGGCTGGGGATGGCCTTGCGGGGATACGCTTTTGCTCCACCCACGATTGGGTCCTGCAGGGGGTCTGAAAGCTTGTGAGGTTCGTTGGGCCTCTTTATGGGCGCTACGCAGCTTGGGACGACGACAACAGCAACAGCATTCGGAACCCGCGGCGTCCTTTCTTTCCTCTCAGCACGAATGGGGGAAACACGGATTTCGCGTCAGCCTCATTTGCGGGCCGCAGCAAGGTATTATCCACACGAGGTTTCACGGCTCTTCAAAAGGGCCATAGAATGTTGCCGGGTGTACCCATACACCGTGATCCAAGCATCCAACTCGTCCACTCGTCCTACAATGCACCAGGATCCTGTCAGAGGTCTTGGCATGACGGCAAGCCTGACCGTGCCTTGATTCACGCACACAACGGTCATCCACGTTCTATGATTGCCCACAGCATCTCTCTCGTCTCTCACCCCATCAACCTCTAACCCTTCTCGTAGCGCCTCGGTTGTGAAAAGCAAAAGTGTATCGAGTGTTACCCTGACGATGGCGCCCTCTCTTTTCGACCCTTTTGGACGCTCATTGACCTTGTTGAACGCCGTCAAGTCGGATTGACAGGTGGTTCTCGTTCCGCAAGAACAACAAGACGCTAATTTGGGACCTATATCTACCCCCCGTCGGAAAACAACAACAGCAGCAGCAGCAGCAGCAGCAGCAGCTACAGTAACAAACACGCGAGAAGCTGAGGTTGAAACGCTCTCGCCCGCAACCCCAGTTGCGGCCCAGCCCAGCCACTCCTCCGGACCAGGCACCCCAGTTACCGCTGAGAGCCTCGACCCGGCGGACTGGACCTTTTTCACCAAGACTGGAGAATAAGGGCCCTTATTTCCCTGTCTCTTGACAAGCTCGGCATCTTGCCCCCCCCCTCTCTTGGCCATTCACATTCGGCCACACTTTCAAGACCCTTGGTATTGGAGCTGTTCTGTGCACACATCACCGTCAACTATCCCAGCACCGCGGGCTTACCCGCTTGACTACACCCTCTCTACGACTACTACCTATATATCCTCCCATTCTTTTGTATTCTTGTCGCAGCGACCGTTTGTTTGTCTACCTTGCTCAACCGTCTTGTCCAGTTACACGTTCCGATTCGCCGTCATGTCGGCTCCTCGATCCCCCTATCGCCAAACCCATCGCCAGTCGGCCGGCCCACGGCGACGAGAATCGAACCACCCCATCATCTCGCCCGAGAAGGCACGCACCTCAAGGTACGCGGTTAGTGAGGAGCTGCCCGTCCACCACGGTCGCCATCACCGAGCCCCTCCGCCGGGAAGCAGAGTTAAAGTAAAGCCTTCCGGCGAAAGCGGCCGCACAGGCTTCCATCCCTTCAAGTTTCTCAAAATTACTTGGAAGTCCTCAAGCCGGGCGTCCCTCGTTTGTAACTTCTTCTGGCCCGTGGTCCCCGCCGCCTTTGCCGTTCGTTGTAAGCCGTTCATGACGTCGAAGGTCTAGACACTGGCAGAACTAACACTATATGGACAGACACTCGCCCACAAGACCACGTCCTGATCTTCATTCTCACGTACTTGGCCATGATTCCCTGTGCCAACATGGTCGGTTTCGCCCGGCCAGGAACTATCGCGCAAGGTTAGCCACGTATTCGGCGTGTTGATTGAGACGACGTGAGCCACTTACCTCCCTCCCTCCCTCCTTCCCACGAGTATGCGCGCTTCTTACTTACATATATCTACGTTCTCAGCTTCGGTGCCATCGTTGAAGTCATCCTCTTTATGGTGCTATTAGCAGGCGACCAGTTCACTGTCATTAAGGCTGCTATTCTCGGTTCGATATTAGCGACAATGCTCCTGTGTCTAGGATTATGCTTTATTGCTGGCGGCATACGACGAGACGAGGCTGAGTTCAGTGAGACCGTCAGTGAAGCCGGTAGTGGCTTGCTACTCACGGCGCAAGTGGAACCCGCCAAGTCTGGACACCTCGACTGGTTGCTGACTTTTTGATAAACAGAGGGGTCGCCTTGGCCATTCCCGCCCTCTTTAGCTACTCCATGGCCAAGTCGCTTACGGTTGAGGAGCTCAACAGCAAGACGCTGCATATCTCACGACTTGTGTCTGTCTTGCTTGTTATAGCTTATAGTGTCTTTGTGTTGTTCCAGGCCCGGACGCATCACGGCATCTACGATGCCATTTTCGAGCGCGACGAGCAGCGCGACCGTGACAAGCACAAGGACATCAACAAGCCCAAGCTGACGCTGACCGAGTGCATTATAGCCCTCGTCATTTCCATCACGCTTGTGGCATTTATGGCCATCTATCTTGTCGAGCAGATCCATCCCATTGTGCTGAAGCATGGTATCTCGGACCATTTTATGGGCCTCATCCTCGTGCCTCTTGTGGAGAAGGCCGCCGAACATCTGACGGCTGTCGACGAAGCATGGGATAACCAAATGAACTTTGCCCTCTCCCACGTCCTGGGCGCCACACTACAAACATCCCTGCTCAACGGTCCGCTCGTCGTTATTGTCGCCTGGGCCTGGCACAAACACATGGATATCGTCTTTGAGGTCTTTGATATTGGCATGCTTCTCCTGTCCATACTGACGGTCGGCAACTTCCTGCGCGACCAGAAGAGCAATTACTTGGAAGGCTTCCTATGCGTTATCGTCTATCTCGCCATCGCCGTTGCGGCCTTTTACTACCCCAACCCGGAGGGTCTCGGCGAGCACTAAGTGTTTAAGGGAATCAAAGGCGGCGGTGTTTCACGACATTTATGAAAGAAGGCGTGCATACGACCCACCTAGACTTTTTTCTTCATCTTTTCTTATTGTGTATTAGCCGGTGTTTGCGGTGTTTTGATGGTAACAAGAGCCTCTTACGAATAGAAAATAAAATGGCGACCGTCTGTATATGACCCGATCTGATTCCTACCCCCCCTACCCAAGGTCCAGCAGAGCGCTGTTGACGATCCGGCTTGTAGCTACGTCATGTAGGACGCATTTCCGGCTTGACGGACAAGGGCTTAAACCCCCAACAGAATGGAACGGAGTTAATCGCAAGGTGCCATGAGGGTATTTGTATTTCAAAACACTCGTGACGGAGAAAGATAATGATCCCATCTCTGCGCCCGTTCTGGTAAGTTTCAGCACCCCGGGGCCGCGTGCAACTCGCATTGTGTTCGTCGTCATGGTGGAGGTGTAAATCCCTTCAATTGCCCGCGGAGATGCCCCCAAAACGCCAAATAGAGACCCGCTGATAAGCACACCGAACGCCCGTGCCATGTAGTCCCCACCCCCACCACACCTCCGATCTTCTACCCAAGTTTCAGCCGCTTAGAACGGAGTACGGAGATGCTCAATTCTCCTCCATCTTCCCATTCTCGATCAGCCGGAACCCCCCCCACTCACCCTCCTTACCTCCACACACCCCCCGTCCCAAGACGTCTAGTCGTCCGAGGAGATACCCAACTTGGGAATGTTTGACCTTCCATCTGTCCACCAAGCGAAACAGAAACGACCGACTTAGAAGAAGACCAAGTCGTTATCCTTCCAGCCGAGGCCCCCAAGGGTGGTGCGCACGCATGCCTCAAAGGCCTCGGGCCCGCACACGAGGACGAGCTCGTCGCCACCCGCCTCGTTGGGGTACGTGCCCACCTTGTCCACAAAGAACTTGCCATCCATTCGACCAACGAAACCTGTCCACGACGCATCGGGCTTTGTGAGTGAGTAGAGCAGGCGGCACCTGTCCGGGTTGGCCGCGGCCATGGCGTCGAGCTCCCCGCGGCAGAGTATGTCATCCTCGGCGCGGTTGCCGTAGAGCAAGAGACACCTCGTCGGGTCAGCGGCGTCCTTCATGACGGCTCGCAGGACCTGGAAGATGGGCGTGATGCCCGAACCCGCGCAGATCATGATGAAGCGCTTGATGGCGCGCTGCGACCTGCCGGCAATGGAGCAGAGCCCTTTGCCGAGATACTCGAACTTGCCGACGGGGCCCTTGAAGTCAACAAAGTGGCCAATGGGGATGGAGTTGAGGGCCTGCGTCATCTTGCCGCCCTTGCGATCCGGCGTATCGTAGTAGATCTTGATGAGCACGTCGAGTTTTCCCTTTTCGGTGCCCTCGGAGATGGGCGTGTAGGCGCGAATGATGGCCTCGCGGGTGACAGGGTCGCGCAACCTGATCATCAGGTGCTGGCCGACCGGCAGGCCAACCATCTGGCCCGGGTGCTCAAGCGTGAAGGTAAAGATCTTCGAGTCGGACGAGGCCTCCCTCTTCTCCGAGAGGATACCCTTGGTCCAGGTTTTGGTCTGCAAAAAGACAGACCGCGACGTCTTGTCATCGTTGTCTGGCACGATCTCGCCTTCGGCAAGCTTTTTCCGGCTAGCTTCCTCTAGTGTGCCGATGTGATAGTCGGGCATCATCTTCTTAGCATTCTCGCTGTCTGTAGGGGCGGCTCGTTAGCAGATGCATGGGCTGCGTGGTGAGGGCATTGACTTACGGATGGTTAAGAACTCCTCCGATACGTCTTGGCCGGCGGCGCCAAAAATGGAGGCGGCGCCGCCGGGGTGGCCCTCGAGGAAGGGGGTGCCGTCGTAAACCTCGCCGTTGACGACAAACCATGGCTGCTCCTCGCCGACATGCTGGCGTAGCTCCTCAATAGTGATCTTGCGCTTGACGCCGTCCCTGGTCATACAGGTCTCCTTGATCTCTTCCGGCACGGTGGCGTTCTCGGCCTCTCCTTCGATTTTCTCGCCCCAGAAGCCGTTGGACAGGTTGCCTCCCGCCTTTTTGACGCGCTCCATCCATCCACCGGCAATTAGTGCCGGCTGAGTCGGATGCTCGAAGCGAAGGCTGTGGTCCTCCTTGTGAATGACCACTCTGAACCACGGGTTGTTCATCATGCCCAGTACACTCCAGTACATGTCTCTCGGCTGCACCATCATGCTCTCGTCCATAGCACGGACCATGATGTCTGCCGCGTCGGCAAGCTGAACGATAGGGATGTCCAGGTTCCAGAAGCACCAGCAGAAGCTGGTCTCCCTCCAGTCCATATCGACCCTGCCGCCGTAGAGTGTCTCTCCCTCGGGAGCTAGCCGATATGTGTCTTCGGGATAGTCAATGTTGGCAAGGAGCCAAGTCTTGCCGCGGTCCAGGGTCACTTCTACCCTTGTGATTCTCCTGCCACCACCACCGTATGCGTAACCGCGCACTTTGTAGGAATTTGGCCCGTCGACCAACGCAACAATCTCGTCGTGGGCGGGGTAACAGGTGGCGCTGTTTGCGTTGAGGTCGTAGATGGCGTATCGCTCGTCCTTCCACACCTCCGGCAGGTCTGCACTGGCGTCAGGGGAGACCGTCGTGGGGAGCACTCTGTTGTCGTAAATGTGGTACCAGTTGTTGCTGGGCTCCTTGGTGACGATGATTCTCTTCAGCCACTTGACACTCCTACCACCGATCTGACCGGGAATGATGATGCGGACAGGCTTTCCGTGGTCAGGGTGCAGCAGCTCGCCGTTCATGCGGTAGCATACAGTCACCCCGCGGTTTGGGTCCATGCACCAGTTGAGCTTGATGCTCGTTCCGTAGTAGCCGTTGGGTAGCTTGTCGGCGCCCTCGAAGCAGACGTACTTTGCACCTCGCTTGGGAATCGCCCGGGCAAGGAGGTCGCCGATCGACACACCGGTCCAGAGAGCTGTTGACAAGCCGGCGGCGCCCCAAGAGAAACCTTTCGATTTACGGACCACATTCTGCTCCTTTCGGCGGTTTCCAGCGCAGACCAAGGTGACCGGGTAAGTGATTTGTTCGTAGTCCGAGATGAGATCTCTTAGCGTCATCTTGATGGGTTTCTCAACCAGACCCTCAATTGTGAATTCCCAGTCAAACATGTCCTCATCGTCAACTTTGGGTACGGCTCCGTGGTTCCGAACATAGTGCAGGTCCTTGGTGGTGATGAATCCTTCGTCGTACAAGTCGCTCAAGGGGGCCTCGACGTTGAATGGGTGGATTCCGGTCAGGCGTATTAGTCGAGGGTCCCGGGTAACGTGGTTGTCTGGTGTCTTCAAATCCTCGGCCAGGACCTTGTTGGTTCTTGATTTGGGAGGCAAGGGGTAGCTGCGAGGACCCTCGACGCTAGGCTCGTCCAGTAGACCTCCCGAGACTGAACAATCCGATCCGCCGTCGACGCTGTAGGATAGACCCTCCCTAACTGTGGTAGCCGGACTCGGGGGGAAGCCGAGATCTGTCTTGGCGAAGGTTTCCCTGAAGGTAACGGGGACAGGAGAATGAACGAACTCCATCGTGACGAGGGTCACAGCTGTTGTATACGGTCTAGGCCCCTGGGATCGAGAGGGTTATAACGGTATACTAAGGATGACAAAGCTCCAAACAGTAGTTGTTCTGTGCTGTAATTCCAGGCCAGGCAGAAAAGAAAGAAAAGGCGGCTTAAGCGTTATATATCATAGATAAGGTCCGAAGATAAGAGGTCAAGATGTGACTAGGGGCCAGAGACAGCAGAGCAGGTAATTAGAGGGAGAGCTAGAGGGAGAGCTAGAGGGAGAGCTAGAGAGAGGGAGAGAGGGGGAGAGCGAGAGAGATGGGATGCATTTTGTGGAAGCCGGACAACGATGTGAATAAGTACCACATATTGAGTAGACTGGCGGATGTGAGATTTGAATTTCCTGGAGCCGGAGTTGGGCGCTTATGGTGTGGGCGGATCGGACGCACGTCAGATGGGACGGGTAGCATGGGATGGGCTGGTACAACACCGCGACACCGGATAGGGTGACGCTAGGGCAAAGCAGACCAAGAGATGACGCTGCCCCGACTGGCCTTGAGGCGGGCCCACGTTTGGGCAATTCCACAATGGCCGCTTGCTTATACGAATACATACCATAGGCATTTGAGGTCCCTGGCCCTCTGTGCCTGTGCCAGCCAAGGTCCAAGTACCGTGTAAGTGGAATGCACCCGGCGTCCAGAAGTAGCTTGACGGGTACGGCACGGTATTAGGCGAGGAGATGCGATATCCTAACCAGGGTGTGTGTTTGTTAGGTCTGAATGCTGAAATGTCCGCGGAAGAAGACCAACGTCAAGTCATCAACAGGCGCTATTTTCTTATCAGCAGGCGTCATATTCTTTGCGGCCATGATCTTGACGTCGACCGTTGACTGATGCTATTGGGGCGATAAGGGCAGAAAGCAAGGGGGACGAAGGGAGCCTTCTCAGCGCGGAGATGCGTCAACCGCCAGACCACCTACCTACTACTAAAAGTACTCTGTACCTAGGTATGGTATTTCTATCGGGCACCCCCTTGAAGTCCTGGTTGGCCAGATAAGGGCGGTTGGACCCGGACCTATGCCTCTGGGCCCGAAAATGGCCCGTTGGAGGGTTCCGGAACAGGCCCTCAGGGCACTAGGAACTATGGCCACCATTTATGCCGGCTTCTGTGTCGCTTCAACTCTTGCGACCTTTACTTTTCCAAGGCATGTAAATGCGACCGCGAGAGCCTCATGTCATCGCTCTTCGTCATCCCGCCAGACGCCCCTTTTACAGTGCCGAGAGATGGTGATCGACATTTGAGTCTCTTCGGATTAATCTCATAGTGCTAGTAGCTTCTTTGGCAATTGTCAGCAAAGGACTGAATGCATTGGCGGACGCACATCGACCTGAGTATTGCAATGCACAGTAAATACTGCAGCATGTATATGCAGAGCATGGCTCCCATCAATCCATACATACAGTACACCCTAGTTCGCTAGGGCTCCCCCGGCAAACATCAAAAGTCGGGCGATGGGTCGGAACATGAAGCGAGGCGCCTTGTGCCCTTTCGGATAATTATACCAACAACGTAGCACGTTATACAACGTATAAGCTAATGTAACCAGCCGTGAAGAATAGCCCGGACCTACACGACTTACAGCCATCTATCTATCTCTCTCTCTCTCTCTCTCTCTCTCTCTCTCTCTGCCCTAGTCCACAAATGCTGTCGTGTGTGGGTGTGGCGGCGAAGGCTCGAGTGGTGGCATGTTGCTGCGACATACCGATGTAACCATCACGAATTACTGTCTGGTCTACTGCGTGGTCGCATAGCTCTATGTCCTCGTAGCTCCATCGGGTTCATACGGGCAGAACGTCGACAGAAAACGGGGGGGACGTCGCCAGTCAGTGGAGATATAGTTTTAGACAGCCAAAACGACCCACAAGCCAGCAGGAATTCCCACGCAAGTCCCTTGCCTTGTCCAATATCAAGTCGCATATAGCGTGATGATACCGTTGGTGGACTAGAATTTTGGATCGACGAGCTTGGGTTAAAGATCCCTCCGTCATTGGACAATCGACAGACATTGTGGCAATTCAAATTTGACTTGTCAACTACGATCTCATCTTCGCACCCCCCTCCATTCGTAGTAGGCCTTGGGGGGCTAGATATAGTCCGATAGCTCTCGCTGTATCGAAACAAGAGGTCCTTGTTGCTAGCCTATAAGCCGAGATCAAGCCATAATAACGGAACTGCCATTTGCGTGACAGTAGCCTATGGGATAGCCCTCCTCGACCTCGACTCACTTCAGCTCGCTTGCTTCAACAACTTGTTGTTTCCAGTGGTCAAAGACACCGAGGCGAGAGAGTGCTCAAGCACATGAATGTGGAAAGGTCGGCGTACTGTCGGCCCGGCCAGGGACAGATGTACGGTCGCCTGGTGCAATAAAGTCACTTCCAAGGCTCGGCCCCACCTCTTCGCTTCATTGTAAATCCCTCCGAAGACAATTCTCAAGGGCGCTAGAATTACTGTGAAGTGAGTGCCCTACGCGAAAGCTATAGGCCTGTAGCAGGGTACTACCTACCTACCTATGCGCTGAGTGCTATTTTGGTTCCTCTCTATCCGAGTTCCAACGTAGGTAGCTTTCAAAGGAAATTCTGACTTGCCGCCTGCCTTACTTGTGTCATAAGCAAGGCACCTGCGCGGATTAAGGCTCATGGTACCTACCTGCCTCCCTTATGCAGGTACCTGCGTAGACAGCAGTGAATGGCTCACGTCGTAGGTACCTTGTTTGTACGTCCAGGAGTCCAGCAAGGCTCCCTGTGATGTGGGGAACGTCCAGTCCCTCTAGTGTAGGAATTCGAGGTCGCTACCAGGCGCCCGCTAAAACACAACCGCCTCCGCCTCCGAATTTCTGCAGATCGGGCTACAGCCAACGGCCCATCACCTTCACGCCAGGTCCAGAATTCTCTCAGCACCGCCGAGCTTCAACGGCACCGAATACCACAACCCGACAGGATCACCTGCGCTTTCAGGCTCGGCCTGCTGCTGCAAACCACCTTACCGATGCCGGCCCATGTTGACGCGCAGAGTCACATTCGTTTACGACACCCTATCCCATAGCATCAACCTTCGACATCATCGCTGCGATCCTGCCTTATGTAGCCCTTGTCCGCATCCGACCTCTTCACACACAGCAAAACATTTACACGATCCGCCATGGATCGTGCAAGGAAGCGTCCGTCCTCCCCACCCGCCGCTTCGTCCTTCGTACATCTATAGTTCGCTGACACTACCTACCGTCCAGGCGAATTGCGCTCCTTAAACAGTCGCGCCTGGGATGGCGACCAAGGTTCGTGCACCATGCCCAAACCCCACCACGCCGAATGCCACTCCTCTGACTGCCTTCTACCCACCTAGATGTGTTCGCTGTCAGCAAGTCGCTCGATTCGTCCCTAAAGAAGAACACCGCTTTCATCAAGCGCCTTCGAACTGCCATCTCAGCAGCCACCCTCAACACCTTCCTCCAAGAGATCCGCACCCTCAGCCTACACAAGTACCTCTCCGAGATTATCTCTGCTTGCTATGAAGGTCTCTGTAGGCTCAAGTCTCCGGGCGAAATCGAGGCTGGCGTCGAGATTGTGAGCGCTCTGCACCAGCGCTTTGGTCCCAGAGAGTTCACCGAAAACCTGGGATGGCTGCTTGGCAAGGGAATGGCAACGCCTGACAAAAGCTTGCTCAAGTCGCTGGCTCCTGAGGTCCGCGAGAAGGAGGAGAAAGAGCGCTTGACGCGCCAGCGAGTGCTCTTGCGCGTCGTCACCGAACTCTGGCTGGTTGATGTTCTTCGAACCCTCGATGACGTTACACGACCCGACGATGCCACCAAGGGCGCCACAGGCAAGGTTGCCGAGCTGAAGCCGAGGGCTCAAGTGAACAAAAGCGGCGCTGCTGAGCCCTTCCCCCTTGAGGTGCTGAAGGATCTGTTGGGTCATGACAGGGAGCATGTCAACTTGCCGCTACTCGTCATCTTCGTCAAGGCTTTCAGCTGGGATATTCTAGGTGTAAAGTCCTCGGCAGCCGAAGGACGTAAAACTGTGGAAGAGGATGGCGCAACTAAGACGGCCAATAACACTGCGCAGGGCGACGGCGGCGGCGGCGAAGAAAATGTTGGGGATACCGACGACCAACCATTTACGCCTCCGGAGCTCCAGGAAAAGTTCAAGACCATCCTTAAAAAATACTTTGAGGACGTCAAGAGCCACGTTCTCCGTGACCAGAAATCCATCCACTCCCAAGCTCGACGGAACGCCGAGGCCTACGTCAAGTCTGGCGAGGTCTTCGAGGATCGTCAGGCGAACTTTGAGAAGCAGCTCAAGGCCCAGGAGAGGCTTGTGGCAAATGCCCAGGCCATCGCGGATGCGATTGGCGCCGACATGCCTGACCTGAAGGACAATGACGACTCTTTGGCGAACACCAACGGATCCATCGGTTTGGTCAAAGCTGGCGATTATCTACGTGGTCTTGGGGACGGTGCTGGAATCTGGGAAGATGAGGATGAGCGACGTTTTTACGAAAACCTGGTCGATCTCAAGGGGAAGGTCCCTGGAATTCTCCTTGACGACGGCAAAAAAAAGAAACCGGACAACGAAGAGCAAGTCGGCAAGAAGATCGACCCGGCGGATATCCCAGACGCACCGAAAGGCCCCGACGCAGGCGAAGACCTGTCCACTTCCATCGCCAACAAGACGATTGGTGCGCAGGTCGATGCCGTGTTGGCCCGACTGCCAGACCTTACCAACAAGGACGTCATCGATCAAGCTGCCATCGACTTCTGCTACTTGAACTCGAAGGCCTCCCGAAACAGATTGGTCAAAGCTCTGACTGAGGTCCCCAAAGGCCGAGGCGATCTTCTGCCTTCGTGGTCGAGGCTTGCCGCAACCTTGGGAAGATACATGCCAGACATTCCCAAGGGGCTCGTTGACTATCTCGATGCCGAGTTTCGTAGTCTTCAAAGACGGAAAGACAAGGACTTCCTCGGCCAAGTCCGATTGAGCAACATCCGGTACCTTGCCGAGCTGACCAAGTTCGGTATCGTGCCGGAGCATGTTGTCTTCCATTGTCTCAAGGTCAGCCTCGACGATTTCTCAAGAATGAACATTGAAATCATTTGCAATCTGCTGGAGAACTGCGGACGTTATCTTCTAAGGAACCCGGAGACTTCGCCGCGCATGGCAACCTTTCTTGAAACACTGCAGCGAAAGAAGTCTGTCCAGCACATTGGGCAGGCTGAACGTATGCTGATTGAGAATGCGGTCTACTACGTCGACCCTCCCGACCGGCCCGCTATTCAGCAAAAGGAGCGAACTCCCATGGAGCTATTCATCCGCAAATTGATCTACATGGACATGACTAAGCGTAATTACAGCAAGATCCTGAAGCAGATACGCAGACTTCACTGGGAAGAGGCTGAGGTAAGCCGAAGCATTAGGAACTCGTGCATTTCTCACGGACTAACCCATTGCCAAAAGGTTGTCGGTATCCTCGAGAAAGTCTTCTCCAAGCCCGGCAAAGTTAAATATGGCAACATTCACCTCCTTGCTATCCTCCTCAGCGCTCTTTATCGTTACCATCCAGCTTTCGTCGTCAGGGTCATCGACAATGTCATGGAATCGATTTGCTTCGGTCTAGAGCAGAACGATTTCAAGTTCTACCAACGACGGATCTCGGAAGTCAAGTACATTGGCGAGCTTTACAACTATAGAATGGTCGAGCATCCAGTCATTTTCGATACCATGTACAAAATCATGACGTTCGGCCATGGTGGTCCTCCTACCCCCGGTCGACTAAACCACTTCGACCTGCCAGACGACTTCTTCCGCATTCGCCTGATTGCAACCATCCTGGAAACATGCGGCATGTACTTTGCCAAAGGCGCAGCAGGCAAGAAACTAGACTACTTTTTGTCTTTCTTCCAGGTTCGTGCAGTGCTAGACTTTGTCATTGATTCTGACTGACTCGGTGAAGTACTATATCTACACCAAACAGTCGCTGCCCATGGACATCGAGTTCATTGTTCAAGACACATTTGCCCTCACGCGACCGCAGTGGAAGCTGGCATCCAATTTGGAAGAAGCCTCAAAAGCATTTCAACTTGCCATAGCCCAGGATCAGAAGCTTTCTGGAGCCGACAAGACCCTTGAGGCAGATGACGCATCGATAGGCTCTTCGTCGGATGACGAAGATGGCGATGAACATCTTCCTGAAGCCGAGGCCGATGAAGAGGAAACGGATTCTGAAGACGATGGCGTCGAGGTAGAATATACTTTTACCCCCGTCTGCTGATATAGAGGCCGTGACTAACACATTGAACAGGACCAAGACGCCGACACATCGCGCGCAGAATCTGACAGCGAGGATGAAGCCATTGTCGTCACTCGCCAACAGGAACAAATAGACCCGGAGGCTGAAGCCGAATTCGAACGTGAGTACGCCAAAATGATGGCCGAGAGTTTGGAATCGCGCAAATTCGAGCGTAAGCCTCTCTTCGACGTGCCGCTCCCCGTACGGGGCAAGTCCAAAGAGACGGCAACCGGATCCGAGCCAGTAGAAACCGGAGCTCCCGCTCCCAGCAACACGATGGCTTTCTCTCTTTTGACGAAAAAAGGCAATCGCCAACAGGTTCGTGCAGTTACGGATGTCCGAGTCAACTCATGACCTTTCTGACATTTACAACAGACCCGAACTGTGGAGCTTCCTTCAGACTCGACATTCGCTGTCGCCATGAAGACCCAGCAGCAAGCTGAAAGGGAAGAACAACAGCGCATCAAGAACCTTGTTTTGAACTACGATCTTCGAGAGAACGAGGATCCCGATGGTAATAACTACCTAGTGTCACCACTACACCCAAACCCAAATATTTACAAGACCCAAGCAGGCCACGACAAGCCGACGTCCTACCACCACAACCGATCGGATCGCGGCAAAGACCGCGGCGGACAGCGAGTCCGAAAGCTTCAGCTAAGTGATGTTGATTGGTACGAATCGTCAATTAAGCGTGGATCATGCTTCATGCAGGCGACTACACCCTCTTCCCACTCGGACGCGGAGCCCGGCAACCGACGATGATGGGCAGTCGATGGCTACTCCAACACACCATCACGTCATGGTCCGCAAGCATTGCATGATGGTTGTTGGTTCCGCGTCCAAGCTGGAAGACCGGAAGGAACAGCCTCGCAGGGGTCGTAAATACCAGTAGAGTTTGCTAACGACGGGAAATTCTTACTTTGACTATAGGACGTGAAGGGATCAAGCCACACAGGACTAGGTTCTGTGTAGGACACATTCACCATTGCAGTCTAACAAACGCCGCCGAAGTAGACCGCCGGATTGCTGAAACATCCAAGATTTTTCAAACCATAGGATGACTCGCGAGGCTTACCGAGGTACACGAAAAATGCCGGGCGTAAGAAGTAATCAAGAACGGGTATGATGGTTGTTGAGGCTTTTGGGAGCTTCGTCCAACTGATACTCCAGACCGACAAGCCGAATATTCAAGGTCTGGCCAAGACTGAGTAGCAAATTGACAGACGATTGCTCCCTAAGTAGCAGTTAGGCAGCGGGGTCGTTTCGTATGTGGAGGGCAGCGGGTCGCTGTGGCGATAGTCAACTACTACAGACCCGACTTGAGATTCGTTCGATGCGTGGGCCGACTATGGAGGGCCGAAGGGATGACTGGGTGGGACAGCAGGAGCAAGGCAGATCTTCAGTATAGTTCTCGAGCATGGGGGGCAGGCACCGCGCCCTCTGGAGCTGATGCTCTTATTGCCGGAGCCAGATACACTTCTGCGGTCACTACTGCCTTTTAGCGTGGACGGAAGTCACATAATTCGTCAACGTTAACGTTCGTTAAGTGAGGGGACGGGGAAGTGCTTTTCGAGATGGTGGGAAATATAGACAATATGCATATGCAAGACAGACTGCGTTTCTGGATATATGCGTGCCAGACTTGTCACATGGAGCAGTTGCTTATTGTGCGGCATCAATGGGGAGCCAGCGAGAAAACGAATCATTATGTGATCGTGATAGCCAAATTCTGTTCTTGTACAAAAATCGCAGGTATGGTGTGCTCGTGAGCGAATGGTCAGGTAAAGCGCGACGCGACGTGCTGGTTGGGGGTGTGACCTGCAGCAAATCAAGAGAGGGTAGAGTGTGGTAATCTTAGTCGACGCTACCAGGCGTTTAGATCGAATATGACACGACGATGCTTCTTGGCAGGCCATAGGAGGAAACGTTACGAGGTACACCTATCTCGGTTGGGGCAGACAGGTCATCGTCAGGTTCATCCGGGAGCAATGGTGTCTGGTGTTGGGTAGAAGATGGCGACTGTCCCGACAACGAGCTGAGTTGTTGTTGATATTGAGATTGTTGCGGCGCTGCAAAGCTAACGTTCAGGTTTATACATCCGGTGGACGCAAGACTGCTGCTACTGCAAGAAAGGATCCCGCGCGGTCCATGCAGGTACAAGGTGTGAGCCCTAGCCCAGCTGGACCGACAACAGACGAGCAGATCTCGGCGACTCGGTTCGATGCAGACACATTGACGTGGCCGGTATTTTCTTTTCTTCTTGGACGGGCCCCCTCCCGTTTGCTCGTTTTCTGAAAGCCGTGCTTTCATTGTCCAATGCTGTGGGACCCCGACGGCAGCTCCTGGGCTCAATATCTAGCCTCTTAGCTTGGACGGAAGCCGGACGCAAACGGACAGAGAAGCAGTGCGGACGTGCGGGAGCCTGGTGGGCTTGGCAAACCTGACCGAACGTCTACACATGCACCAGCGCCGAGAAGGGACAATGGCGACCCAAAGCGCCGTCAGCGGATGAAGGCGTATGGGAGTGGCCACTAGCCACGCAAGTGAAACTCGATTCGGCAGTAGATGGCGAATCCACGTCGAAAAAGCGGCAGCGTGAGCTGCGAGAATGGTGGTGCAGTAGGAGACTCATCCCCTCGTCGTTGCCCTGGCGCCATGGAAATCTCACATTCCAGCCCGGCCGACCCAGTGTTGCTCGGACGTTCACAGACGTATTAGGGCGGCTGTGATACCGTCACTACCTCCACAAGTTTTATGCTGAACCCAAGCCAGAGAAACAAGAGGATATGGAAGAAGTGAGGTTAAATGGAGGACGAGGTGGATGATTCAGAAAGCATTCCCCACACGGCCGGAACCTTCCTCTGCAAGGTCAACCAGCCTGTCAAGGTATGGTGGTGTGTATGTAGTTGATTGACTATCTATCTACTAATGTGGAGTGTTGTCTGCTTTATGTAGCCCATGGTGGGCTTACGTAACACAGCCCCTCAGACTAAATCATCCTAAATGGACGGATCCATCACCGGAAGCCCAATCGAGCCAATCAAATGACATCCGTCCTTTCGGTTCCATGTGGGTGCGAACCTTTCTGATGTTTTCTTTCTACTGTCCCCCGAGGGAAGGAAGTGATCGAGGTACCACGATCTTGCGCGATCGTGAGAAGCAATCATCGAGAACACCACAACTACAGCTAGCTGAGCTGCCCTTTTACTGGTCGACCCCCGGGCTGGAATATCGATCCGCCCAGCGGCTCCATCTGATCCTTGTGACCCCACTGTGTCCTGTCCGCTTTCGTTCTAGCCTGCAACCCCAGGGTGCGGGAAGGAGCGGCAGCTTAAGTAAGCCGATGCGCCGTGCTTTACTCTTCCCGGCCTGGCTGACGCTCACGTCGCATTCCCCCGGGACTTGCTCGGACCTGGAGACTGGTCGAGACTACCGGCTCTAGCCCGGACAGGCTATTAAACTTGGAATCGACAGGTGTGTTTGAATAACCTCTTGGCATGAGCTGAGCATTCCACAGACGATGATTAGGGAGTCGACAGCGAGCGAGGTCCTTGTTGGAGGCAGTCCGCCGTCACCGTCACAAGCGCCCCCACCCCCTTCTCGTCAACGCTGCAAACGCAAGGCGAGAAAACACGTAAATATGGATGGATGAAGATGCGGCCCGGAGGTGGCCATGATGCGCAATTTGTCAACCAGTCCGGCTGCGAGGGGGTTCCGAGACACGAAGCAGCCCAGCCCAGGGGAGCTGGAATGCTACAACGCATGGAAGAAGCATAATGCATTTCTAGGCGAGGCTGTCCGACGGGAGGTCCATCGTCATTGTCGTCGTGCAGAAAAGCCGGAGACGTCCAGTAGGTTGCAGATACACGTCCCCGGGAACCCAGAGGAGGCATGGAAGCTGCGCCTCGAACCGGCTGGCTGCGATTTCAAAACTCGGCCCACGTGTAGGTGTTGATGAGTGTGAAGCCGGGTGACCATTTGCGCTACGCCGACCACCGCCGCACCCATACATACACCCCCTCTGGCTTGACCCTGGTGCCTGTTCAACCCGTGCATTTCGGGTATCCCCGAGGGCAGCTGCTTGTATTCTTGCTTGTAGATTGTCGTTTGCTTGCTCCTCCTTGGCCATCTCACCCCCAGTTCGTCATGACCCAGTAAGTCTGTGAGATGCCGGATTGATCCAAGCCTGGCGCGGTCCTATCGAGTCTCGAACCCCGTTCGCGCCTCCCCTTTCTCCGTCTTTGGTCTCTTTTCCCTTTCCGTCTCTCTTCACGTCGAGCCAAGGGCTTTCCCAAAGGGTACAAGTCGGCCAGTGCCTCCAGTCTGTTTGCCTCCTCGACACGACTATTAGTCTTCATCGCTCCCCGCACCTTCTTTGTCCTTTCAGCTGATCCCATCTGTGATGCATTCGTTGATATCACGAGAGCCTACTTGATCCCAAGCCATCGCGATCAAGCTTTTTCTTTTTGGTTTGAGTGGTTAAGGTAAAAGGACTTGTTGGTACCGGAAGGCGAGTTGCCCCCTCCAGTTTCTCGGAGATACTTCATTCTAATTTCATATTTGACCAACAGGCAAGCATTCCCACATACACTACGGACCAAGTGGTACCCATTTACCACAAATACCTCACCAATCTTTCCTTCCCGACGGTCTTGCTCCGTACGCCCGGAGCGAACTTTTCAGTCTGGCCTACCCGTGCTACTGGGCTCAAAGGAACCATTATTCAAGTCGTTACACACCGAGCAAGCGAGCGGCAAGCACCCGACGACACCGTACCCTACTCAAAGGATTTCATCTCTTTCACCGCGACCTGGGTTTCTCTAGGTTGGCTGAGGGGTAGTTGCTCATTCGGCCTCTTGCCCTCCTCGGGTTCTCAGCAGAGCCTCCAGAGCTCGTCGACCAAGGAGCCATTCCCACACAAACAACTCAATAACTCACCAACATGGCGGACGTAGACGAGAATTATTGGGCGCCGAAGGACGTGAGTTTTGCTGAACATCGACTTGGGGTTGTTTGCTGACTCCCTGTGTAGATCGTGTACACGTCCATTGTGGGCTTGGTCATGTTGGCGGCCGTTCTTGAATGGTTTCTATGGATCGCGGCATTTCTGTACTGTCTGTGGAAGGTTTTTATCAAAGCCGAACATTGGACCATTCGACTTCTGGCCGTAATTGTTGGCGTCCTATTCACATGCTTCAGGTGAGCGACCGACTTCACCCTACACCCCGCGGTAATCTTTGCAAAACTGACTTTCACCAGAGCCATTTTCCTTCCGATCATGATCGTCACACTGCCCTTACCCAGTGCTGTTGTCAAGTATTGGCCAAAAAATATGGTCGACATCCTGCAATGGTTTGCCTTTTGGAGCTTCGCTGGTCTGCTCACAATTCCCTGGCTGTTCTGTGTTTACCAGCTGGTCACCAACCAGCTTGGCAGAACGAAGAGGATTAAGCAGGTTCTCGACGAAGTTTCGGCCCCCAAAGTCGTCATTGTTATGCCAGTATACAAGGAGGACCCCGATGTCCTTGTCGTTGCCATCAATTCGGTCGTCGACTGCGACTACCCGCCGTCGTGCATTCATGTTTTCTTGTCGTTTGACGGTGACCAGGAGGATGAACTGTACTTGAACACACTTGACAAGATGGGAGTCCCCCTGACTCTCGAGACGTATCCCAAGAGTATCGACGTCACCTACAAATCCGCCCGCATCACCATCTCCCGTTTCCCGCATGGTGGAAAGCGCCATTGTCAGAAGGCCACCTTCAAACTTATCGACAAGGTATACGAGCACTACCTCAAGCGAAACGACAACCTCTTCATTCTCTTTATCGACTCTGATTGCATCCTTGATCCTACCTGCTTGCAGAACTTCGTCTACGACATGGAACTGAGTCCCGGCAACAGCAGGGACATGCTGGCCATGACCGGTGTGATCACGTCTACGACTAAGAAGCATAGCCTGATCACTCTACTCCAAGACATGGAATATATCCACGGTCAGCTTTTCGAACGTACTGTCGAGTCGGGATGCGGCGCTGTTACCTGCCTTCCCGGTGCGTTGACAATGCTTCGATTCTCTGCTTTTCGTCGCATGGCCAAGTATTATTTTGCCGATAAAGCCGAGCAGTGCGAGGATCTCTTCGATTTTGCCAAGTGCCATCTTGGAGAGGATCGTTGGCTTACCCATCTGTTCATGATCGGAGCCAAGAAGCGCTACCAAATCCAAATGTGCACATCAGCTTTCTGCAAGACCGAGGCCGTGCAGACCTACAAGTCACTCATCAAGCAGCGACGACGTTGGTTCTTGGGTTTCCTCTCCAACGAAGTATGCATGCTTACTGACTGGCGCCTTTGGAGGCGGTACCCCATCCTGGTTCTCGTTCGATTCATGCAAAACACCATTCGTACCACGGCTCTGCTGTTCTTCATCATGGTACTCGCCATCATCACCACGTCGAAGAAAGTCGAAAACTTGCCGGTCGGTTTCATCGCCATCTCGCTCGGACTTAACTGGCTCATGATGCTGTACTTTGGTGCAAAGCTTAGGCGATTCAAGATCTGGCTCTACCCGGTCATGTTCATCCTCAACCCTTTCTTCAACTGGTTTTACATGGTCTACGGTATCTTCACTGCTGGACAAAGAACTTGGGGAGGGCCCAGAGCCGACGCCGCTACCGCCGATACTTCTACTACCGCCCAGCAGGCCATCGAGCAAGCCGAGGAGGCCGGGGACGACCTCAACGTCGTGCCTGAAACCTTCATCCCCGCTGCTGTAGCCAGAAAGGAGAGCATTGCCGGCGGCAAGCGCGTGATGGGATCCATGGGCCGCAAGCACAGTGTGGTCCAGCCGCCACCCAATATCGAAGGCCGCTTTGCCGCCAGAGAGAAGACGTCGAGTGGGTTTTACGTCAACGCCGACGACTCCCGGGTCGCTGTCAATCGGCCAAATGGATGGGGGTTGCAGTCACGCGATTCATTCGATAGTATGGTGTCGGCGCAGACTGCCGGTAACTCGGTCTACGTGCCTCGTCGTGTGGAGAGTTTTATGGGAGATGAGGACAGGAAGAAGTATGAGCTCGCTCAGCATAGCCAGTTCAACCAATTCTTGGCCAACTCGAAGCGGTTTGGGGCTCAAACGACAACGACTGGCCGAGTGTATGAGTATTCTGATGCTGAGATGAAGAGAGCCGGATTCCAGAGCGGATTAGACTTGTTGGGCAGCGGCGATCAGGAGTACACGGACAACGTGAGATTGGGTTATGTTGATAACAGCGCCGCTCGACTCCAGTCCGGAGACGCTATACCGTCAAGACAGGGAGCGCCGAGCACGATGACAACGACGACGCACCCAATGTCAACAACTCATTCAGCACGTGGCGGCCGCAGTCCACTTGCACGGGCCAGCCTTGTCCGTACATTCCAGCTCGAAGACGTCCCATCCGAGGGCGAGAGTTCGAGCAGCGGTAAGAACACCCGCGACAACTCGCCCAAGGGCAGACCATAGAACGGTGATGGACGGAACAACACGAATACAAAACTCACCACCGCATGGATATATGCATAATTGCTGGCGTTGGTAGGGCCCTCCTAGTGGTGGGGGATGCAGGCCAAAATGGAAGCACATCGTCTTCGTGTTTGCCTTTGCTCTTTATCATTATTACTATTATTAGTTTCATTTTCTTGCCTTTGATTTTGTATAACCAAATCGACTTACCCACGTGCCATCATTGCAGGAAAAAACTGGGAATCGGAGAGCCTGATTGCGTGAATATCAGAGAGGAGGAAAACCATAGGCAGACAGCTATTTGGCAAGAGTTACCTAATGAAATGTCGCTTTGAGGCAGCCATAATCTTGGAAACCGGTAACATCGGGGTTGGACGGCGGAAAGTCGGACGGCTCCCCAGGTTCTGAAGGGAGCTGGCAGCAGTACCGCATGGGCACTAGGTGTCTAATGCCGATTTCGCGCCAGTGATTGCATGTCTTGAGGTACCAGCTCAGGTAAAGATGGAAAGGCTGGGGGAATGGGTGTGGTAACAATCGTGGCATAGAGCAGAAGGCATTACTCAATCGTGGGGTATCGCCAATGTTAGATTAGATAAGTGCATGTGGAGTGGAGTGGGCTTGCTGTGACGCCGTTCGTACTAGTAGTGTAGGTGCCTTGGGGGGGGGGGGGTTGCGAAAAGCAGACAAGTTGGTGATTTTCGAGTGGTAATGGTCCATAATTATTATTGGTATTGGAATGTCGAGGGACGAGCTGATACGGAGCATTTCGGCCGAAACTCAATTGCCTTTGATGTTGACATAATATTCATGGCCACCCGTGCAGTTGTGACATGTGGTCACTTTGTGTCAGACTTTGGGCCATGAGGGACGGAGCAGACAGAGCCTGACATGTCTCGGGATTGTTCTCGATTTCCGCGGATGCAAAAGGTACATGGATTGGATGCATTTGTGCGGGTGCAGCCAGGTAGCAAGATTGCAATACCTAATGCCATGCCATATCTATCGTACATATTTCTCCTTGCCTTGGTTGTCCGCCTCGCCAGGCTCTACGTAGCAGGCCCCAGAACCCGCCAGTTGGAGAGAAGGAGTCATGAGGGGTGGAGGGGGTGGGGCAATGGAGGGGCAGGGCGGCTGGAGGTACCTACACCAGGTCGTGAGGGAGGGACAGCGAACAACCTGGACAAGGGCCGTCAGCGGAACGACAGAGAACGAAGGAGAATCTTCTTTTCTATTCGGCCTCCACTGCTATATCAGCGCCCCGACCGCGATGCCTGTGAGAATTCTGCCGGAGGGGGTGCTCCCCCGCTCTGCCTACCAAAAAGAAAGACAAGAAAAGATACCCCGCCTCTCGTCCACTAAAGATACGTTCCATACACTGAGGTCTCACACGCTACAGGCCCACCATTGGGTATCGTGTAATAGTAGCGCATCTCTCTCAAAGAACAGCACCAGGCACCAGGGCCAATACGCACATAGCACCTCTCGCCTCAAGCAATAAAGGTGGCCACTTGGGCTTACCGCTCTGCCTCGCCTTCCCATCCGTACAGTGCCAGGCTCCAACTCTACGCTAGAGCGAACTGCGTGCACTGCAACTTTTTTTTTTGCCCACCTCCCGCACATCCCACCTTCAGGCCCTCTTGCATATCGACAAACTCTTAAACCTTGCATTTTGTCTGCTTTCTGCTTTTCCCTCCCCCATCATTTCCAAACGAGACGTCCTATCTTTTTTCTCCTTTCGACTCGACCGCTTGCAAAATACCCTTCCAGCAAGTCGGATAATCAACCACTACTCGGCTCGACTCGACTCGATTTGCATCTTTCACCCCTCTCCCCCTCTCTAGAGTGTTGTTGTGAGCGCAACCCCGCCATCACCAAAACTCCGCCAGACGACCCTTGTTTACAATATTCTTAGAAAGAACACAACCACCCAACATGAGTGTCGTCGGTATGCTTGCGCACCCCCGCTTCCGTCGCCTGTCGACGTAACACATGAAGGAGCATTGGCTGACTTTTCTTTTTGCTTTCAGGCGTAGATTTCGGAACCCTCAAGACGGTTATTGCCGTCGCTAGAAATCGTGGTGTCGATGTGGTGCGTACCCAACATTTGCCCCTCCCCTTACAAAAAAAAATTCTACATTCTGCCACAGAACAACGACGACGACTAACTTTGGTAATCTAGATCTGCAACGAGGTTTCTAACCGAGCCACACCGTACGTACCGTCCGGATTCCAGCCTATATTATATACAACCTTTTTCCAGCTGTACTGACCGTTATCCGTAGGTCTGTGGTGGGCTTTGGGCCCAAGTCGCGATACCTCGGCGAGAGTGCCAAGACGCAAGAAATCTCCAACCTGAAGAACACCGTCTCCTCCATCAAGCGGCTTGCCGGCCGCGCTTTTAACGACCCCGATGCCCAGCTCGAGCAGCAGTACATCACTGCTCCCCTCGTCGATGTCAATGGCCAGGTCGGCGTCGAGGTCAACTACCTTGGCAAGAAGGAGAAGTTCACCAACACCCAGCTGATCGCGATGTACCTCAGCAAGATCAAGCAGACGACGCAGGCCGAGATTAAGCTCCCGGTTTCTGATTTGGTCATGAGCGTCCCTGCTTGGTTCACCGACATCCAGCGCCGCGCTATCATCGACGCCGCCGAGATCGCCGGCCTGAAGCTCCTCCGCCTCATGAACGACACTACCGCTGCCGCTCTGGGCTGGGGTATCACCAAGCTCGACCTCCCCGCCCCCGAGGAGCCGCCCCGCCGCGTTGCCTTCATCGACATTGGCCACAGCAACTACACTGCTTCCATCGTCGAGTTCAAGAAGGGCGAGCTCGCTGTCAAGGGCACTGCCTTCGACCGCCACTTTGGTGGCCGCGACTTTGACAAGGCTCTCGTCGATCATCTCGGCAAGGAGTTCAACGGCAAGTACAAGATCGACATCCACTCCAACGGCCGCGCCATGGCTCGTACCATCGCCGCCGCCGAGAAGTGCAAGAAGATCCTGTCTGCCAACCAGCAGGCCCCCGTCAACATCGAATCCATTATGAACGACGTGGACGTTTCCGCAATGATCACCCGTCAGGAGTTTGAAGCCATGGTTGAGCCCCTGCTGGCCCGCGTCCACGTGCCTCTTGAGCAGGCTCTGGCCGAGGCCAAGCTGACCAAGGATGATATTGACGTCATTGAGGTCATTGGTGGTGGCACCCGTGTCCCCGCCCTCAAGGAGAGGATCCAGGCTTTCTTCGGCAAGACCCTGTCCTTCACCCTGAACCAGGATGAGGCTGTTGCTCGTGGCGCCGCTTTCAGCTGTGCCATCCTGTCTCCCGTCTTCAGAGTCCGTGACTTCACTGTTCAAGACATCATGAGTTACCCCATTGAGTTCACCTGGGAGAAGGCCCCCGATATCCCCGATGAGGATACTAGCCTGACCGTCTTCAACCGCGGCAACGTCTTGCCATCCACCAAGATTCTCACTTTCTACCGCAAGCAGCCCTTCGACCTCGAGGCTCGCTATGCCAAGCCCCAGGATCTCCCTGGCAAGATTAACCCCTGGATCGGTCGCTTCTCTGTCAAGGGCGTCAAGGCTGACGGCAAGGATGACTTCATGATTTGCAAGCTCAAAGCGCGCGTCAACATTCACGGTGTTCTCAACGTTGAGAGCGGCTACTACGTCGAGGACCAGGAGGTTGAGGAGGAGGTCAAGGAGGAGGAGAACGGAGAGAAGAAGGACCCTGATGTGAGTTTTGCGGCGTCTCGTTCTGAACTTTTGTCCTCTGCCGCGGTGGGCGATAGCATGGAGTCGCCGCTGAAGCGTCGACGCCACGGTATCGACCCGAAGTCTAGTCAATCCCCGCCCTGCGCATTCGTGGAGGACGATGATGAAACATCGAAGCTAACACATGCACCCCCAAAGGCCATGGAGACCGATAACAAGGAGGAAGCCCCCAAGAAGATCCGCAAGGTTAAGAAGCAGGTCCGCAAGGGCGATCTTCCTATTGTCAGCGGCACCGCGTCTCTGTCCGACTCGGCGAGAACCTCGCTGCTTGAAAAGGAGTCTGCCATGGTCATGGAGGACAAGCTTGTTGCCGACACGGAGGAGAAGAAGAACGAGCTCGAGACCTTCATCTACGACCTCCGCAACAAGCTCGACGACCAGTACGCCGAGTTCGCCAGCGACGAGGAGAAGACTAAGATCAAGGAGAAGCTTGAGCAGACTGAGGTAAGTCTATTGTAGCCGCGAGACCCACGCTCTTCCGCAACAATTTGCTAATCGCTCACAACAGGACTGGCTGTACGATGAGGGTGACGACACCACCAAGGCCGTTTACATCGCCAAGATTGACGAGATCCGCGCGATGGCTGGCCCCATCATCCAGCGCCACTTCGACAAGGTCGAAGAGGATCGTCGCCTCGTCCAGGAGAGGGTAGACGCCGAGAAGGCTGCTAAGCGTGCTGAAGAGGAGGCTCGCAAGGCCGCCGAGGCGGAGAAGGCTTCCAAGGATGAGGAGATGACTGATGCCGATGGCAAGAAGCCCGAGGGCGAGGAGGCTGGCGAGGCCACGAAATAAGGGGACCCCGTCGATTAGATCGGCGCCTGAATGAGAACGGAAGAAAAGCGAGAAGAACCGAAGACGATAGAATAGACCCTAGTTACGGTTTCTTTCGGGTCGGAATAGGGTTATCAGGCTAGAGCAGCTTCGGGTTTATCATGGAATGAGAGAAATGACATGACCTTTGATGACATCTAAGCTAGCAGCTGCCTTTGCGTCCAGATGACTTACCCGTGATTACGCGCCATTTCTAGGGTTCAAATACACTCTAAGGTGTTACTGGGAGGTCCGTCATAAAATAGTAAAACAAAGCCATCATAACCACATGCCGACGGCCATCACCACTCCCGTCCACCTCTTCTATAAGTGTTTAAACGTATGATGTGACTGACTGTGCAACCAACTCGGCGAGAACTGAATAGCGCGAGGTTTGCCCTCGCTTCACCACGGCGTTAGACCTTATGCCAAGGTAGGAATTAGGAATGGTTCCAAGATTTTTCTTGGTTTGAAACTGTACCACACAGCACCATACCAAACGCCTTTTTCGAGAGTAGATTCGGGGGGGGGGGGGGGGTTAAGAAGAGGATAAAACAACCACAGCCAGAAAATGAGACATGATGCACGAGATTGATGGGGTAAATAAATGATCATACACAAAACCAGAGAGGGCTTCCCCCCTTTTTCTTCTTTTCTTTACTCGTCCATCATCAATACTTTCCCCAATAGCCATAGCCATAACCGAGCCAGGGGTTTTCCTCTCTTCCTTTCCACCTTCTCCCCGTACCAAGAAATATAGTTTTCCTTCATGACGCAAAAAACGAAACCGCCCTCGCAGACACTCTCTATCAATCACGCGACTCGGACAGACAGAGGCCACGGTCGTTCTCCCAGAAGGTGGGAGACGAAAGGGGGAATGGTTTTCTTGCTCGTATTTAGTGGATGTCGAAGAGGGGCTTGAGCTTGATGATAAGGTTCCACTCGTCGTTGCTGACGTCCTTGCGGTAAAACTCCTTCAGGGTGTTAATGGAGGCACGCGAAATGAGACTGTATAGAGTGTCCGACTCCTCGAGCTGGCGGCCGTAAGTCGGCTGATGACCACCCATTTCGATCTTGACGGCAACAGAGGGCTGGCCCTTTTTGCAGACGGGGATTTGCTTGTGGTCGCGCTCAATCGACGTACTAATGGTTCAGGTTAATTTTCTGTGAGGGGGACAGATGGTTTGCAAGCAAGGACGCGGGGAAAACCTACACTCTGCCCAAGTTGATGACTTCCTTCATGCCGGTCACGGCATTATTCTTGACAACAGCAATCGGCGTGTTGATCTTCAGCTGGCCATCGACGACATCGACACCGACAACAATGGGATTGGTCTTGTTGAAGACGGCAACGGTGTTGAGCACGCAGGGAAAGACGGCCAACATCTTGGATTCCTCCTTCTTCTTCTCCAAGAGCTCGGCCATGTGCTTGGTGAAGGCGTCGAAAAGATGGTAAATGATGTCTGCCGTGAAGATCTTGACACCGACGTCATCAGCATACTGCTGTGCCTCCTTGTCGACCTTGACATCGAAGCAAAGCATGATGGCATAATCGGGCGCCTTTTCCAGCATGATGCCAGCCTGCATGACGTCGCGCTTGTACACGGGACCGATTCCGACGTTGGCGACGGGAATCTTGCAGTCCTTGAGGAAATCCAACAGAGCCTCGAGGGAACCAAGAGTGGACGCCTGCACGCTGACACCACGGCCAGTCTTTTCGACACGGCTGAACAGGGTGGCGAGATCGGACTCGACCTCGTCGATGATGTCGTCCTCATCATCGTCGGGACCAACAACCAGCATACGAGAACCAGCGATAGCACCCTCGAGGCCAGGGGCGCTGATTTTGACACCCAAAGCGGCCTTGACTTCCTTGTTGTGCACATATGCGGACTTGAGACGCAGTTCGCGCATCGGCGCAGGCGTCAACAAGGCACGAATGTTTGTGCAGATGGCGCCTTCAACACCGCACAGGACGATCCTGTCGCCCTCGCGCAAGATACCGTTGGACAAGACAACGTCAACAGTCATGCCGAAACCTTCGATGGCCTTGACCTCAAGAACGGTAGCCTGGACCTCGGCAAGGTACATGAGGGATCCAACCATGCGCTCCTGGGTGAGCTGGATGATGAGCTTCAACATATCGGGGATACCCTCACCAGTGTGAGCCGAGGTGGGGATGAGAGAGACGTTCCTCGCCATGGACTTGTTCTCGTAGAAGAGCTCGGAGTTGAAGCCTTGCTCGGCAAAGGCGACCTTGGTCTGCTCCAGACGGTTTTTGAACTCGTTCTGGACACCTTTGGGCTGCAAGGCCAAACTCTCCTGGAAACCGTTGTTGTCAACCTTCTTCCAGCCGTACAGACGATCGATCTTGTTGAGGGCGACAACAAAAGGAGTCTTCCTATCACGCAGCATTCTCATCGACTCCAAGGTCTGTGGCTCGAGGCCGTGCATGATGTCGACAACAAGGATGGCGATGTTGCAGAGCGACGAACCACGAGAACGCAAGTTGGAGAAGGACTCGTGGCCGGGGGTGTCGATGACTAGCAGACCTGGAACCTTGAACTCGAAGGAACCGTCCTTGTTGACGACAGCCACTTTCTGTCGGATGGCCTCGACAGGGAAGTAGGTGGCACCAATCTGTTGAGTGATACCACCGGCTTCACCCTCTTGCACGTTGGTTTGACGGATCTTGTCCAGAAGCTTCGTCTTTCCAGTATCGACGTGGCCAAGAATACAGCAAATGGGAGATCGGAGGTTGTCCTTGGATTGCGCCGCCAGCGCGGCCTGGTGAGCCTTCTCACGGCGCTCCGCGGCCTCCCTCTTGCGCTGAAGTTCGGCCTGGCGAGCCGCTGTCTCCTTTTCATCCTCTTCAGAGGAGTCGGATTCCGAGTCGGATCCCGAGTCATCGTCCTCGTCCTCATCGTTCTCGCTCTTCTCAACAGGCTCGGTGGGCTTGCCGTTGGCCGCCTTCTTCTTCTCTTGTTCTTCATCGCTGTCGGCGTCCCAGCTGTCCTTGACATCTTCCTCGTCAGACGCAGCGGCGGCCTCCCAGTCGTCTTCCAGATCGCTAGCTTCGGCAGCCTTCTTCTTGGCGGCAGCGGCCTCGGCCTCGGCCTTTTCCTTGGCCGCCTTTTCCTCCGCCTCCCTGTGGAGTCGCTCGGCCTCCTTTTTGGCACGTTCGGCAGCCTCGGCAAGGGCCTTCTCTTCGTCGATCTAAAGCCCAAATATTAGATATTTGGGGGTTGTGGAGGGTAACAACAATGTGAGACTCACCTTGTCTTGCGCCTTGCGGCCCCCCTTCTTCTTGTTGTCGTAGACAACCTTCTTCTTCTTGTCGCCTTCGCCCTCGTCGGCGGGACCGACCTTGATACCGGCAGCAAGCATCTGCTGGAGCTTACGCTCATTGCGGGCCTTCTCCTCCTTCTGGGCCTTGGTCAAGAACTTGCCCTCCTTCTTGAGCTGTTCGATCTTTTCTTTCTCCTTTTGCTTCTTGAGAGCCTTGGCCTCCTCTCTCTGCTTCCTCTCCTCCTCCATGGCACGCTCCTCCTCTTCGATTCTCTTCTTTTCCTCCTCAGCCATGCGGGCCTGTTCTTCCTGCTGGCGGCGGAGCTCCTCTTGCTGCTTCTGAAGCGCAGCAAGGGCGGCGGGGATCTTCTTCTTCTTACCACCCTTCTCTTCGGCGGGCGGGGGGGCGACGGCAGAAGCGGCGGGCGTTGGAGAGTCCTTCTTCTCAGGAGCGGCCTTGGCGGGTTCGGCCTTCGCAGCAGGGGCGGGGCCCTTCTTCTTCGCAGCCTGTGCATGGCAACATTAGTAAAATGCACATAGCTCGGGGAGAGACAATGTAGACTCACCTGTTCCTTCTTACGCTGCTTCTCTCTCTCCTTCTTCAACTTTTCCTTCTCAGCCTTGGTCAGGACGCGGCCGGAACCGTCATCCTCATCGCCGGCAGCAGGGGCGGCGGCGGCGGCGGCGGCCTGTTTCCCCTTACCACCCTTGCCCTTCTTCTCGGGCAAGGCAAATTCGTCTTCCATGGTGGCTTCCTGGGGGGCCTTCTCGGCGAGACTGGGCGAAGGTTCGGCTTCGGGCTCGGGCGCGGCGGGGGGCTCCTCGATGCCCTTCTTCTTTCTTTTCTCTCTGTTCTTGCGCATGGTGGCCATGAGACCGGTGGGGGCCTCATTCTCGTCCTCCTCGGCTGGCTTTTCAGCAGCAGTCTCTGAGGTTTCGGCGGCGGCGGGGGCGATGGTCTCGCCGAGCTCTTTCTCCCAGTCGTCGTCGGCGCGAGCCTTGTTTCCCTTCTTTTTGGGAGGCATTTTGGCGGTGTTTGACGTTGGAATAGTGTGGACGAGTCGAGGGTTCTTTGCTAATAAGTTGGGCCCTGTGCAAAAAGTCGCTGGGTGTGGGCAATATTAGGCAGAGGGTGACGAGTAGAGGACCGATGGGATTTCCCAAGGATGGGTGGGGTTGGGGGGTTTGAGAAGAGAAGCACAATGAAGGCTTTTTCAACGATGCAAGAGGTTAGGTGGCGAGAAAACCGAGTCCTGGGTGAAATCCTGTGGGGACTGACACGACATAATACGGACGATGCAGTACGTCTGTATTTCTCGAGTTGAGGGAAGAAGGGTGGCAGCCGTTTGAAGGTGTTCAAAATCTCAAGCAGTGAAAATGAGAAAGGCAAAGGTTCACTGCGGGGCAAAGGACGAGTGTACGGAGTATTGTACTGTCCAGAGACCAGGAGTCCGGTGCGTCGTGCTGTCGCACATGGTGCGTAAAATAGACGGACGTTGTGCTGTGGGTTTGGGGTATCGAAGGTGTGATGGTTGGGCTACCAACCCGCACTTGCACAACTTTTATGCACCGTTTTCAACCCTTCCTTCTTTTCCGATTGGAACATGAGCCTCTTTGCACCATTCACTAAGAGTTATGTGTTCAATCGAGGCCTTTTGGGCTGGTTGCCTTGCCTTGCCTTGCGTTCGGGGCGTGTCTCTGGCAGTAGGAGAGTACTTGTTAGGAAAGGTAGGGCAGGACACACATGCACCACCCGTTCACAGTGCGAACAAAAAAAATCAAAAAGTGTCACCCACCCGAAATGCTCCGTTACAGCTACGGCCGACCTCCAATGATCAGTACGACGACGCACACAGCCTGGAAGCCAAGCTACATATGTGCCCACGCTAGGACCTCTGTCTCTGCAACTCAATTAGAACTGTCGAGGTTCTCGAGTGCCCACCAGGTTATGAGGGAGAGCTGGCTTCATCGCCGTAGTGTAGGGTACATGAGGTGATCACGTCCAGGTTTCTCTGCTTACATAGACCCATTCAACCGTTCCCTTTCAGCCGCGCACACTTGCTCAACGAGGCCAAAGGCAAGAAGTTGACCAACAGATGAATGATGACTCTTCGTCTAATGACTCTTACCCCGACGCTCCTGGCGAAGATGCCCCGTAGGATAGGGGGCAACACACCTTCCCCCTTGGACGGCCGTGTTTGATACCATGGCTCAAATAACAGGAGCCAGATAGTAGTCTAAGATGTCGTAGGCCAGCTCAAAATACCTTGTAATGTCGTAGGTGTCCTGGAACGATGCCGTCCATTTTCCGTCATCCAGGTCGTCCAGATACTCCCGCAACAGGTCAATATCACTGTCTTCCAATACCATCTTCTCTAGCGCCCGATAGTCGACGCACCGCTGGAGCAGGTCTCCGTCAATGTGCTTCATCGACTTGGGCGTCTCCTTTGCCTCCGCATCATATTCATCAGCGCCCTGAACCGACACTTTGTAGCTATACGGAAATAGGCGTTGGCTTCTCAAGGCCAGGTTCTCGACTAGGCGAAGGAATCGCCATGCTTGAACGTTGACAAGGCTGAAGTGCAACAACGACCCGTCCAGACAGACCCCGAGCACCTCGGCCCCGTCGACCGTGCTGGGTATGCTGCCGTATTTTGGCATATGTTCCGTTGCAACCCATTCCGGTCGCACATGGCCCCGTTGGAGTTTCCTGACACTGGCCGGGAGTGGTCCCTCTGCGACAAGTTCCAACTCTCTTTGAGGCTCTTTCCAAGGAGTCCACACTGCCGTAAAGTGCCGGTCCATACCAGTGAGCAAAGTCACTGGCCAGGCTAGCTGTTCGTCTGTATCATCCCCGACATCGAAGAAGTGACTGGATTTCCGCGTGACCTGGTCCGCATGGATCTGTTTCATGTTGCCGTGTTCGTGTTCTGATGTGTGGTCAATGACCACTACCGAGTCGCTCAGAGTCAGCGCCGATATCTTGCCGTTGACTATCCGCAGCGAAGTCGCGGGAGAATTCAGCTCATAGCTCTTTCTCCGGACGAGCTTCTTCTCGACGGGATCGAGAACGTCCCAGTGCAACATATTCCCGGCGCAGTAGATGATGCCATCACCGTCCCCGACAATAGAGTATATGGGCGCAGGCTCTTTCAGTCTGTATTTAGTGAAAAACCGTATCCTCGTTCTCCTGTTACCCTCGCTATCACGGCTTTCTTCCTTCTTTGGGGTCACAAGCAAGAGGCGTCCCCCCGCTGTTGTGATGATGAGATAATGGAACGTCATCCCATCCCTTACGAACAGCCAGTCATAGACTGCGTGTATCCTGTCGTTGGGGCTTCCCATCCCATTGATAAATGTTGTTTCGTTGCCGTGCTTGTCTTGAGGCAGAGAGAGATCATCTCCTGTTTCGGGATCCATAAACAGGATGGTCGGATGTTGTCCAATCTGGACTGCGACAACCAAACACTGTAGCGTTTGGGAGTACAGCAACTTGGAGGGTGTTCCGGGCAACGGCAGACTTTTTGGAACCGGGCCAGCTTTCAGATACAGCTCCGTAAACGACATACGCTCCCCTGAAAGGAGAACCAGGGGTAATCGATTGCTGCCGCCGAGGTCGGTTGGTATGCTGGCGGCGGAGATAACCGGTACCGAACCTGTTGCTGGATGCTTCAGGTCAGTTACCCACACGCGATGCCTGGTGGCGAAGTGGCCTGGCCGCCTGGTCTCAAAGTCTCTCAGCAGAAGCAGAGCGTCGTTGCAGCATACTAAGACCGAGCTTGGGAGAAACGGCGCGTCGACGGGAAACACCTCAAGAGCGACTGTACCCAACCTCTCCCTAAACAGATGTCGATGAAAAGGAGCGGCGCCGCTGAGTTGAACTGTGATCAGGTGGCCGCTGCGAGTTCCCAGAACCAGACTCGTTTGCTGCTTTGATTCAGTTATCGCCACAATAGTATTGACAAGCTCAACGGTCGGTGCTATTTCCATTGCATCCCCATCGTTGGACTCGAGTCCCTCGTCATCTGTCACGGGTGGTCACATTAGCTGCTGCGAAGTTTGAGAGAAGGAGGGTTGCACTTGCCGCCATCGAGCCGTATCAATTGAGGAGCTTGAGTCGACTTATCAGCAGTAAAAATGGCTAGCCAAGGGCTGTTCTGACGCCACAAGCCAGCCGTTATGCATTCTTGTCCATTGATACAGCATAGTATTAGGCAAGTCACCTCACCATCGATGGCATATGTCTGAGTGAGAGACAGCTCATCAATGCTAGTACGGAATGCGTGGATGTGAAAGCGAGACTCAGCATAGGTTGACACACAAACACGATGATCTCTGACTGCAGCGTGCTCCGTTACTCCGCCGATACAGGTGAAGTCATTGAGGTTATGTCTCGAACTTTACATAAAAGGATATTAGCAACATCTAAGGGATCGTAGGGTAACACGATATTGACCGTTGGAACCATACCTGTGATTTCGGCTTATCAGTGTGATGTATTTCTCGGACACCTGAATCATGGTTCCGTCTGGTCTCTGTGCTGCTGCAAGAGTTCGGGATGCCGTGTCGAATTGGGTTAACATTGAGTCAGCCATCTCCGCAAGAGAGAGGTCGGCGGATACCAGCAAAACATCCGAGGTTCCAGGGCTTGCCATCAACATTTGGTATGGCCAGCTGGCATCGGTGGTCCGGAACACCCAAACTCTTCTCGTGGGTAGCGGTTCAAAGTACGATATTATGTTGGCGGGAAGCCCGTAGCGGAGTTCTGTGATGCTGCCTTGAGGGCCATTTCCTGATGCGCAAAGGACCTTGTCTGGAGATGTTATGTTCTCTAATGTCCGTTGTCGCCATGGCACGACTGGTTTTCCCCGTGGCCCGCTCCTAGGGTTCCATGTAGCTAGAGCATCCGTGGTGACAAAATCAACAGCACACGACCAGTTGGGGATGATTCCAAGCTCGACGAGGGGTTCTCGAGGTTTGAGCTATCTTGTCCGTCAGCAGCGGCCTTTGGGATCACACTTCAAATCCGCCTTACCTGGAAGACCATTCCGGGGCCGGAATCGCCTGCAACTATAGCAACATCGGAGTAGGCGTCGTACATTGTGGTGAAGGCGGTGGAAATATTGCAGTTGCAGTTGCCAACATTCATGGCGGCGCTAAGGATGTCTGTGGCATTAAACTCAAAGAAGACAATCACGCCGTCCTCCCGAGCCATATAAATGAGGTCTTTTGTGTCGTAGTAGCGTCGTCTTCGTACTGGCCTGTCCCATGCCGTCCAGAGTGGCACGCCAGTTCCATGGTGGAAAGGGGTGGTGGGGTGGCTGATCGGGTTGATCGTCTCGATATCAGGAGGGCCCTGAAGGGGGTCCTTGCAGATCCCAAGCGCGTGCTCCGATACCGCAAAGAAGGAGCTTCTAACTGTCAAAGGAATGATCAAAAGTGGCAGACGATGCTCGGGTGCTATGCGGTGGCCGCGCTTCTCCTCTGCGAGTACCTGGCTGAGGTCATCCCCACGTTCCCATTCATAGATAACCATCTTTGATCTGTCGCCTTTGACAACGATGAGAAGGAGAATAACATGCTGTTCATCCTCTGGGCGGGGATAGAGAAACTCCATTTTGAGTATTGTCCCCTGGATTGCCCTTGGATGGTGTGTCTTTATTGGGCTGATGGACTTGTGACGCATATATTGGTCGCCCATCGACTCCATGGATTCGAGTTCATAGACGACGAATTTGTTTTGGGCATCAGCAACAGCAATGTAACGAGATCGAGGATCAACGGCTACATGGAATCCTAGGCGGCCTAGTCGCCTGGCTGGGTTGTGGAAGGGCGAGGCGACGAACTCTAGCTTTCCGTGAAGGTCCCTCCTGATGAAGAGGAAAACGAAGGAACCGGACTCGAGGATCAGAAGTAGCAAGTGTGGTGGCAAAAGACCATGGGGGCCGCTGGTGGCGGAGGCGGAGCTGATGTCAGCCATTTGAGTGTCGTCGTCCTCGTCTTCACTTTTGATATGGTCGGGTCCAGCTTCTTCAGCCACGACGCGGAAGTGCTCATACTTGTTTCCAATCACCAAGGCGTTTCGGATGCGGCAGCCGAAGTCGTTTTTTCGAAGAACCTCTTGGAGCTGGCCATCCTTGCGCAACTCGTTGATGCTCACGTAACGGTCCTGGCTATGTGAGCTTTCATTCTCGACAAGAAAAACGGCACACTTAAAGCTGCGCAAGGTCCCCAAACCCGTGCCAGTAGGTGGCTATGGAAGGTGAGAGAGCAAGCGACTCACCCCGACGAAAGCGACATCGTTATGATGGGCTGATCTGAGGCGAGCTGGGAGAACCCACCGGGCTATAGGACTCTCGATGATGGTTCTCGTCAGGATGCCGCAATTTGGAGGGGCAGGGGGTGAAGGGGGTGCAGCGGCGGCAGCGGTGGCGGTTGAGCCCCTTAGCACAGCTTGGAGGTCGATGGTTTCCGTAACCCAGGCTCCATTCCTGAAGACGTTCGTCTGAAAGGCCATTTCGACAGACCGTACTATGTCAACATGGTTGAACCAGCTAGCTCTTGGTCTTGAGGACAGCGGGCCGAAGGAATGATGGCAGCCGTAGAACCGAATCGAGATTGCTTTTCTTGCTCTGCGCGGGGAGGAGCAAAAGGTTGGGTCTCGTGACTTGAAAGACTCAAATCAATATGAGAGAGTCCTTTGCCATTTATCGCAAACGTTTGAGAATGCGGATGTATCGGCCGTACGACAGGATGGTGACTGGGGCTGAGCTACCTCGAGATAGGTATGGGTGAGATGAGATACACAAGGTAGCTGTGCCGCCTGTTGCGACAGTCGGGGGAGATTGGGTTTAGAGTACCTACCCCGCCGTGAGGTGAGAGGGTAGGTAGGTAATCATGGCCCCGATTAGCTAGCTTAAAGACTACGTCGGCTGCGGTGGGGCACCACGTTGCGTAAAGCTCAAGCTAATGAAAACGCATTATCAGAAAGCGAACATGAAGGAACCAATGGCCGGGATACAAGGCAGAACATCCGTCAGGTAACAAAGCAAGGCAGGCCCCGGGGTTCGGGCCAGCGGACAGCTTCACCTGTGTGGTTGAGAGTAGGTAGACCATGCGTTATAGAACAGTACTTAACTTTCCGATCAGAGACCCTCATCTCGGCTTATACACATGCTCGCCATCAACCACCACACCTACTGAATCGCCAGTTCAGTCCAGTTCCAGTGGTGCAGAGCTAGGACTGCAAGGATGCACCACTCCTAGCCCAAGACCCTGCTTATGCACACAATTAATCACTCGGCCGACTCAGGAGAGACACGACAAACTACTCGAGGTGTTGAGGTACCTAGCTTGATAGGGGCATATGCTGTCTACAATCTGGATCATTCCGTCCAGGGCGCGCGCGTCGTCTGCGAATTGGTTCGCAAAACGCACCCTTCTGAGCCAAACAACCCGGGGCTTTGCCCAGGTACTACGAGCGACGTGCGGTCCAATCAGGCACTCTATTGTGACAAAATTTTGGTAGTAAGGTGTCCGTACTGCCCAGAAAGACGATGAAACATCGGTGGTGATAGGTGCCTACCTACCGTATCTTCTCGTTAAATCCGTCTTTAGCTACTGCCCGAGCTAACGGCAAGGGGAATAGCAACGGCCGAATGAGGGCTAGCGTGTCGGCAGAAACAAGGCTACTTGGTTGGTTGATGGGTTGGCGAAGTTGATTGGAGCAGTAGGTGAGGAGATGGATGGATGGACCGCCTTCTATTGTAGGCTTAGCTCTTTGGCGGCCGCTACACTACTTTCGGTTAGCTCGTGCAGTAGCTTAGGACGGATTTAACGAGAAGATACGGTAGTAGGTATGGTCTGAAGCTACCTATCTGCATGTACAGTGTGCCTATCAACCAAGGACGGGGGCCAGGCAGGTGATCTGCAGAAGATAGTTAGGCAGACAGGGTTTTGAATGATTTCAAGGGAACGACTGCACGTATCCGAAGTAGATAGCACTAACAAGGTGAGTTGACGGGAACATCATGACACTGGCGGCCGCTGAAGAAGTCGACCCGCGAAACCCCCCATCCGCCACCAGCAACCATCTTGGAGTCGAACAATGGGATGGGACACTCCAATGTTGCCGGTGTAAGGAGGTTCCGTCGCCAAATAAGAAAGTCAGAATCCATCGCCGGTCCTTGCTTAATTATTGGTCAGGCGATTGGTCTCTCCTGACCCGAGAAACCTCGAATATTACCTCCAGATGTGTTGGTGGAATCTGTCTACTTAGCCAAGCATGCCTGTACGTTCATGATGCCATTGTGTAGCTGACAGAAGCCTCATGTGGGCGTGTCCTACTGGCTACTGGCAGGCTCCAAATCTTCACTCGAGGTGCTGTTTTGGAGGCTGCGTCAAAGCACGCCGATTAATGTTCGTCTTGACCTAATCGTCGAGTCGATTTTCACAGGTGATCTGACAGCTGGGCTTAGGAGAGGGGATCTGCTAGTGATTGGAGGATGATTGTGTCTAAATTTGCCGCTTGGCCGGCTTGTGATAAAATCCTTAATATCATTGCCAGCTTACGGACGTAAGGTGCCAGTTGATGCCTTGGCCTGTCGTCCGTGTGAGTGGCTTCATCTCATTTGCATATGTGAAGTACGGTCCAGGAGGGAGACACTGCGCGGAAGATGTCGCATCCGCTTGGGGATGCTCGTGCCGCCATGCCTGAAGCCAGGTTTCTTAACTTCTTAACGGCGGGGTTTCCGTCCTTAGGTTCGTGACCTTGGTTCGAGTCTCTTGTAGCGTATCCTAGGCGGGTAGACCGTCTCAATTATTGGTTCCTTTGCTTGGCCCATAAGGCACCAACATGCGACATGCTTGGCTGTTTATCGATTGCATGTCGCGTGAGGCGATCAATTCCGATGTGTCTTTTGAGTTTCATACATACTCTTGCGTCGGCGGACCGCACCGACTCCCTGGGCAACACTTTGACCTTGCACAAATGCTTTGGGCGCAAGGGCGATAATAAAGTTCGCCTGTCAGTACGGGTCGTGATATCCATTACCTAAGGCTGAGCATGTGCATCTTGTCGTGTCGATCCAGGCCGGGGGGCGAGGGTGGGGGTGTGTGCATGTTCCCTGGATGCTTTGCGACACAGGCACCGGGCCGTTCGAAACAGAGGTCCGCTGTGGAGTTAACTCCGTCATTCTAGTTACAGCTTCTGGCCTTCAGTTTCCTTGGGTTACAGTCTACTGCACAACATTACGCGTGTAACACTCTACTTGCCCCCCTACAGCTCTTCAAATCCTAGCTCTCGCCATTGAAAACGTACCACTCCAGTTGATCACTTGAGATCGTCAGGCTCCCCGGACTTTCAAGTCCATCCAGCGAGCGTCGGGTGGCATCGGCCCTTGTATATCGTTTTCGAGCTTGCCGCCGCACGATGCATGCGCCGTCCCTGAGACGAGAATCCTTATTGACAAGCCCCTCGAAGCGCCGTAACGCAACAACGTCGACTACCAGAACGAGTCCATGGAGGCAGATCGAGCCGCTGGCGAGCAGCCTTTCCTCAGCTATGACTCGGTGACTGATATCCAGCTCCAGGGCGAGACGGTCGACCCGAGCCAGCGCAAGACGGAAGATATATTGGAAGCATGCAAGTGGAGGAATATTGAAGCTCTCAAGGGCCTTGCTGGCACCAGAGGCGGTTTCCTTACCGACGCTTTGCGCAGGAAAGCTTGTTAGTGCTGCATGCACCAGCCATTGCGCGTCGTTGCCTTGCAATGTCGTGAAGCTAACAGACCTGCCGTCGGTCACAGGGCCCATACTCCTAGGTCCTACAGATAGCGAGAGTTCCGAGGATACCGTCGCAACAGAGAAAGAGGAGAAGGGTTCTTGGAAGGACCTGCCGCGCCATAGGGACGAGGAACAAGTGGCGCTTGATGTCAACCGCGCTTTCATCTACTACCCGAACCGTAAGAGGGCCATTGCTTACCGCACCCGCGCTGTAGTAGGAGCGGTGGACAGCCCCAGACAAGCGCTGACCAACGCGTAGACCAGAACGACACCGAACTCGAAAAGAACAAGAGCGAACTCTCGGACCTCATCATCGAAGTTCTACGCCGCTACCCATACCTCTGCTACTTCCAAGGCTACCACGACATCTGTCAAGTGTTCATGCTTGTCCTCGAGCCGCCGTGGCGCGCCCGGCTGGTATCGCGCCTCTCGGTGCTTCGCATACGAGATTTCATGCTCACGAACCTTGAGCCGACCGTGGCCCAGCTGCGCCTGATCCCCGATATTCTCCAGGCGGCGGACCCGAATCTCAAGCGCCACCTCGCCGGCACGGAGCCCTTCTACGCCCTCGCGGGGACGCTGACGATGTATGCCCATGACATCCAGACATACGGCGAAATCTCCCGCCTCTTCGACATCCTCCTCGTCCGCGAGCCCGTCTTTAGCGTCTACATGTTCGCCCAGATTGTTCTGAACCGCCGCGACGAGCTCTTCGACAACGACGAGGACGACCCTTCCATGCTGCATCTCATCCTCTCCAAGGTCCCGCAGAAGATGGACCTCGAGTCGCTCATCGCCAGCGCCACCGCGCTGTACGAGCGATATCCCCCAGAGTCGCTGTCTGCGTGGCGCAGGATATCCGAGGCGAGCTCGCTGAAGACGGCGCGCTCCGTCGAGGTCTGTGCCAAACAGACGATGGACGAAGGGCATGCATACTTTCAGAAACAGCTGGCAGAGCTCAAGGCCCTGGAGCGCCGACAGAAACTCATGAGAATGCTCTGGATGTACAGAAAGGGTGCTGCCACAGCAGGACTGGCCATCGTCGTCGGCCTCGTGGCCGTCTATCTAGGCCGTCGGAACAGCAGTCCCGTATCTGCGCTGGTGGATTTGTACAGCAAATGGACAAATGGAACGAACTGGACGCATAACTTCTAGACAGGGCTGGGGAAAGCCTCAAGCCTCTCGAAAGATTGTCTCATCATGTAAATTTAAATTTCCAGTGGTAGGGTCAAAGACTCCTGCACATTCATGATATCTCATCCGACAAAGAGCACCCGACGCCGCGCCTACTCCCAAGCCTGCAAAACATATACCTGTGTCTTCTAGTACGAGAGTTCTTCTCAGGCACCCTCCTGGAACGCCTCCTTGAGCTCCTCGAAATGCTCTTGCTGCTCCACAGCCAGTTTGCCGCCGACATCGCTAATGATGGTAGAAACCAGAGAATAATTGTTGTACAGGAACCGTTCGCGCTTCCGCTTATCGCCAAACGACTGGCTGAGGCGCGTCAAGAAGGCCTCCGCCTCGGACCGCAGGCGACGCAAGCTGGTGACAACGGGCTCGTCGTCCCCCGCCTCGGTGCTGAGCGCCAAAATGCCCTGCAGGATCTGACCGAACCTCTGTGTGACGAGGTGAGGCGCCGCCGACAGCTTGTTCTGGTCCGCGGCCCTGGGTTTGGTGGGCAAGGAATTAGTTAGCTGCCGCACCGACTCGCAATGGTGATCCATCACCACCTGCAATCTCGGCCACAGAAGCATGGTAGTCATGTTGATGTAACCGTCGACGGCGGGGACTTTGCGCCTCTGCAACTCAAATGCCAGATGCTGGTTGAGTCGGATGCACAGCAGTAAGCCTAGCGCATCGTACGACTCGGCAGTAAGTGTCTTGGTCAGTGTCTTGCCCAGCGCAAATGTTGGCTCGAATATGTAATTGAACTGCCGCGAGACTGCCTGCAATGACAGTGGAGGCGAGAAATATGCGGCTAGGAAAGTATACTCCGCAGTAGCGTTGTCTATCAAGGCCAAGTTGAAGTTCCTGAAGGGAACCTCCAGATAATGCGTGGCCGGGTCTTCCTCGGCCAGGTAAGACGATAGGGCAGCCGCGTTGCTTGTTTTCAAGAGGTCGATACGTCGGCCCAGGTTGAAGGCATCATGCGGCGGCCCAGCAGGTTTTGCGGCGGACAGAACCGTAGCCCTCCGAGTCGGTTCCTCATGCCCAAGAACGTCGTTCTTATCAATAACGTGTAGCTTGAGCCTTTCCAATGCTTTCTGATACCGCGTGAACTGGTTTGCGTAGTACCACCGCATTGTGTTCATGTATGCCAGGCTGATCTCTTCTGCGAGCGTGGAGTGGTGCTTATGCAAGAAGGCGTATAACTCTTTGAACTTCAAAAAATTCTGCTGCTGAATGATTTGCGCGTTGATGTGAGGGGACCGCATGGCCTTGATTTGAGCCACTATAAAGTCCCGTATTCGCTCGACAGCCTTCATTGTCAGTTTGTCCAACAACGGGCCAAGGTCTGACCAGGCTTTGCTGTCCCCCTGGTTCACAACGTTCTTCTTGTAAGTCGTAGCTCGCTTGTCTACTTCTGCCAGCATCTTGACCCAGGTGTCGTCAATATGCCCCTCGGATATCTTGGATACCACTTGGGGAGAGACGCTCAGTTCCTCGACGACCGGCCCGAACGCCTTCTCAACCGCCTTGCGGTTGTCCAACCGCACATTGAGCGCCGTGGAGCGCGACTGTAGGCTCTCTATGTCAGCAGAGACGGCCGCGAGATCGTTACGGAAACTCGTAAGGTTGGTTTCCACCGAACTAAGGACGCCGTCGCATGCCGCAATAGATCGATGCAGGTCCTCGAATTGGGCTTTGCTGGTTTCGACTGGAGGTGCAAGTTAGCGGTCTACGTTGCAACAATACAGCCCCCCTGGAAGTTCATACACTCCTCTGCAGTTTGCCGCCGGTGGCTATCCGTCTCGTGCGTGCCAGCCTGGTTGGAGCTAGCAAGCTCTCGAAGACTCAGCCCGCCGAAGTCGAAATCCAATTCGAAATCCTGTTGGGTGATTATTCCCGTAGTGCTACTCGCAGCAGAGTCGGTGATGGAGGTCGTTTCCAGGATTTGGCCTAGGATCTCGACCGAATCCGGCCCATCGTAGGTGGTCTGGGATTGCTTTAAGCCGGAGCCATTAACTCTACGAGAGGCGAGGAGCGAGCTCGATGAATCATTGGAGATGAGAGAGAGTTGCGACCCTCTCGGTGTGAGACCGGAACGTTGCGAGGTGACATACGGAGTGCTTGATGTTCGTCGAGGGAGAGGGGAGTAGGGTCGGCTGCCAGGTTGCGACAACGTGGAGGTGGACGGGTTCGACTGCGCTGCGAGCCGATCAAGCCACATGGTGGACTTATGTTAAGAAGGAGCTACGGAGCTGTGGGTTCTGAAGAGTTCAGCACCATATCATCGAGAGTATATGATCTAAACGAAAGGCGGAAGCTGTAGATCTACCCACAAGCTGTCTTATTGGGAGATAGGTAGGTATGTATACCTGTGAGAAAGGCTAGGAGACAGCAGACAAGGCTGGATGGCCTTAGGAAGGCGATGTGTTCTGATTGGGTAGTTGGCAGCAAAGCTCATCAGCCACATTGAGCACCGACTTGCCGAAGCTCTCGTGTGGCGCGGCAGGGGTAGAGGAGGGGGTCAAATAACTGCGGGGCAGCATTTTTGAGGGCCAGTGCAGCAAGCAAACGTGCGGGGCATCTGCCTTCGAATGCGCAGTGACAGTGGAAAAGCACATAACAGACCATTGATGCATCCGACGTTGGGCGGGAGGGAGACTGCAACATGTTGTGCAGAATCCGCAACACCTCCAAGGTACCCTTACCTCTGACCGCTCGAATTGTCTCGGAGAAGAGCTCCTACGTGGTTTCCAAGGGCACCTCACCTCGGCTGAGCTGAGCTGAGCAGCAAGAGGTCCTGTTACCTGAGGTCCTTAGAAATGCGTGGTTGCCTATTGATATGAACCGTGCCGGATGCCGCGGTACCTCATGTATAGAGTAGGGCATATCTGGGGGCAGGCGGCACAAGAGCTTCATTCTCGGTCGGAATCCAGGCGCACATACCATTGAGATTCGGCTCGCCGTTCCAATACCTTCCGAAACAACAAAACAGAAGGTATAGAGAAAGTGTCAGGACAGTTGACCGACCACCTCGGCGAGAATTCGACCCAATGGCATTAGCGTCGAAAAAAGGCTGTTGCTACGGGACCCCCATCCACTCGCCTCGCCTCGCCCTGTTGGGTCTCCGAAGAGAAAGCTTCGGTTTGACATGAAGGTGTACCTGGATAGGGCGCAAATTACAGGCGGTCCATAGCCTGGTGATATCACAGTATAGGCGGGCACCTCTGGCCTAAAGGACCAGCCCAGTAAGGAAGGTACTATTCTCGCAGTGAGTGACAGGGACGGCCAAGTAACTCACCCAAAGAGGGCGGGGCAGGTGGCAGGCAGAAGAAAAGGAAGAGAGAAAAAAACCGAGCCCACACTCCACCTTTTTTGCACTGTCAAAGTGCACCCTGTCGCAGTGCCTACCGAAGCCTGAGAGGCCAGGGAGGGGCGCGAATCTGGGCCTGGGAGCGAAAAAACCCAATAATAAAACCAAGGAAAAAATTATCTACTCCCGCCTCGCTTCTTTTTTCCCCTCCATTCCCCCCCTCTGCCCGCTCTCTTCCTTTCACAACTCTCCCCCCTCCAAAACATAGCAGCCGTCTTTTGCTGGGTAATTCCCCTTTTTGCCTGTCGAAATCTTCCCCTTCGATTTTTTTTTAGACATCTTTCAGTCAATCCTTCAAAATGTCCAACGACGACGCCCAGGTGAGTTCCTTGCGATAGCTATGCTTCCCCTCTCGTTGCCCGCCACCCGCCGTCGTCGCATGCGAGATGCCATGCCCGTTGCTTGGGTCTGGGCGAAAAACCACCCCGCACCCACAGTCTGCGAGGGCCCCGCGGGCATCTCGACGCACCACGGCTCTGCGCATCACAAACAAACGCATATGCAACCCAATCGAACATTATAGATACGGCCAACGAATCGAACCCATCTCTACGTCCCGAACTACATTTGCCGCCATGATGATGCATGCACATTCCCTGGGGAGCTCCATATCGCTAACGTGACGGTGCAACAGCATGAGATGACCTTCGAGTCCACCGACGCCGGTGCGTCTCTCACCTTCCCCATGCAGTGCTCTGCCCTTCGCAAGAACGGTCACGTCGTCATCAAGGGCCGCCCCTGCAAGATCGTCGACATGTCTACCTCGAAGACTGGCAAGCACGGTCACGCCAAGGTTCACTTGGTCGCCATCGACATCTTCACCGGCAAGAAGCTTGAGGATCTCTCTCCTTCCACCCACAACATGGACGTTCCCAACGTCTCTCGCAAGGAGTTCCAGCTCGTAAGTCATGGCCAAACCCCCAACCTCGGGAAACCTTTGCGGCCCACTAACAAGCTACTGTAATAGGTCGATATCTCCGACGATGGCTTCCTGTCCCTCATGAACGACGATGGTGACCTCAAGGACGACGTCCGTCTTCCTGATGGCGAGGTTGGCGAGAAGATCAACAGGCTCTTCAAGATTGAAGAGAAGGACACCAGTGAGACTTGCCAAACCCCGCACGACAGCAGGCTCTGGAACACAACTGACCTCAAATCACAGACGTCGTCATTCTTACCGCTATGGGTGAGGAGGCCGCCGTTGAGGCCAAGGAGGCCCCCAAGCAGGGCTAAGCGCTGCTACACTCAACTACATCATCAGACAATGACTTCCACAAGCGCTTATTTCGTGCGGCCTTGCTGGCAGATGTTGGCAGACTGGTGACATTTCTTGCGATATTTCTTGGCGCGTCGAAAAAAAACTCTGAACGGTATCCCCGTCAGTCGTTGCGTAAAGGTTCATATCTGGACAGGACTTGATACTGGGTACGCGAACTTGACAATTGCAAGACATGTCGCACGGCTTTTTTTCCTTTGTTTTTGTCTGTTTCACAGACTCTTACGACGATCAGACTAGCAATGGGATAGGTGAAAACAAAATGGGAGAGCCTCGTGGGTGGCAGCAGATCTGTCCGATGGAAAAGCGGTACACTTCCCCACCACGCCGTCTCTGTTTTTCGTTCATACCCGTTGTGCATACTTGTGGAAGCACCGAAGCGCAGTGCATATTCATACGTGACGCTTGCTATGATGCCTCGAGACTAATTGAATTCGATTGGACTGGTACTGATGGTGTGATGTTTGGTGAGTAATCATAGCCTGGGTTAAACGGCGCCCATTCAAGAAAGGTAGTAGGTAGCTATAAGTTCACTGGTAGTTACGCAGCTAGACTGAACCTCCATTTCTGGTGGGGGAAAGGGTCGATTGTTCGTGAGAAGAATAGCCAGCATGCAATATATACATTTTCAAATGCTGAGTTACCTTCCTTGTTTCACAATATTTATTTTGACACCTGAAGTTGCAAACTGGTCAAGTGGCTCATGTATATAATATTTGAAGTCTTGTGTTAGGTACATAAAACAAGATGCTGGGTTTCGCCTGCCTAACGTTGACCGGAACCTGGGCGGGTAAAGTCGCGTACACTGTCCGAAAGTTCACCAACACGGTGAAGATTCTGCTCAACATCAACTTTAATTTAAACCCCTGGCACCTGAATCGGATACTTTCTCGACATGGCACCTGAACGGGAGCTTCACAAATTTCCCAAGGGAGAACGTTGTGAATTTTGCGGTTCTCGCAAGTGGTACCTCGAGAGCGGTCTAAGGTACTGTGCTAAGGAAGGCCATCAACTTCAGGTTTGTCCAACCGTGTTACGCGCTTCTCGATGTGAAAGCACCTAACGCATAACCACAGGGCTATGTGGAATTTGACCTTGGCGACGAGGACTTTGGCCAGAAAGGTCGTGTTTCTCGCAAACAAAAACAGGTCAAGGAGCGTGTAAAACGTGTGCTTTCAGGCCAGCAGGCGCGGGACTTGTATCTCGAATGCCTCCAGCTTATACTGAGAGAGCAAATTCTCTGGCTAGTCACGAAAAAGGGTCATGCGGCCGAACTGGAAACGGTGGTTCGTGACCTTTGGGATCTTCGGACCTGCGGAGCTCCGACTGTCGTCCACGATGATTCGGCCTCGGAGAGGGAGCCCTCACTCTTCAGCTCACAGCTCGACCTTATGCTGGATGAGCCGACCCATGCGCGGACCAAGCGGGCACAAAGCTGGGCTCCCGAAGACGGCAGCGAGTGGCCAGCGCCGCGGGTGATGGATACCTTGGGTCTATGTATCCTGGGATGCGTGCTTCTCAGAATACCGACGCGGATTGGGGATATTGCCAGGTGGGCAAGGGCAGGAAGTATTCCTTACAGGGAAGCTGTGTGTAGTATGATCTCCGTTACTTCGGTGTGCTTGAACTAACAATCAACAGTACTGGCAACTGCCTCAAGAGATGCGCGACAGACTACCGCCGTCGTACACAACACCGCTAAAGGCAGCACGCTTAGCTGCGTTCGACCACGGCGAGCTTCATGCTTCAGTTTTGAACCTTGCTCTATCGTATCATCTTAACTACAACATGGTCTTCCCCCCACTCAACGACGTCCTTATGACATTGCAGTATGTCCGTGAGCTAGGCTTGCCTGGTAAGGCCCCAATCCTTACTGAACGTGCTCACAGACTGACAGCAAGCAGTTGAGATGATCGCCATTGCTCGTAGAATACCACCGATAGCCAATCTCACTTTCGGTTTCCCTCTGGAGAACACTCGAATCCGACTCATGCACCAGCCAGAAGTTCTTTTAGTTGCCGTTATCGTTCTCGCGACCATTCACTGTTTCCCTTTTGAGAACTCTACAGCTTCCGGTCAAGACGAGGTTAACTTCCTAGTGCCGAGACTCGACTGGGAAAAGTGGAGGACGATCATGGCGCCAGCTTTGAGTACAGGCTTGGTCCAAATGAGAGTGGACCACACAGATGTTACGGCGTCACAAATATTGTCAATGGGGCCGGCAGAGCTCGATGATTATTTTGCACATCTGTCACTCCTTACCGACGCGCAAGGTAAACACCCGCAGAGTATTGCCGACCCGCTCAGCATCTGACCTTCACCTAGCAGAGGAAACAATGCTTGCGAAGTACTTTCCCGTCGAAGAGCAGCCTTCCAAGCAAGCCCTGTCTGAGACCCCCGAAGACGAGACTGTTGGGAGGCTGCGCAGCATCCAAGCCCAAGCTGCATCGTTTGTCAATCAGGTCGGCCAACCAGGGCAAAGAGGGAGAGGTCTGCAAAAGGGCATTTACTACTCCTACAAGTCTGAAGAAGACTTGCCGCCTGCAGGAAGAGACTTCTTCAAATTAGCCGCCCAACTGGCGGGGTTGTCAGTTCCAATGCTGGTGCGAGCAGTCAACATGCTCGAGGCGCACATCGTAACCTGGCAAAGGGAGCAACGTCGGGCGGCAAGTGAACGCCGCGAGAGATCTCGGTCAATCGTGAACGTTGACTCGGAGACCGAGCAGCCAACTTCTACAGGCTTATAATGCACTGCAGGCGAGCAATGTCGTTGCGATAGGTTTCTTCAGGGCTCAGAGGCCTACATGTATATGTATGTAAGCGAAGAAACCTTGGCTGAAGTTCAACGTGCAATTTTGCATAGTACCTAGTGCACAAATTAGGAATTTGTCGAAACGCAGTGATACCCGGTAACAAACAGCCTTAGCAGAGACTCTAAAATATTAATGCATATGCTACACGTTAGACGCAACCACCTCTCCTACTCACCCGAAGCTTGACTATCCCGCTAGTGTGAAGTCATCGCAATCAATCAATCCTACAGGGCTCTCAGTGAAGTGACGGGTGCGGGGTGGGTGCCGTTAGAGGCGAGGAGTGCCATTCCCACAGGGTGGCTACCTCTGTGAACCTGGACGGCCAGTTTCGCACCTCCGGGACGCTCGGACCAGCACAACCAACTGCGTGCCCTAATTAGGGCTTGCGATTTCTCTTCTGGCATTTGCTGCTTGAACACCATTCTCAAGCGTCGCCCCACCAATTCTTTGCCGCGATCACCAGAACTCTTCGGTAACAACAGCCAGTTCACGGACGTCGGCAAAAGTAAGTGATGAGAGAATCCCCTATCCTCGTTGACGGCGTCATGCGGGGCGTCGTCGTTTATTACTTGCTGATATGGCGATGCTAACAACTTTTGACTTGCAGTGCAGATGTGAGCCGCCCCCGACTCCAATCCCCCGCCCGTGCCACCGCCTTTTTCTTCAAGCCTTCCTACGCGACGATAATCCGAAGACGCCGAGATGCTGACGATAATGGTTACAGTTTCGTGAAGACCCTGACGGGTAAGACCATTACCCTTGAGGTCGAGTCCTCGGACACGATCGACAATGTCAAGTCCAAGATCCAGGACAAGGAGGGCATCCCCCCTGACCAGCAGCGCTTGATCTTCGCCGGCAAGCAGCTCGAGGATGGCCGTACCCTCTCCGACTACAACATCCAGAAGGTCAGTGGGCTTTTTGCGCTTTGGAGATTCAGATGCCAAGAGATGGGAGACACTGGGGACCCGACGACAACGGGGCTATACAGGGGGAAGAAAAAACGGAAACTGACTGCGAACAGGAGTCCACCCTCCACCTGGTCCTCCGCCTTCGTGGCGGTATCATCGAGCCTTCGCTCAAGGCTCTTGCCTCCAAGTTCAACTGCGACAAGATGATCTGCCGCAAGTGCTACGTAAGTGGCCGCTTCCCACGAACCGACAATGGTCGCGCGCACACCGCACCAGAATCTAACAATCCACTTCTAGGCTCGTCTCCCCCCCCGTGCGACCAACTGCCGCAAGCGCAAGTGCGGTCACACCAACCAGCTCCGCCCCAAGAAGAAGCTCAAATAGACGATTTATCACGGTTTGCGGCGTCACGGGTTCTGGCATTCTGGAGAGGATGGCAGGGATACGAATTTTCCTGGGCTTTGTGGTAGCATTACATTCCATCGGCAAGCAGTTCTACGAATAAAAAAAACTGAATTGGTCGCCCTCCTACCTCAAAACTTCAAGTCGGGAAAATGGGGAAAAGTACAAACCCCGGGACTGCCGCCTTCGTCCTGTATCGCTTAGGTTTTGATGTCGGGAGGCTGGAAAACAAGAGGGGAAAAAATCGTTTGGCGAGAGAGAGCGCCTGGGCGTCCTGAGTGCAGCATATTGGAGATGCTACTGGGCATGAGAGACGTACTATGATGGATGCGTGATGGCGACTGACCTGCCTCACAATGCTCTATTTCACTATAGTGGAATATCAGCACCGTAGCGAAATACAGAGCATCGGACCCAAATTGACGTCTCCTCGCCGCAAGGGAGCTCCCGTTGCCTCTCATCTAATCAAATGTTGCGATCTTATCACATTACCTACTAAAGGTGGCCTTGTGCGTGCTGCATAAAGTGAAATTCCCAATCATCCGCATTAGTGCAGTGCAGCACCTCCCGCAGGGGCTGAGTTTAATAGTGGGGGCCCTTTTGGCAAGGGAGCTACGTGGTGCAGGGCCAAAGTGCATATGTGGGATTACGACACCTTGTCCCGTCCGAGCTTCAGGTACACGTATCGGCCATCTGGACATAGATATTCTCACGAATCACCTACATCGATGAGGAACCGAGCACGAGCAGCTGCACATTGACGAGCCCGCAAAAGCTGATTGTCTCCAACCAAAACCAACAACGAGGACAAGCCTAAGCTTCAAGCAGAAGCCATGTCACGGTCCGGTTCAGGTTACGACGCCGTCGTCGACGTCGACGATGAGGTAGGAAGCTCCCTTCCGTAGAAGCACCTTGCTCTCGCTGTCTACCCAGGCCAAACTAACTGAGAGATACTTCGCAGGGCGACCTCGGCCACACCGATCTCCAAGACGACCTCGAATTCCACAGCTCCAACTTCCAAGACTCCGCGCCGGGGGCCCGCAAGCCGCCCGCGTCGGGGCTGCCTCCGCCCGTGACCGCGTCGTCCGGGTCCTCGAAGCGCTTTCTCTGGAGCATCAACTTCTACGCCCAGTATTTTGACGTCGACACCTCTGCTGTCCTCTCGCGCGGCTGGGCCGCGCTCTACCCGCGAGCCAACTTCCTCGATGTCCTCGAGGGCAACCCGGACCTGTACGGGCCCTTCTGGATCGCGACTACCGTCGTTCTGATCCTCTTCCTCGGTGGCACCATCAGTCAGTACCTCGCGAGCAACGGCACGAGTCCGTTTGCCTATGACTTCAAGCTTCTGAGCGGTAAGTGGCCCCGGTGTGGAAACTGACCTTTTGTGTTGAGGAACGGGCTAACACGTACGCTTCCTAGGCGCCGCTGGCCTCATCTACGGCTACACCCTCTTCGTCCCCATGGCCCTCTACATCGCCCTGCGCTACTTCGGCTCTGAATCAGCCAACCTCCTTGAGCAGTGGGCGCTCTACGGCTATGCCAACCTCATCTGGATCCCCGTCGCCCTCATAAGTTGGTCGCCCATCAACATACTCAACTGGGTCTTCGTCGCGGTCGGCTGCGGCGTCTCCGTCGCCTTCCTCCTGCGCAACCTCTACCCCGTCCTCAGCGCTACCGACCATCAGACGAGCAAGATCCTGCTCGTCGTCGTCGTTGCCCTCCACCTCGGCTTGTCCCTCGCCATCAAAATCCTCTTCTTTGCCCACGGCAGCCCCGTCGCGAGCAAGGACCCCGCGGCCGCGCCCCCGGCTGACGGTCAGCCTCCCCAGTTGGCCTTCTTTTGATTCGCCAACTACGCGCATTTCTCACGGCAAGGAAGGAAAAAGCGGGTTTGGAGTCTCTAGAGGAATCAAGCAAGTGAGCGGTTGCTCCGCTGGGTTCTGGACTTTGGTAATGGAACTCGTTGTGTTATCCGCCGGAGCGGAAGGGGCTTTCGTATACCATTACTGTACAACGAATATCATGATTCAATGCACTGTCCGTCCACCCTGCGTCGTGCCACGGAAGGTAGCCTACCTGTCCATTTATCACACTTTGGCTCTTGCCCACCCCTGGTCCAGACTGTCGGCCATCCATCCTCTAGTCGCCTCTACCACAAAAGGAAAACCCAGCCTCACCTCTGCCCAGGCCCCTTGCCGCCCCTCTCGACCTCGCCGCCGTGCTTCTCCCAGTCCAGGAAGCTGCCGGGGTACTCCCCGACCCTGGTCCACCCGGCCTCCTTGGCCAGCGCGGCCGCCGCGCGGCTCCGCACGCCGGCCTTGCAGTAGAATACGAGCTCCGTGTCCTTTCCGGGTCGCGGGAAGCCGTACCTTTCCTCGAAATCCTCCTCGGGGATGTGAAAGCTCTCGGGAGCCGTCGAGACGGGGACATTGATGGCGGAGGGTATGCGCCCGGTCTGCTGGAGCTCGCCCGGCTCGCGTGAGTCTGTGGCCGGGCGGCGGCGGCGACGTTAGCATGAGCAAAGGGACAACAAGAAAGTAAAAGAAAAAAAAAAGAGAGAGAGTATGTGTGGGGGGGGGGCTAGGAGGAGCAGGCAGGCGGGCTGAGCCGTAGGTCGGGGAATCGGGAGCAACGTACCGACAATCACGACGCCCTTGGGGTCCTTGGCCAGCTCGGCCATCTGCTCGTATGTCCAGAGCTTGCTGCCGTTCGCCGCGATCTCGTGGTGCCCGTCCGCCTCGGAAGAGAAGAGCCTCGGTACCGCGACGGGCGCGCTCCCCAGCCGGCAGGCGACTGCCGTCGTTACACGGGTCGTGGTGGTTCCGAACCTGGACGACGACGCCGACGCCGCAGCAGCAGCAGCAACAGCAAAGCACCGTCTCGAGGCCGCGACCGGTGCCGGCGCCGCGACGCGGCAGCGACCCGCGCGGAGCGCATTACTGCACACTCGCCTTGTGGAAGACATGTTTTCTGCTCTGGCCTTTCGTGGTCCTGGTGGCTCGTCTCACCGACGTCAAGACTGGTAGGTTCGGAAAGTGTGGTGGATAACGTTGTGAAGGGACTGGCTACCTTGGAGCTTGGAGCTCCGACGTTGTCCCTAGACGGGGAGAGCTCCAGCGGGCTTTTGGCCAATAAAAGCGGGGCATATCCCGCCGGGGAATGAGAGCTTGATGTCAGTGCCCGCTGAAGGTCGGTGTGCTCTTCCGGCCCAAGAGGTGGGTATAGGGGCCCTCCCGCTGAGATCCCACGGATATCTCTCCTTTGTGCTATCAGTACCACTTGTAAACCGCACACCGGTGACCCTGGCAGAATAGCGTCTCCCGTCTTCGCGGCAAGAGCAATCTGGACAACAAAGGCCATCTCAGCCCGCCCAGCGCCGACGAACATGTCGTCTCCTGTGTAAGAGGACTGCTTTTACCAAAGACTACTTCAATAGAAATCTTTAAGCTGGTCTACCATTGGTGCTAAACTGAGTCTATCATTACCCAGCATCATTTGAATCGGCCGTTTACCCAATGTCCCCGTCCCGAGGTCACGACCCCCAAGGCCACCTGGATTGTAGGCCTTTGTCCGCCTCTCTAGAGCACCCATCCATTACCCCGATATAATTATGTGCATACAAACGTTCATTACAAGTTGTAGTCCAGAGAGTTGGCTTCAACAAGCCTCGACTAGAAATCTATAAGCCTCCTGTTGCGAAAGCTCACCACATGTGGCGTCTGACATCCGCAGAAGGAGCACTAGCGGCGATCCTCCAGAATCAGCCGACTAGGCCTGACTCGCCAATTGGGCAGAGATGTTGCCAGCGCATGGCCTCTGGCCAGGCGTATAAAGGACCTATGCCACACGCTCCGTGAAAGTAAGAGGGCAGTCATCCTGCGTTCTGTCAGTATTTGATGCCACACCTCTTTCGGGAACAAGGCCAGAAACATACCATGGGGAAAATCGTCGCGAACACCTTGATCTCCTCGGACTTGGGCGTCGGGTGGTGAACCCAGTCCATCATGACGGAGGCTTTGCCAACCATCAGAGCCAGGTTCAGCTGAGCGTACGTCTGGCCGAGGCAGTAGTGAGGGCCTGTTCCGAAAACGAGGAAGTTCTTGGCACCCTTTTCCTCCGCATCGCCGGTGTAGTAACGCTCGGGATCGAATTCGTCGGGACGGTCGTAGACCTCGGGATCACGGAGAGAAGGGTAGACGGTGGGGATAACCATGGCGCCTGCAACCACGTTAGCAAAAGCCCATGCGGCTGAGCAATCTCGAATGACTTACCTTTGGGGACAGTGTATTCAGGGGTAATGGGGAAAGGCTTCTTGACGACATAGGGCACCATGAGAACAGGGGGGCGGTAGCGAAGCAGCTCGCGGACGACAGCACGAGTGTAAGTCAAAGACTCGAGCTGGTCCATGTTCAACTCGGCGTGGCGGTCTCCGTTGCGGACCTTCATGTTCTCCTCGCGAACGCGGTCGAGGACGTCGGGGCGCTGGGCCATGGTCTGGAACAGCCAAGTAGCGGCACTGCTGGTAGCATCCTGGGAGGCAAAGAGGAAAGTGAAGACGGTCTGGGCGATCTCGTAATCGGAGAATTCGCGGAGGAGGGGGACGGGCTTCACCAGACCCTCAGTCGAGCCGCTGGCCTCGGCCTCACGCCACCTCCGAGAATCGACAATGGACTTGACCCAACCATCCATGATGCAGGTTACCTCGCCCCCGGCAGCCATGCGAACCTTGCTCTTGGCAGCGCACTTGGCGAACTCGCCGATGACCATATCGGAGGCCTTCTTTCCATACCAGGGCTTGGTGAAGGGCAGGATGACAGGGAAGTTGACGAGCTCGAGAGCTTCGGTGATGAGGAAGTAGTCGGCGGAGATTTTGCGAACGGCCTCGTCCGAGATGTAGTGGCCGACAAAGGTGCGACACGAGACGGCGGTCATGAGGTCACGGAAACAAGGCATGAAGGGAACAGGCTTGCCGCCGGCGTCCTTGGTGGTCTGGAGAAACTCCTGGAAGTACTGCTTGTACACGGCCTCCTGGCCAGGCAAGTAGGAAGCGAGGGCCTGGCGGGTGAAGAGACCGTTGAGACCCTTGCGGAAGTCGACGTGCGGCTTGCCATCGAGGAAAACCCAGTTGGTCGGGCCAAGGAGCTTGTGGGCAACGTCAACAACGCAAGGCTTGACGTAGCCGGGCGAGTTGAAGACCTTGCGAGCCATGTCACGAGTCGATGCGATGACGACGAACCTACGGATGTTAGACCCATCACCGACAAAGAGGTGTCACGGAATGCGCTCACTTGTGGAAGACGGAGACACAGCTGAGAGGACCGCTGGCCCACTTGGCCTTGTACTCTGAGAATTTGGGGTTTACAGACTCCAAGAAGGGACCAATGAAAGGCATTTTGAAGGTAGGTCCGGCAATGGGGCCCTTGGAGGTGATGTAGCTGACTACGCCTTGTCAGATACTGCTCTATCGTTGAGGCCGGGCAGAGGCGCATCACTTACTCTGGTCGTATGCGACAGCGAGCGCCAGCAAGGTAAAAAGAATCGTCCAGCCACCGGCGTTGGCCATCTTGTCGATGATGTAGTCGACCTGAGGGGGGATGTTGACGTTGCCCAGCTTGGCATTGGCCAACACCGAGGTGAAGGCGGTCGCGTTGGAATCCATCGTAGTCGGCTTGGGATGTTAGGGTCGGGGAGGTAGGCGGTGGTTCGAAAGACAGGCCGGCGGGTGAGGAAACACCAAGGCGGCGCGAAAGATGGTCGGGTACTCAGATGCAGCGCAGGACAGACTCGACTCACGCTCGTCCAGGTTCTTGGAAACAAGAGCGCAGGCGACGATGGGAATGTCGTGCGAGGTTGGTGGACTTTAGCAACGCTCTCGGTGGAGGGTTGGTTAGGATCACTGGGGAGAGGAATGTGGGAGGGAAGGAGATATTCAAAAGATTAAAGAAGGGACCTGACGACCCTCGACAGACGGACATGAGCCGGGGGGGCATGAGAGTGGGTGGATACCCGAACAAGGTTGGTTGTCACGGTAGGCCAGCAGCAAATGGGCAGGTGAAATCTGATGGGATGCACGAAGTACCTGTACCTCCCACCTCACCTCACGGCCCTTTTTTTTTTTTTTTCATATACTCCGTACCTTCTTCATGTACCCGAGCGAGTGTACTGACAGAGCCAGCGTTTTGCTACAGTAAAGCAGACGACGGCCAGGGTGGGCGCCTTCTGTACGCCAACTTGCGACCGAGAGCAGAAGAACGCGACCAAACTGTCTGTGATGGAAATGTGGGTTTCGTATCTCCCGCCCAACCCAAGGTGTGGTGGGTATTTTGAATTTTTCTTTCCTCTAGTTCAATGCCACCACAGGGGGGTTCATGCTATGTGTTAGGTATTGCTGCTGCTGTGCGCCAGGCCCCTATTGCCAGGGCGGCACCACCGGTTCACAGGTTCTAGGAACACCGGATGGTGGGTAGCCGGAAGTATTACATATGCCCATCGCGTGCAGTGTCTTTTTTTTCCAGAATGAGCCAAAGTCCCACCCTTGTTGTCCTCGACATCTCGGCGCCAGAACCAGCTAGATGCGGATACCTGCACTATCCACTAGGGACTAGGTATCATGATGTGCTCGAGTGGCCGGTACGTAATGTCCGCCATGTACGGTATGCCGGAACCAAAACGTCAACATGGCAATTTGACGTTTCTTCTCTATCTTGGCCTAAAAAGAATCTGCTAGCCGCGATGGGGCTAGTGTTCCGATTTTGTTGGGCTTGACTATCCGTAGTCTCTATCCGTACTCCGTACTTCGTTTCGTTTAGCAGGACGGCAGGCGGGGGGCTGCGATTGGCATTCCCATGTGCAGCTGGCAGCACATCAATCAACACCATCTAAGGGCAAGAACCTGCCCATTTAATCCCCGGCCTTGCACCATTCGTTTGGCTGGTGGCACGGCATCGGCTGTCCAAATAGGCCCGCCCGGGAGCCCCATTGGATGCGCTTCACATCTCGGACGCCATTGTAGAAGCGAGAGTCCGAACGGCGCAATAGTACAGGTACATACAAACCTAGGTACGATGTAGGTAGAGACGTGGGTTCGGTCCACAGGGTTGACCCTGAATCTGGCGTACTCTACCACGCTCGCACACCAGACACGCGAGATTACAGCTGCCTTTGCCTCTTTTTCCCGTTTACCTGCGCACGGCCCCTACTGGATGACACATACCATATCATCGAACGAGAATCTTCAGCATCGATCGGTCTCGGTCAATCCAGGAAGCGGGGAGTACAGCTGAGTTGGGGCAGATAATCCCCCGTATTGTACACATGGAAAATGGGCTATGCGATTACCTAGGTAGCTGGCATTGTCACCCTGTGTCCCCTAACCCATATCGCAGAGCCAGGCAAAGGAGCTAGTGTAGATAACAAAGGCCAACTACCGGTAGGTGAGTTGAGTTGAGTACCTAGGGCAAGTAGGTAGGTGTACCGTGCACGGCTGTATAATTTGCCAACTTAGGGTTGCTTAGTGGAGTCTGTCAGTAGGTAACTTCACCAGCCCACGACGCAGCATCGCCCGCTAGAGCAACCGAGTTGTGCAAATGACGATCCCACCGTGGTGGCATGCCTAAGGAGCCTCCCTATTGGCCAATCGACCAGCCACTGTAGCTACCTACCCCTGACTTGAGCAATCCTGGCCAATTACGTCGTCCGATCTCCGGACCGCCCCATTTCCCGACCACAACCTTCGATGGATGCCTTAAACGAACACGAGAGGTGTTCTTTCTTCGATAAACTGTTGGCTTTGATAAGCAGCCCTTTCTGCCTTGGTGCAACGGCGGGGTAAATGGGTTGGTTCACCGCTTCTACAGCTCCCCTCCCCCTACGTAGGTAAGCATTCGATATCACCGTGGCAAATGGAAGTACTTGTAGTCAGTTAGGTTCGAATCCTATCGGCGTCACATTTTGGGGTTGTTGGCACAACTGTTTCTTTATCACTACCTACTTAACCTACTTATCTATCCGTACTCCGTAGTTACCCACGTAGATACCGTGTCTAGCCTTCTAGAAACGTCATGACGCTCTCCTTACCCACGTTGAGGCTCTGATTAAGGTTTGTGGAGAGTGCCTGTCATTGAAAGTAGTTTACACAGACCACAATTTCCATTGTGGCGGGACACAAGGTGCATCGCTGCCACAAAGCTGCGAGCCAATCCTTCCGGCGGGATGCTTTTTTTTCCCCCCCTTGTCCAAGGATATTACTCGTTCGTCCCGTCCCGTCCCATCCCGGCGTCGCTCATCACTTCCTCGATGAAGTTGTTCCAACTCAAATCTGCATCGAAGCCTGCCACCCAGCCCGTTGGTCAATACTGCATCGCCGAGTTACAACTTCTTTGTGAGCGAGGCGTCTGTCTTCTGCCCTTTGTTAGCCATCCGTCAATGAGCTTCCGAATCGAGTGGTACGGCTTTTCCTATCATATTAAGAAAAGTGATGAGGTTTCAGCATCGGTTCTGGATGGCTTGATCTTTTATCTGGATTCTAATCACACGGGCCGTCTCGACCATAGTGTTGTCTGTCTCTTGTCCGTCTGAGCCGGTCATTCCCGAAGCCTGGTGCCCGTACATCCTCAACCAGCAGCAGTCCAAGAGCCACTTCATTCCATCTACACGCGCGGCCACATGGCGTAAGCCTTATAGCCGTTGGAGGTGGTGCCAAGTTTATGCATTGATCTCCTCCCGGGTTCCTCAGGCCCTGCCAAGGCTGAGCTTGGCGGATAGTAGTAGAAGAGACGGGCTTGCTGTGACAATAACGAATCCTCTTTGTTGGTAATGTTAAGCTTCGGCGCAATCGAAGAAGTATGGCAGTCGTAAGCTGCTGAACTGAACTATATATATACAGCGTTGGGAGGCGAAATAAACCTGGAAGAAGATTCTTTTCACTTTGAGGTAAAGCGAGTACCTCATGGAGGCGGTTATGCACGTCTCAAAGGAGTAAGAAAAAGCCAGCGCGACGCGGCCATGGAAACGAAGCGTTTAGCAGATTGCGTGTCGCGTCGTGTCGTCATGTATAGCGGCAGTAGCAGCTTCAAGTTGGCCGCAACTAACCAACCGCGCGGCCCGACAGGCGTCAGCGACCCGATTCGGGCTGGCCTCAGACAAGTTTCCGGATTGACAGGCGATTCGTCACCGGTCTATGTAGCTGGTAACCAACCTTTCGTCAGTCAGGCCCACGAGGCCCGACAACGATGCAGCGAGGACTGTCATTGGGATGCATTGCAGAAGGCTTGCTCATGAAGGCCGGATGTCTCAACACAAGCATTATCAGACAAGGCTGTACTCCATACACAGCATCACTATCACATTCCACGGTCAATTCAAGGAGGGGAAAGCAGAAACCCAACGGGGTTCTGGGTGTTTGCCAGCAAATAAAAACCTCCCAAGGAAAGGAGAAAATGCAGAACAAAGAAAATCTAAAGGGAATAGGAAAGACAACAGGGCATACAGAGTATCTGGCAGTCACACTCTCTTCGGGCTGCGTCACCCCGACTGCATTTCCCACACTGACCGCATCTTACTCGGACCGTCCGTCTGTGATGATGGTCCGCGGTAACTCACCGACAAGAGTTTGAAAGCGTACATTCTGCCCGGGTGCTGCTTGGGTGCAGGTGACAAAGCAGATATCATAATAGACAACCATCAAGACCTAAAACGGTCGAGCAGACTGGGAATAAGCGGGCATAGGATAGGCCTTCAACCTCCACAAGCGGCGCAGGCAGACTTGCCAGTCAATGTGAAAAGCCCAAGGCTCTTTCCCAGGCAGACACCCTAAATCAGTCATCGCTCGCATTGGTTTATGCCAGCCACGTCGCGGCCTTTCGCATTTTTGTAGTGCTTACTGGGCGCGTCTTGTTCACCATGCTCACTCACTTACACCCTGTTCTTTAATTCTGGCGTCTCTTCCGGTCTTGACCGAAGCAAGCACGGCAACCTGTGACTTGTGTTTGCTTGCGACCTGCGTAGCTTACATAGACCCTGCAAGACGCCTCATGCAGGCAAGGGTGTTGCCTACACATACCGAGCGCTACCTATGTTCACGAGGCCGCCGTAGTAAACAAATGAGAGGCGCAAACATTGTGTGCGGAGACCCACGCCACCAACTATTTGGCCTCTTCTAGTGTGTGGTGTACCTACCGCCTCGGCATTCGTCCACGACACGACACGCGGCAGGGCTCCTCCAAGGACGGGCGGCCGTTCGCAAGCTTACCCGCTCACCATCCTCTCCTTCTGGCCATGACTCCCCATCGACCAGTAACCCATGGAACGCGGAATGACTTGCACAGTGTGCCTAGTCATAGACGCGACGATGTGCTTGACGGTAACGGGTTTCGGATCCATGGTCAAGAGTGTCGGTGTAAGCCACGCAAGGGAGTTGCATCATGCAGCCTTCGACGATGAGAATGTCAGGTTTGTATAAGTAGAGGCATCTCCATCTCGTCCTTAGGCTTAGATTTGGATCCCCATCAACAACATCACCACTTAGATCAACAAGAACTACCGCCAATCACATAAAGCTCTTATTACACAATTACATACAGGCCTCTTGAGCAGACTACACCATCCCCTCCGTCGTTACTAGACACCTACGCAAAGAACCACGTCGTCCATCACAGCCATGTCGGGAATGCACTCCACCTTCTCCAGCTCTGTCACCGGCGACAAACGCCACAGCCACGCCCTACTCTCCGCCCTCCAGCAGGGTTCCACCACCAGCACCGGCAGCAATGCTACCGCCGGCTCTGACACCGCCTCGGTCTCGAGCTTCGGCAGCTCCGTCTCCCTACTCAAGGGCACGTCCCACGGCCACTCGAGCGCCGCGTCTTCATCCCGCTCCGGCTCAAAAAAGTCTCCGTCTCTCGTGGCTCGTCAACGGGCCGCCGAGGACGCAAAGACGCAGGCCGCGAAGGCGGAGTCCTTCTCCATGACTGGTCCCGTCCGCAACGACTTGTGAACAGCAAAGAGAGAGGAGCAGTAGTAGTAAAAAGCCGGATGATGGAATTTTTGTTTAGACCTGGTGGGATAAGAGGCTGGGGAGGAATGACTATGAGCCCTCCTCGACGAGTTGCAATGGTCTCTTGGGATGGGGTTTTGGAGCTTTTTCATTTGTATTAACCGCAACAGGGGTTCGGACTTATAGGAGAAATGAGATATCTCAGCTGAGAACGTTAACGCTCTTAAAGGAATGGCCTACCTTGAAATCTGTGCTGAGCGTGCAATTGGGTACTGTCATAAGGGATACTGGGAGTTAATCACTGCCCGAAATTAACGGCGTCGTTTTTGCGACAGATATCGCTATTTGAGACGAGAGAAGGGGGAAGTCTGAATGGAGGAAGGTAAATACGTCTCAATTTCTGGATCCATGGGTATCTCTCCTGACACTAGCTCAGTCATCCCCGTCTGAAAAGGCGGTTCCTTTTGCTTTCTTCCCTTTTCGGTCAGCCACCATATCAGTCCAACAGACAACAATCTAGAAACTCTCATCGAGAATGTCCTTGTTCATCTTGACCATGGTAGGGCTGTATTCCTCAAAGCTCTCCGGGTCGGCCCCAGCCGTGAGCAGAATGTCATCTACGATGCGCTTGCTCGCCTCCCGGGCTGCATCTCTCGTTAGCAAGACAGCACAGCATGGTTATCAGACCAATGTCCACCTACCAGGTGTCTGAAGCAGTTTGGACGGGGCCAGCGCAAACTGAATCGTCTTAGGCGGGCTCATTCCGCCATACAGGCCCCGATCCTCGTCGCTGTCGCTCTCCCAGTTAATCTCATACTTTTCCTTGGCGAGACCGCCGCCAATGTCCGTCGTCGTGTCATCTTCGTAGTCACCCCGCGTCGCAAAGACATCCTTGGTTTTTCTCGCCGCTCCGGGTGTCTGCACACTTACGCCGGGCGTACGCGGGCCCGCGGATGCAGTCGCCGCAGCAAGGCGCTGGCGTGCGTTGCTCTTGGCCGGCGACATAAAGGCCTCGCTGCGTAACTTGGGCATCTCTATGACTGGCGACGACATGGGCGAATCCTGCCGCCATGCTGGCAAGGCCTCCTTCTCCCTCTCCTTCCCCTTGTCGTCACGCTTGAGCGGTGAGACGCGGTATGCCGGGCCCTTGTGCGGTGTGGCTTGAATCCGGAACGTCTTGTCGAGCATGCGATGCATCAGCGGGTCCTTGTGCTGCTCCTGCCGCGACGATGGCGCGAACGCCGACCGTGGCGTCATGGACATATCCGGCAGCCGAGCCGTGTGCTGCGCGAAGAGCACCGTCGAGTCCTCCTCCAAGCCAAGGTCCTCGTCTTCGTCTTCCTCGTGCGGCGCAGGCGGCTCGCCCTTGAGCTCGCGCTTGAGCGCCTCGTAGGGAGACTCGAGGCTTGAGAATTGGGGCTGGATCGTCTTGGTCTTGGGCGGTCGCGGCGTGCTGCCAGTCAAGTCGTTATATTCAAGCAAGGACTCTTCGGCGGGGAAGGTCGAGTCTGCGACCGAGGCCTGAGTTGTGTCTTCGGCGCCTTCGTGCTGTTTGGGGGTGCGGGTGTAGTCGACGCTGGTTTCGTCTTGGACTGTCGACTCTTCAGTCGCTCCGGTCTCGTTATTGTCGTCATCGTCGTTAGCTAGTTCCTCGTACCCGGAGAGTGAGACGTTGGCCGAGGCCTCGAAGAATTGCTTCCAGAACTATTGATCCCGTCAAGTTAGACCACGGTGGCCGAACCAAAATTGCGCTGTTGGCGCACCTTTGATGCATCCCAGACGTTTCTTGAGTGCTCGCCGTACTGCTCGACAATGGGTAGGATGCTTGTTGTGACGATGCGATGTGCCTTGCTAAAGTTTGAGTCGATCTCTGTGCGGTAGGTCAGTTTATCAACACTAACGGACCACTCGTTGTTAGCAGGAGACCTATTTACCTTGCAAGGTCAGGGTGATGGACTGTTCCAGCTTCTCCAGCTCTTCAGTGAGAGTCAGATTGCGCGCAGACGGACCCGGACGAGACATGCTGCATGCGTTCCTGGTGGTGGTGTCCTGGTTGTAGGTAGTCGTAATCTGTGGTGTCGATTTGTTTTGCTGAGATTACTGTTTTGTCCAATAGAGGAAAGTAAATCAACAAGCGCGGGCGGTGGTGGGACACGCGATGCGGGGCAGCTTCCAGGGTCGAGGAATGGTTTGTATGGCGGGGCACTCCCGTCCTCCATACCGCATGGCGCTTGTCAACCTTGGTTATTCTTCCAGCTGTCTATCATCCGAACTCCAGAGCGACAAATTGCACACTGATTTTTTGAATAGCGTCAGAGGCCAATAGCGCGTATTTCTCATCTATATTGTTCAACAACCGGGGTATCTTTTAATCTATCGACTGATCCAGCCTTCTGTTAATCCTCACGTTTTGGAGTAGTAGCCAGACATGTCAAGCTTCAGGAGAAGCTGTGCAATGGGGTTGCCCTCCAAAGAACCAACTCTTCCTGCGTTTCCTTCCTGGCCCACTGCATCATTCATAGTTCCGTAGTCTCCTTTCTCACTCAAGCCTTTGCAAACCGTCAGAAACACCTCGACATTACGCTTAAAGTTCTTGTAAAGGGCCCTCGCTGTTGCGTCATCCTGCCTTTGCCCATCGGCTCGGAGCCTGGAGTATTTGGCAAATTTCAAGATAACTCGGAAGATGTCGTCAAGCAACTTGAGCACGGGCTGCTGCCGTTTCCGCAGAAGCAGTGCCAACATGATCCGATCGAGTACTTGGGAATGGTGTTCCCGCAGACGGTCAGGGCTCCCAGACAGCGTTGGATGATCTCCATTGCGAAGATCAGATTCAACCTTGTCAAGCAGTCCCTCAAAAGCCTGCCACGGCACCTCAATGCCGGTGTCGAATATATAGGAGCTGAGGCTGGAAACAAAGTGACGCGCTTCGAAGCAGAAGCGGACAGACACGTCTTCGACATCGTGCCAACCCGACTCCCTGCCGGTGACATCTCGGAAGAGGCGGTTGATAGTGTATTGCATCCGAAGCGCTCGAAGCAGCAGCTTGAAGATCCGGTCGTATTGCACCAATATGATGGGCGTGATGATGGCTCCCAATGCGGCCGGAGGCTTATACGACAGTCGAAGAAAGTCGAGCGCTTCTAGTCCGTCTTGGTCCATACACTTGTCGATCTCTTCATTGGATAATGTTCGAACGCCAAAGCTCAAATCGCCGGGAAGCTCGTTCTTTTCGCCATCTCGAGACTTGGCGTCTTCTTGAACAGGCCCGTCGTAGCTCTCCGTCAAAACCCCCATCAGTGCTAGACGCAATTCCGAACTGGCCGGGGGCCAAGTGTCTCTACCACTTAGCCGAAGTCCCATGACCCCACCCTGGCGGGCAACGCCGGCTTGTCTCTCTGCCGTTTCGAGATCCGGATCGAAAAGTGCATGGGAGAGGCGACTGCAAAAGAAGCCATTGCCTAGGAGATGGAACGCTTTTTGCAGTTTTAAATGGTCACGTAGATTATGAGTGGTGAAGAGCAACTTCAGACTTTCCCTGCCGATGACCCTGGATTGTGCAGAAATGATCGATCCGAACGAAAGAACCGGAAGTAGCGACCAATGTGGGGTGAAATCGGTGCCGGCGTTTGCAGCTTCCGTTGTAACATCAGATAGGCGCTCCCTGATGATGATTCCGAGCGGGTCTTCAGCTGTTGAGTCGGCGATTGGTTGGGCAAAGTCATGGATGGATGCGACCAGTTTGTTCTGCAACTGGTTCTCATCTAAGCCGAACAGCTGAAGCTGGTATGTTGCTGGACAACCCATCGGCCATGCTGGTGTATCGGCTTCTGTCGATTTTTGTGTAGCATAGGTGCTCACACCTTCTCGTAGTGCTCGCTCGTACGTCTGGACCCTACCTTCAAGATGTACAATAGAGCTCCAGTCAAACAACCACTCTAACATAGGGGGTCTGCTGGAAACGATGACATTGTCTTGCGCCAAGGGATGTTTGGGGTGCGTTGACCTGATGAAACGGAGATTCCGCCCAACCTCGAAGAGAGAATCCACCACGTCTTCTGGCATGAAGCTAGGAATCCGCCTTTTGTCTAAGCGGTAATCAACTTCGTCTACCTCGTCGCCGAAGTCGTCAATGTAGGTCTCGGATTCGACCTTGATGAAGCCCTTCTGCCTGCCCACCTCATGCTTGCCCAGCGGCACGCCAACTTCGCGGCGGGTGCCGATCCACTCCTCAACCAGCTCAATCCAAGGCCTGGACACCCGCCGGAGCACTTCCCGCATCATGTCTCTGAGGTGAGTCTCGGCGTACTCGGCAGACTGGGCTTGCTGGAACACGATGTCAAACACATCTTCATCCAGGTGATCACGTCGTATTTTTGATACCAAAGACTCGAACTGACGAAGAATGGTGTAAGTGTGGACAACAAGGGACTGGACTTGAAGGATCGACTGCGGGTGTTGATGGTGTAAAGCAACACTGCTCTGAATGACCAAGAGGGCCTTGTCTACAGCACTCGCCAGAGCAACCCGACAAGGCGTCGGGCTCTTCAGGTAGGTAGTGTCAACGAACTTGCGCAGTCGGCGGTATGTGTTTCCACACTTCAAGCAGGAGCGTTGAACTTCCTGAATAGCCTTGCCGGAGTAGGCGGAGATCCTGATCTGTGGCAAAGCGGGCTTGAAGGACTCGGCTTCGTTTTGCCAGGAGAAGAAGACCGACTCTCGGCCGAGGGCCAGGGCCATCAGCGCATTGCAATAAGGGCCTGTCTCTACCACAGTAAAATCGGCGCCTCCCAGATGTAAAGGGTCATCCCTCAGCGCTATCAAGGCATCAAACGCACCGGGACCAGCTTCTGATATGAAAAGTGGTTTTGTCGAGAGGGTGTCGCGAGATTCGAAGTTCTCCCACGTCATGTACTCTGGATTGTTCCACGCGGGCCGTTCGAGAGACAGCCAAAAGTCGTCCTTTTCAACATCTCCTTCGACAAGTGGTTCCCCGTGAGTGGCATTCGGGGTCTCTGTGGCAGTTGGTGCCTCCTGCTCCGTCACAGGATCTATTGCGGGAAGCGTGAAAAGCTTGCTGGGGTTCGGATCGGGAAGGTTATAAAGGGACGACGACTCTTTTTCTAGTCATGCGTGTTGTCAGTAGGCAAGATAATCAAGTGCAGTCATGGGAATACCAACCTGCTAGGTCGGGCGCAAAGAAACCAGCATCGGCCTGGGGCAGATGGTCCTCTATCCATTTGGATGACTCCCAAAAGTCTGGAATCGCAAAGACATTGGTCGACTCATCTTCCTTGAACATGATTGCGCTAATGGAGCTGATTTATGATATTCATTGGTCCTGATGAATGTGGAGTGCGTCTCGCGATCAGTGACATCGCATCGCTCAAGACTCTTGTGACGGTCGTTGCAATTCAACACTGCATGATTGGAAGCGCCCGATATAGTGCAGGGCCCCGCGACGCGACAGGCGCGTCACACTTCCCAAACCCGGACAGGTAAAGCCCGCTAGGAAATACCCCTGCACGTACCTGATTCTTAGTGGTCACTCCCCGCATATTCGGCCCCTGGCGGCTGAAGAGGTACCCTACCACAGGAATTGACGAAGCTCTGCTCTGCTGGAGCTCCAATCTAAACTAGGACTGAAATGCTTCACATTTCCACATTGATTTCCAGAGCCTCAGACAGCGGACCCTCAACACCCGCTACTGCGTATCGTCACTTTGGTTTATTCAATTGAACTACCAGGCTTACGCAACATTTGCATCGGCTATACACGACTACGTTGTGATGCCTCCCAAAAAGAAGGCGCGCAGCAGCGTCTCGGCTGTCGCAACGCCAACGCCAGCTCGCGACGAAGATGCTATGGACGTTGACACACCGGCTGCTGATACTCCCACAACGACCGTGCCTCCAGTCAAGCCTTCTTCAGACGAATGGCCGAACAATATGTGGACAGATGATCAACTCTCATCACTCTTCAAGGGAGTCATCCGGTGGAAGCCCGCGGGTGAGCTCTACAACCTCCTGAACAAATCCACCGAAGCTGACATCTGTCGCAGGTATGCACAAGCACTTTCGAATGATTGCCATCAGCGAACACCTACGAAATCACGGCATTGATCCAGACTTTTTCACCCACACGCGCATCCCGCACATCTGGACAAAGTTGCGCACCTTCTATGACCTTAAGACGATAGATCAGCGCGAGGACTTTTACGATGCGCAAGAGGACGACAACTACGACGACCGCTTCAAGGAGTTCGCCCTACCCTACGACGCGTTTGACGACCTGATGATGGAACGCCGCCTGGCCAGCGGTAGCGAGCCCCCAACCTCGCCGCCCGAGCTCGACCTCACGCCACCCCCGCCATCGCCCGGCGGCAACAGCAGAAGGAGGAAGCGCGCCTCCACTGTCACAAAAACCCGCGCCAGCACCGTTGAGGACACAGAAGACGGCGACACCGAGACTGCGTCGCCGCCGCCCAAGTCGGCCAGGATAGCCCGGATTCAGAAGCGGGTTGCCGGCAAGGCTAAGGCTGAAAAGGCCGAAAAGGTTGAGAAACCTGAAAAATCTGACAAGGCTGGAAAGTCGGGCAAGACAGCAAAGCCTAAAAGGGGTAAAAAGGCTGGTAAACCCGGAAAGACCGAGTCGACAAACTCTGAAGATGAAAACGACGAGAAGGATGATGACAGCAAGGGAGATGATGAAGAAGAAGATGATGATGAAGGGGAGGAGGAACAAGAGGAAGATGGGGGAGAAGAGGACGAGGACGAGGACGAGGAAAACGATGAGGAAGGTAGCGACTCCGACGACTCCGGGGAAGAAGATGGGGAGGAAGCAGAAGAAGAGGACGAAGAAGAGAGCGCCGAAGATAGCGGGACTCCAGTGTCACGGCCGACCAGAGGGAATGCTCGTGGCCGTGCTCGGGGCCGGGGTCGGGGCAGAGCAAGGGCACGAGGACGTTAGGTCACGTTCGCACCCGAAGATCCATGGGTTGTTCTTCGGGGAAGGCAAAAGCAAAAGTGATACCCATCGCAAGGCGTCGCGCGATGTTGTACGGAAATGACTTCGGGGATCCGCGTTTGTAGGTGGACAGACGTCAGCCTCTTATCGGTCTGCGAGCACAAAATGGGGTCGGAAGTTTGCAATAAAAGCATTATAGATTAATCCGAGATTATGGGTATCAAGAGCGACAACAAATTCCAATAAAGAAACCAGCGCTTCAGACCTTCTTGTCCTGCATCTGTGATGTTCCAAGCATCTCCCACTCGCTGTGGTATGTCAACCTCTCCCTCCACTCCCGTCCGGTATCATAGAAATCCTCTACATTTCCGACAGCTCTGCAGCCACGCTCTGGAATTTGTGGCATCACGAAAGAATCGGGGGGTTGTCGTTGCAGAAGCCGCCACATCTCCAACTCGGCCTCGTAGCTGGCCTTTGCATCCTCGGCATCGGCCTGAGCCTCCTGCGCCCGCTCGTTGCGGATCCTGTTCTTCAGGGCCTCCCGCGTGCGGTGCGTCTCGGGGAAGTCATGGGCGGAATAAACGAGGACCTCCTTGGCCTCCTCAATGACTTGGCGTTCAGCGTCGTCGAGGGGAGCAACGTCAGCGTCGTCGCCCGGGTCTTCCCCACCCGAGGCCTCTTCGTCTGTGGGTTCGGACGACTCGCGGTCCCCAAACTTGATCTCCGGCGTTGAGGATCCTTCTTCCATTGCCCCGTCCCTGGGGACATTGGACTCAAAACGAAGAATGCTCTCCACGCGGTCGTACGCCATCGACTCCTCGTTCTCGTCTTCTTCCCCGGCATCCTCCTCGGCCTCGTCGTCCCAGACTCCGAGCCGCAGCCGACGCGCGCACGTCGCCCAGAACTCATCGCTGTTCTGCTTCATCCCCAGGGACGCGACTGCCGCCTCGACATCCTTGCGTCTGACAAGGTTCCTTGTGGACGGCTCCACTTTCCTCTTCCCCCTGATCCGGGACCCTGCAATGAAGAGCGTCGTGAGCACGAGCTTCTTCGTCACAGAGACCAACAGCGAGTGGAAGTCCTGCAGAGCGGTGGCGCGGATCGTCGGCGGCTCCTCGCTGACGAATTGCCAGTTGTTCTCGGCATGGGACGCGTTCATGAAGATGCGCTCAGGGAGGCGGACAAAGTTCTTGACGCAGAGGAGCTCGGTGAACTTTAGGCCGTGGTCACTCGCAAAGGTGGTGTCTCTCTCTCGGCCGTGGTCGCCCTCGATGCGCCTCGCGAGCTCCAGATTGATGTTCCAGCACTCGCCCCACTTCTTCTGCTCGACGAGCTCCTCGTGCCGCTCCTGGCGGAAAGAAAGCGCGTCGGCCGCTTCATCGAGCGCGTGGCAGCATGGCAAGCTCATCTCGACGGCTGCGGGGTACTCTGCCAGCTCTAGAGACTTCAGGCCTTCCTCCGGTTCCTGCCTTCTCCTTTCAATGGCGTCCGCAAGCAAGGCAAGGTACTGGCGGACTTCGATTTCGCTTTTGGTTCGTATGCGGTCGGCAATTCCCCGGATGTTATCTTTTCCGAGTCTTGAGAGTGCTTCAAAGAATACCTTCTTCTCATACGGTGTCCAGAGTGTCAGGCCTATTTGCGATGGAGGAAGGCCTTTTTCTTCCCCATCAAGCGAGAACTTTGTGACATCTTCAATGTCACGGTTGAGAAGATCCAAGTAATTGCTGTTGAATATTCCCCTGTGTCGCTTGAGAACTGGTTCGATGGACTCGCTCAAAGCACGTCGTTTGTGTGCTGAGCGGCTGTCGTAACCACCAATGTCATCGTCGCTGGATGGTGTGCAGGCAGATTCATCTTCTCGGGGCAGTGTCCTCTGCCGTTTTGAAGGTGAATGATCAAGGTCTGCATAGTCTCCAATGTTCTCCTCGTCGTGTAAGAATTCGGCTTTCGATCCCATGCTCATCTTCGTCTGGTACTCTGGAGTTAACGATTCGGCCCGGGCGGTGTAAAGAGTACATGGTGTGATGTGAACACCAGCTCAAAAAAGAGAGCGATGCCGGATCAGGCAAGACGTCAGCTGCCTTTAAATAGTGTGGTTAAACCGAATACTGTTCGTGGTTGCCTCGCGGATACATGAGGTCGATTTAGTCTTGTCATGAGATGAGAGTTGTTGTCTACCTCACTCGAGGTCGAAGATTTCAATCCACAAAAAGACGGGTTGCTGGAAGTGTACCTGGCATTGGTCTATCAGAATTGCAGCGAATTTGCCTGGAACCACGTTAGTGCGGAGCTATCGATACCTTCCGCAGACGGACATGCTACCTGTATGGGGATATTCCAGGCTTCTCATTGGCGCATCTGCCTAATCCATGTGCTCCTGGGCTCCTGAGATGGTGACCTCAGGACTGAGACTCACTCATTCGTTTTGAACCAACACAAGTTATGAAAATCACTGCAATATGATACGATCCGTGATAAAAAAGCTTCCAAGACCTTCTTTAGCGATAAAAACAACTATCCCCATATTCAGGCCACTTGTAGTCTTGCCAAAGCAGCCCACCCCTTCTGCCTTACGATGCGCAAGCACCAATATCCAATTGAGAGACTATCAAGAAGAGTGCATCCAGTCTGTCTTACAGTCTCTCAAAGATGGAAATAAGAGGCTGGGAATCTCACTGGCCACAGGCAGCGGCAAAACAGTAAGCTCTCTCGTTCCACGGAGAAGGTACTCGGGCTGACTATCCCCAGGTAATCTTCACTCAATTGATTGAGAGGATCCAACCCGGGCGAGAGCTTGCCACGCGGACCCTGATCCTCGCGCACCGAAGGGAGCTCGTGGAGCAAGCAGCACGACATTGCACAAACGCCTATCCGAACAGCTCCGTGGAGATCGAAATGGGCTCGGTGCACGCCTCCGGCACCGCGGACATCACCGTTGCCAGCCTGCAAAGCATTACCTCGGGCGACCGCCTAGGCAAGTTCGACCCGCGGCGCTTCAAGCTTATCCTCGTTGACGAGGCACACCATATCGTTGCACCGGGCTATATGCGTGTCCTCCGCCACTTCGGGCTTGATACAAAGCGCGCCGACTCCCCGGCTCTGGTCGGCGTGTCCGCCACCTTTTCCCGGTTCGACGGGTTGAAGTTGGGGGCCGCCATCGACCAAATCGTCTACCATAAGGACTACGTTGATATGATCGGCGACAAGTGGCTATCTGACGTGGTCTTCACGACCGTAGATTCGTCGGCCGATATATCCAAGGTCAAGAACGGCGTCAACGGGGACTTTCGGCCAGGGGATCTTTCCCGTGCCGTCAACACGGATCAAGTCAATGAGATCACCGTTCGGAGCTGGTTGGCCAAGGCGTCGGGCCGGAAGTCTACCCTTGTGTTTTGTGTCGACCTCGCACACGTCGGCGGGCTGACGCAGGCGTTCAGGAAGCACGGCTACGATGCCAGGTTCGTAACGGGTGACACGCCCAAAGTAGAGAGAAGCGAGATCCTCGAAGCGTTCCGGAAGGGTGAGTTTCCCGTACTTGTCAACTGCGGGGTCTTCACCGAGGGCACCGACATCCCCAACATCGACTGCGTGGTCCTCGCCCGGCCGACGCGATCCAGGAACTTGCTAGTCCAGATGATTGGGAGAGGGATGAGGCTTCATAAAGGAAAGACCGATTGCCATGTCATCGACATGGTATCGAGCCTGGAGACCGGCATCGTCACCACGCCGACGCTGTTCGGTCTCGACCCCCATGAGCTCGTCGACAAGGCATCGGCGGCGGATCTGAACGAGATCAAAGACCGGAAAGAGGCGGAGCGTCTCCGGCAGCAGCACGCCTACTCCGACGCCCCGGATCCTCAACCTGCCACCGCGTCCGCTTGTTCGGTTACTTTCACCGACTACGGCTCCGTTTTCGATCTTATCGAGGACACCTCAGGCGAGAAACATATCCGGGCCATCAGTCAGTACGCCTGGGTACAGGTCGGCGCTGACAAATACGTCCTCTGCGCCCCGAATGGATCCTTCATCCGTCTGTCCAAGATGGAAACGGACGCCACCGAAACCCAGGCGCAACAACAACCTCCCCTCTGGGTCACCGTCGAAGTCCGCGCACTGCCCGCAGGCGTCGCCAAATCACCCTATGCCGCGCCTCGCGAGCTCCTCAGGGCGACCACCTTCGCCGATGCCGTCCACGGCAGCGACAAGTACGCCTCCGAGACCTTCCCGCATGTCTTCATCCACCGGTACCAGCGGTGGCGGAAAGGCCCGCCCACGCCCGGCCAGCTCGAGTTCCTCAACAAGCTGCGCCCCAAGGAGGAGCCCCTTACGGCCGATGACATAGACAAGGGGAAAGCGACGGACATGATTACCAAGATCAAGCACGGGGCCAAGGGCCGATTCGCGGGCATCATGACGGAGAAGAGAAAGGCTCAGCGGCAGCATCACAAGATTGCCCAGTATGAGGCGCGAGCGCGGCAGGAAAAGGTATCTGTCGGCCCCCTTGCCTTCTAGGGAGCTGCCTCGTGTTTGACTCATCCGCCTCGTTGAACATTCCCTCTCTATGGGCTGTAAGATTAGGTGGTGTCACGGCGTTGCAACTATTTGGGTAAATTGGCTTGCATTAGCACGGTATAAGGATGGATACAGGAAAGGGCATTGGGGGGGGGGGGATGGAGTTGACACCTGCTCGTTTCTACCAAGCTCACAAGATGGCATAGGCGTGAAGGTCCCCGTCCATATGAAGGCAAGATACTCGGACTCTTGTGGTCGCTCATCCTGGAAAGAAGTTGGACAACGTCCTCGGGCGCACTCTTGATATTTAGCTAGGCTTGATATGGACCATATCAGAATAAAGGGCATGTACGGGGCAACATAGCCGACTGATAGCTCACTGTCGACCATGAGCTGGCCTCCTATGTAAAAGATAGCCATAACTTCGAGGTGGCCTGCATACACACGCGAAAAAGGCACAATTCATCATAAGCTCCAAAGAGAGTTTGTGTGATCGACCATGGGTATCATTGCATGTCAAGGCCAACCTACACGTTGTGAAGACGTCAATACAGTCCCGTCATAATTTCCCCGCTCAGGGTTCAGCTGGTTGCTGAATCTTGCACCATATTGGCCTGCTGCCGTGACAATCTTTCCCTTTCACCGCCTAGCAGCTTCGCCGGGCCAACCAGCACCAAATAGCATGAACCTTTTTTCGCATCTTTCCTCCAAGTTGACACCCAGCTCAACCAACGACTCCTTGTACCGGGGTATGTCCGTTGTGGGAAGCGTCTGAGTAGAAGGACGAGAGGAGCTACAGGCCGACCAGACCCATGAGCCGCGAGACCTAACGACTGAAGCGCTAAATTTGAGACAGTAGGCGAAACCGCATGAACCCTCGACCTTTTTCTTTTTTCGTATCCTCCGATGACAGCGGTCATCAGAAGCGCCGGAAGAATCAAAACAATCAACCAAACCGCGAACAAGGTATCTTTTCTTTTTTGTCCTCTGCCATTCGACATCGGGGGGTATAAAGAGTGGACGTGAAATCGTACGAGAAATAACCATCGGAATCCGAAATACTGAGAGATGAAAGCAAGACAAAAGCAAGAAAGCAAGGTAACAATAAATCAGGCAAAACAATAACTTCGGCCGACCGATGCATCGGAAGCAACGTTCCGGGGGTATTGTACGCCAGGGTATATCCAGCCGGGGTATTTTGCACGTAGAGTTTCTAAGACGGGAATCTAACGGAAAGGTCCGATGGGACCGGGGTATCCAGAATTCGTAGAATGAGACGTAGAAGGGCGTCCGCTGTCGCCGGACGCTCGAGTGCTGTGACGTGGCGTAATGTCACCAGGTTGGGGAATGGTCAGCTTGTCAGAACCATTCCCCAGAGGGCGGTGGTGGGCCCATGGGTTGTCGTCGTCTGGAAGATTGACGCCGCTATCATTCCAGGGATTTCTGTCAGCGTTAAAGCTGCGGGTGGACTCGATCGAAATGAGGGAAGACTTGGAAACATTGTTGGATCCCTTGAAGAAGTTGCCGTTGGTCGTCGAGTGGGAACTGTTCTTTCGGCGATCAAGGAAGGACGAAATGGAGGTCATGCTGCCAGGCTTACGGAGGCGATCGAAGATGGTGCTTCGCTCGCGAGCGACCTCACCCTCGAAGGCAGCCTTGGTAGGGGAATCAGCGGCAATCGTGGCCGGGGCGTGCTGGAGAAGCTTCGAGTCAAAATACTGAAGCGAGTCCTCGAACGAGTCGGACTTGGGTCGGGGAATAGAGCCCTTCAAGATGGTCACCTCAACACCAGCAGTAGCAAACTGAGCAAGCAAGAAGTCGATTGCATCTCTCAGCCCGCCGGCGTTGTTGCGAGTGAACGTCCAGCGCAGGGCAATAGCCGGCAAGCCCTCCTCGGAGTCGGCATCTTGGTGGACCGTGACCTCAACCTCGTACTGGGTCTTCAGCTTGGGAACAAGGTCGTGAGCGAAGCTCGGCGACTCAAGGAACTTGATCAACTCGGGAGTGCGAGTGAGAACCAACTCGTGGTTGTCAGGAACCATGCCCTGGGCGGCTGTCAGTAACGTGCGGAACGGCTGATATCACAGATACGTACCAAGAACTCATCCACGCAATGGGGCACCTGCCATTGCGGGCCAGTCACGGTAACCTCGTCGCTGGCCTGCTCGGTGCTGGGGAAGACAATCTTGCAGTTGTACTTGCCCTCGAGCTCATCAATCTCATTGAGGCGTGCGAGGAGCTGACGGTGGTAGAGGCGGTCAACGTTAACAATCTGGGAGGTGTACTCGGAGTCCTGGAGCAAGATGTAAGCTGGGGGAGATGTGGTAGAGAGCTGGGGCAAACTTACAGCCCTGTCAACCATTTCCAGAATTTCGTTCTTGACGGCATCGAGGTTCTGTGCGTTTCTGGCAGGAGTGCGGCAAATGACGTTGTCGACCTTGACATCGTCATCTTCACGCCCCATGCCTCCACGGTCCATGGCGTTAGAAAACTTAACAAAGACTGAGTGCTTCTTCATGATGCGCTGAATATGCTGCCCGCCAATGCCAATGATTCGCTTGTGGTACTGGTCCGGGACGTGGAACGAGATGGAAGCAGGCATCTCTTGCTCGACAAGGGTCAGGCCTTGCTTCATCGAGTCGTAGCCAGCCGCCATCACGTCAATGTTAAAGTTGTACTCGTTGAAGCCGTCGAAGATGATCTGGACGCTGCTTTGCCCCATGATCTTGTTGATCTTCCCGTTCTTCTTGCCGCTCACAAATTCCTTGTGCTCATTGGCAAGCTCAATCTTAACTCGGATCTGGTACTGGGACTGGACGAGGAACTTGATCTCCGACATGACCATCAGAGCAGATTTAACGGCGTCGTCGGAACCGGTGATGGAGAAGTTCATCTTGTCGAAAGATAGGTCCGCATCCGAGTTCGCACAAACATCACCAAGCATGGTTCTGACGTCGCCGGAGTTCGGAAGCTGTCGGTTGTCAGGCTGTTGAATCCACCAAGCGGCGCTGTAGAACTGTCCAGCCTGTGATATATAATTAGATCCGTGTCTCTTGGGATGACCTTTGCGGAACCTACCAAGGCCATGATCTCGCGGACCGTGCGTTCCACATGAAGCCCCTCGCTTCCCTGGACTCGAACCATGTTGCGCTGGCTCGCCAGAGGAGGGAACAGAATGTAGGTGCCGTTCGCCTCGAGAATCTTGCGGACCTTGTCCAGACGTGTCAGGAGAATGCTGTCAATCTTGGCCGGCGCAATGGTCACGTCCTTCATATAGAGGCGAATGCGCGAGACAGTTTCGTGGAGCTTCTGCTTGGCAAGCTCAATGGCTTGGGGGCTCTCTCCGGTGATGAAGATGTCTGTAGGGTCTCGGCGGCTTGCACCGGGCGGGCAGTATCTATACATCTGGGAAAAGGGCGGCGGGAAGTAGATAGCAGTGCCGGTAGACGACTCGATGAGCTTGATGTTCTTCCGGTGACGGCCGCACACGAGCTGGTGAATCGACAGGTCGAGCTTGGTGGCATCAACGACTCGGCCGAGCTGTCATACGGTTAGGGAGGTGAGACACGAACCAATCGCCAATTGATTGAGCTTACCAGAGTATCGATCTGGATGAGCACACGGGCCTTTGCATGCTCAACAGAGAGGATATCACCGTATATGGCCACTCGCCATCTTTGGTCTACACGCATCTCGGCATCACCCGTCATGCCGTCAACCACAGGAGTAAGCTTGGGGCCGAGGAGGAAAATGTCGACGCCGCAGTACTTGGAGATGTAATCCAGAGTATCAGTCACTTGCTGCTTCAAGGCGCCGGCAGTCAAATCACAGACGAGATGCCCCTCCACGTCGACAGTCGTACAACGCTAGACCAGCACAGGTTAACCAAGGCCTGAGCACCTGCTGCTTGTCTTTCAAAAACCTACCAGGACAGTCTGGTTGTCGTTCAAAATCGTCTCCCTGCTCTTGTGGACCATTTCCGGGGTACCCGACAGACACACGGTAGTGACCTGCTGTCCCTTTGCGTTCTTGGGTGTCGTCGAAATGACATGAGCCTCAATCTGAAAGGGGCCGTTGGTGATGTCCTTGCAGACTTTGCGAAGGTTTGCGAGGTTCTGGGTGTGAACGGGCAACTCGTGGACCTGGACATCATCGGGCGCGTCTTCGGGGTGAGTCCATCGTAGAACGGCATCGGCAGTCGCGTGCAGAATGTCCTCGGTGTTAGGACCGGCGAGGTCGGAGGCGAACGGTACGTTGAACGAGTAGTGAATGATTGGCGTTGGGGCATCGAGAGGCTGAGGTGAGCTTATCGAAGCAGCCTGCTGGGGAGCTGTGTCTCTCCTCGGGTTCATGGGGTTCATGGGCATGTTGGGACGACCCATTCCGAAGTTGGGGCTCATCCTCTCGGACCAGTGGCGCATGTTTGCCAGCTTGTTCATATTGTGGGCGACAGGAGACAGGCGGCAGCGGCGACGGCGGCGGCGGGGGCAGGGAGGAGGGGGGCAGAAGGCCAAATGAATGGACCGCGAACAGCAATTGAGGGTATTCGAAAACGCAGCAAGGGGGCAGGGAAGGGGGGAAAGGAAACGATGAAGGGGGATGAGAAGAAGGAAAAAAAGAAGAAGAAGAGGGTGTCGCTTCTCGAAGCTCTCTCTCAGACTCGAGGAAGGGCCTGTAGAGAGGGAATTGTTAAGGGAGAGGAGGGTGAAAGATGTTGGGTGAAGAAGGTGTGAGTGTGGGAAGAACTCAAGAGAAGAGGAGTCGAGTCGGGAGATTCAGACACTGGACAGGATGGTCATAGGTGGTTAAGGCCGCACAAAAGCAGGCCCAGGCCAGACCGGGCAAGGCATGGCATGGTCCGGCCACTCCCAGTCCCCCGTCCTACAGACCCAGTCCAAGGCCAACCCCACTCCACAGGCCAACCAGCCAGTCAACCAACGCGCTCCGCTGCAATGGTGTGTGGCCCCTCCTCCAGTCCCAGATGTTCCCCGTCCCAAACGGAGGCGCGTACACTACATGGGTACCCGGATAGGTACCTGTACATCTTTGCTTGTGCTGACATGGCGTAAGGGCCAGGTATCTTTACCTCCAACCCTGTCTGGGGTCCACGGATGCTGGCTACTGGACACTGGATGGGCATCCTGAGTGTAGTTGGCCAGGCTCACGTCAGGCCTAAAGTTTCCCCCAGCAAGACCACCGAATCACCCACACAGCCCACTGTCCAGGGCATACGCAGTATCACCTCACACCTCAGTCATCGATTCGCTGGGGATGAGATCCGGTGCAGCAAGACCCTTGAGTTCAGATACCCGCGTGTTTTATCAGCCCTTGTGACTGCGAAATACAGCCACTTGGATGGACGACTATCCAAGATATCTGGCATGACGCCCGTCAGCGTGTCCCGAAGGCCGCACACCTTCTTCCAGCATGGCACTTGCTCTCCCGCCCGAAGCACCCTCCCCAGCATTGTTGCTGCCGTATGCCAAGTACGTACCTCCGGCATATACGTACCAAGTAAGGTAAGCATCCATGGGTGATCGTCGACCTAGGTACTCTCAACGGCCGCAGCTCACTGACAAGCAAGCTAGGTTGTGATCCCTTAGCAGGGTTCGCAGGGCCAAGTGGGTTCGTACCAATAGTGGCCGGCCAAACCGGAAGCATGTACTCTTCCGCGAAACGGCAGGTATAGGTATACTTTCTAAATGGTAGTACAGTCCCGCATTTCTTCTCATCCCCACCCTCTCCTACCAACCTTTGAGAATCCAACAGAAAGTGAGAAGAAGAAAAAAAAAGGACCAAGAACGCACCAGACCACTCTTGAATGTTTGCATCCAATCCAAGTCCAACATTACACGTCTTAGATCCATATTACCACAGAGCATTACACATGCTACAACATTACCGCTCCTTGTAACTCCACGACCACTGGCACAACTCTCCTGCAACCGTGGATGTACCACCGAATTTAGGGACTGAGAAAGCCGACTTTGTATTGCAACGCAACGCAACGCAAAGTGCTCCCCGGACTGGGATGACGGTGATCGCCTCCGTCAATCACTGGCGCTCGGCATGAAAGAAATTCCCGCCTGGCTATAGGGCGGCCGCTAGGTACCTAAATAATCTGGTTCGCCTCTTCGGCTGTGTGCAAAAGCATCGTCATGCATGTTCGTCCTCGGGTACCGAGATCTCGGCAGCCCAGCAAATCCACAGACCGCTGTGGAAGAGGCAAACCAGACGCGACGCGGACGGGACATTGGCCCATGGTGGCTTACATGTTCGTGAGAGCCCAGACTACCTATGTAATAATCGCAGCCATGTCACGGCAAACAATGAGAGGCCCTTTAGGCTCGACCTACCTACCTACCTGTACACTTTGGGCGAAACACCTTGGGGTAGGTAGCAAGTAGTACACGTTCCTTTCGTGCCGGCAGCAAATACTCAAGCTCGGCTGTTTAAATGAGATCACCCAAGTGTTGAGAGAGCAAAGAAATGATTCGAGTGGTGGAGGAGGATCGGATCAGGTATGTGAGGATTACCCATGGCATGCCGTTGCTTAATGAGGAAGGACCAAGCAGGTGTGCGCATTGCTGTCGCCTCCCACCACACCCTTAGCTGGAGAAAAGCACGACGCGGCCCGCAGGCGCACTCGGAAGACCGGCCTCCACGCCATGTAGGTACTTTCCAAGTACACGGAGCGCCGGATTGTAAGGGACTCTGCACAAGCGACACCTCGCGACTACCGCCTTTACCAAAACACACAAGCATCAGTCGGCAGAACCTCGAGCACATACCACATCGACCCGCCGCGGACTCTTGAGACATCTCGCGCAGGAATGAACGCAGGCCACCGTCGAGCTCAAACTATTTTGATCAGACGTTGGTCGGGCCTGTATTTCAATCCTTTCCTCCTTGCCCAGACAGATATGCAAATACTATCATCAACCAAGACAACCAAGATTGGACGGACTGGACGGTTACCTACCTAGGTAGGCGTCAACCATGGTCTGTCAGCTTCAATTCAGGCTTCTTGCCTCAAGGTCAAACACCACCACCTCAGCTCGCCTCCCCAACTCGAGCTCAAGGTCACGGACCAGGATTCCATTTGGTTGATGGAGGTTGAGCAAAGCCCCCACTCCATCATCAACCTCGCAGTCTCACGCGCCTTACGTAGGTGTACATACGCACTAAACTTGCTCCATTCACCAGTCTATTCACACCGCACCGCACCGCACCGCGCGTTGCACTGTCCGCCACAAACGCCTGATGAGACCCTCCCTCGTTTCGCTAGGCACTCGATCCTAAATCCCTAGTGTCGGGCACGCGACTGACAGCCGACATGGATCAATTCCACCGCCTGCCTTGTCCCCCGCCTGGCGAAAGCCCAGGCCACCACTCCTCACAAACAACTGATACAAACCACAAGGTAGTGGGCAAAGAAGGCTACTCGATTTGTCTATGGCAATCACTGCGGAAGCTCCCACCCGCATCACCACTAGCATAATGCTTTTGGGGACCTACTGCTCGCTCAGTCGGCATGTTACCCCTCACGAGGGACCGCCTTGGCTACGTGCTACGTATCCCGATATCTTCAGCCGTCATGCTGCTATCGTCATCACCACTTTTTCCGGCGGTCAACGGGGCTTGACGACTCAGAGTTGAGTGGAGAGCTAGCAAACGAATCTGTTTCTCCTCTCGTTTCCCTAATTTGCACCTGCCCATATCTCAGCCGATCCAGCTGCCACGAATCAGCCGACCTTGTATCCGTGCCCCGGCCAAGTTCGGCCGTTTCTTTTGGGGTCGTTGGCGTTACTTGAGAAGGATCATATTTGGCATCAGCAACGAAGCGGACGAATCTGACCCGATCACTGCAATGCCATGTGTCGGCGAGATTAATCACTGGCCTGTTGTCGATCTGTTCAGAATAACTGTGCCTTGCAGAGTATCCAGGGCACAGCGTGTGCATTCAGTCTCGATATAGGCGCTTTATACCCACTCTGCTGATCCGGTCCCTCAGTAGCCACCATGGCTTTCGAACAAACAGCAATGCAATGCACGCCGTAATTAAATTATATGGAAGAAAAGACTCGGCCAGGCGCACGCATTAGTCACCGCAACGTCCCAAACCGGCAGTTCCTGACATGTTGGAACTTCAACTGAACTTCCAACTCTTGCCTTGAAGTTAGACAGCATCCTTGAACCCTTGGACCAATTCGCATTTACGTCTCAAAGAGTGGATAACTCGTAGGGAGCTCGAGCCTCAAGCGAAAGCTTCCCGAACCCCACCGCACCACTCATCCACGGACCGTGAGGACCGCTTGGCCAGCAGTTGGTGCAGTTGCCGTGTGCCCCAGTCCTCTCGCTTGATGATAGGGCTACGTTGGCACTACACTATTGGCTTCGCATCCCCTTCTCATCTCTCTGTGACCCTGCTTGGTGAACACCCAAAAACTCGGGTACGACAAAGGTATGAGGGAGGTACCACGCAGTATGGCGGAATGGCTCTGCACATGAGTGACTGACACATGTCAAGCAAACAGCCCCAAGGCTATAAGTTAGGTAGGGCTTTCCTCGCGGGCCACAAAAAAAACAACAACCTGGTTTTGTCTTTGCTGTACAATTACGCGCCCTCGACACTCTCCCGAGACAAGGAAGATGCCGTGGAGTGAGTCGGCGCTTGGAAACAAGACAGGGCGTCAGCACGGGTCTGCTTGATCTGCAACCATGAAAAAGTGGCCGGGCCGTCCTGCGTTGCGTTGCTCGCCAATTGCAGCTGTGACCCACCAGTGAATCGACTCACACAAAGGCGAATGGCAAGCCTGTCCGGGTCAGGTGGTTTCTGCTGGCTCCCAAGCAACGTGAACCCAGCCGATGTCGACCTAGCCCGCACTCTCTCGTCTTCTAGCCCAAGAAGAGGGGGGTGTAGATCGATGATCCTGGAATGAACGTTTCAACCTCGAACTGGTCTTGCACGCTGCGGCACTCGGACCAAGGCCAAGACCAAATCGGCGTTGGGCCATACTGTATTGACTGGGTACGCACCCTTAGCAGTGATACTGACTGGCAAACCTTGTCTGACGAGTTGGCCTACGGTAAGGTGCGGGTACTCTGGAGTGAAGGTCGACAACTCTGATGCAGTTGGGAACAGTTAACTTTGCATACCGGATCAGCCGGAGCATTTCGAGCAACAGTCTATTCCGCTGTAAGGTGTACAAATAGGTACGGTAGTAGGTGTTCCTTCCCTTGCGTGATCCCTTACGCCGATCAGGGCACTTGGCACATCTGATATTACACCTATATACATAGTATGGACGGCTTGTAAAACTAACATTCGTTTACTACGAGATGAAAACAACACATTTTGGGAGATCCGCTTCTCCTGCGTTGTTTGTTGTCTTGCCGAATATAACAAACACAGCAACGAAAAAGTTCTCGTAAGGCGAACCCACCCACCTTCTCATAGCTAGTGTATGTCCCGTTTTTCTTCTTCTTTTATTTTATTTTATCTTCTTCTCCCTTCACTACGGATACAGTGCCGCATCTTCCTTTTGCGAGCATGGATCTTCGCTCGTCTCCCGTTCGAGTCCACCCACACATGACCCGACATGAAGCGGAAAGTCCGACAGAAACCACGCCGACGTGTCTGACAATCACTTCGCAGAACCCTCTTCGCCGCGCCTTGCGGCTCCCCTTCCCTCCTTTCCCCAGACCCCCAGCTCCCCTTCCACAAGCGACAATGTACTTACTTGCTGTGGTGAGGTGAACCAGCAAACCCGTCCGACTCCAAACCGCCCTCTGTTTTCTGCATAATTCTTCCCCCGCCCCTTATTTCTTTCCCAACTGTTGTCGTCATTCTTCTCGCTGCCCCTCTCCTCCCAAACCGCCCGGCTCCGTACGCGGCCCCCACCCACCGGGTAGCATCCCCCTCTCCCGTGAAGCTCGGAGCGGACAGACACACTAAGGAAACTGTGAGAACAGATCCTCCCACGACATCCGTATTGAACGGACGGCGGCGGGCGCGCTGTGAGGCACGAGTCCGTGCCCCGGACTCTAAAGTCGACGGCGCGGATTTCTATTCTCTCCTCCTGAACGTGAGCAAACTCAATCCCGTGTCGCGGCTCACGTTTCCCCCTCTCCTTCTCTCTCCTCTCTCTCTCTCACTCTCTCTCCCTCTTTTTCTGACAAAGTTTGGGTGGGGCAAAGCCGGGTCACGCCACACGTACACACACACACACACACACACAACACCTTCTCGATTAACTGCATCATTTCCGCCTTTTGGATTGTGACTATGCCCAGCAGTCCGTCACAACTTAGTTGCCTTCTGGCACCTTTCATTAGGGTCGACTCTCCCACACAATTCCAGCTGAAATGCCTCCCGATTGTCCGATTAAAAAAACTTGCAAAAGGCAATGTTGAGCCTGGCTACATCGTAGTTCTTGATTCAATACGCCTCGCATCCGAAACTCTGTCCCATCACAAACTTTTTCCTTACCCAAGCCTTCACAGATTCTATGCCCTAAACTCCGTCCGATGCCTTCGGTTTTCCCAGTTTTGACAGGGTGTGAACTTTGCCTCAAATACCAACCTACTCCATACCATGCTAGTGGGCCAATCCTTCTCCCATTTGTTGTTAATGGTACATCGGGCGCGGAGCCTCATCCGCATAGTAGACCTCCTGCGCGGCTACTCTAGGTCGTTCGATGTAGGACACCTCCGGCTCGGGACGAGCCGGAAGTGGCTGGCCGTAATACTGCTGCTGCTCCATCGGTCGCACGCTGTACTCCTGGCGTATCACCTGAGGCTCTGACGGTCTAACGCTGTAGGACCGAGGACCGGGCTGGATAACTTCCAGGCGGGCTTCGGGATGCATCGGCACCGAGGCGTAGTCCTGAATGGGTAGCTGTTCCGGCCTCACACTCTGCACTCTTCCATATTCCCGCGGGAGCTCGTACCGCACTGTTTCTGCCGGTCGAGCTGTTGTTGCCCGCATCATGTATTCTCGCGGCGGTTCCTCAATAATTCTTCGCTGCTCCAATCCACCTCTTGCCGGGATGTATTCTTCACCTGGGGGCGCCATTGATCTGGCCGAGTATTCCCGATGCCTGTAGACGCGATGAGCATCCGATATGGCATACTCAGGCTGGGTGACGACTCTGCGTGGTGCCGCGTATATTGGCGAGGTTCGCTGATAGAGCACATCGTCGTCACGAGGGTCGGGACCAGGTCGTCTGGACTCGGCTCGGATCGGTGCCCTCTCGTAAATCATCTCGGGCTCGCCAGACCGGAGCGGTTGCTGCGCAACCGACTGCCGAACAACGCTAACCGGCTCGTAGTATTGTCGGCCGGTGGCGGGATCAACCACGACTCTCGCAGGTGGTGCTTTAGGCGGTCCCATCAGCGGAGACGCTCTCTCTCTCATGACGGGAGAGCGAGATCTCGCACGATCTGCCATGGGACGAGCGCTCATACGCATCACTTCGTAGCCATCGCGATAATACCGCGTAGGCTCCCTACCGTAGCGATCGACACTGGCTGCCGGAGAGGTTGCGTATATCTCACTTGGAGCGGAGTGGACGGCATAGACACCCGGCGACTGCACTCGTCGGACATATTCAGCGCCATTCGGAACGCGCGGTTCCTCCATGTATTCCCTTCCATACCCATAGTCGCCAGATGTGACGGCTTGGCTCACCGGTCTTGGGCGATACTCTTGAGGCTCATACGCCGGCGCGGCGCCCTCACTTCTATACGACCGAGAAAATTGACGGTCGGGCAGGGCGTAGTGAGGATCCTCGTCGTCCTGTCTTCTCAGTCGCTTCTGTGGTCGGACAAAAGACGGCGCACTCATGGGGGATGGCGAACGCGGCTCTGGCTTAATGTAAGGCTCGTCTGGCGCTTGCCTCACTGACCTCTTGTTGCCCGCATTGTTGTTCGCGTTGTTCTTCTTTTTCTTGCCCTTCCGTCTCTCACCATTTCGCCCCCCTTGCGGCGAGCTATCTGGGCTGGAAATAACATTGGGTTCATTGCGCAGTTGTGCAACTTGAGCGGTGGTTCCTTGGGGGATATTTATGTCCTGGGCATCGAATGCTGGACCTCTGGCTCTGGCCGTTGCTAGAAGCGAGACATGGGAAGGCTGGGGCGCCAATGGAGATATGTTCGGGGCGCGGACTTGGATCAGAGGCGAGGGTTGACGGGCAAGCATAGACCCCCCAAGTTGCTGTTGACCTGCTGCAGGAACAGATCTATCAGCACTGTCGTCAAGATCCATAACGCCTGACTCGTCAGATCGACTGGTATTTCCACTCCCACCTCCTGATGTAGACGCTCCCGTGTTATCGCCTCCCTCTGTCCTCTGCGTCGTTCCTACCGACGGGTATCGAGAGTATCCATGCGCGGCGTCGACTCTGCCCGAGATCGGTCGTGTCTGGGATGGGGTGGAGTTCAAGGCTTGACCCTGTGGCTGATGAGTAGCAGACGCATGGGATAGCGAAGAAGGGAGGCCAACTTGAGCCCCTTGATTTGCTTGTACTTGCGTATTGCCTTCGAGCGGCCGGTCGGCAGCGGATAGCTTGCATGCCTGGGCACCAGCATCGGCGTCGTTACCTGCGCGCGAACTGTGAAGCGAGGAATCGGGCGAGTTGTGTTGGGAAGAATAGTAAGAGTTCTCATCAAACGAGTCACTTGCAGCTGAAGTATTAGCAGCAGCCAGAGGATTGGCAGACGAAGAAGGAGCAGCCTGGACCAGAGTCAGGGCCTTGGACAAGACGTCGGAGAGGTCAAAGTCGGCAAGAGGCTCCGATTGCGCCGAAGCCTTCATAGAGGCCCGACGTTGATCAACCTCATCACGCAGCGCCCGCTCAAGACGCTGCCTCTGGAGCTGGATCTCGGCCTTGATCAAGTCATCAGATTTCTGGAGGAAGATGGGATTGATCTCCGTGTTGCCAGCACTGACGAAGGGTCTTGCAGGCAAGTTCGCGTTAGCGGGGGGCGGGTTTCCCAGGCCAGGGAGAGACGCGTGTTGTTGCGTGTTGGACGCAATTGACTGGATATTTCCAGCTTGATGTCCCTGCACCGTGCTCCCCGTTGTTCCCTTTCCTGGAACAGAAGCATTTGAAGGCGGTGCTACTGCAGTGGCAGAGGCTTGTGTAGCCGACAGTTTTGGCACTTTGATCTTGGGATGCGACCCAGCAAGGATTGCGTCGCGAAAATGCACAATTCTCTCGTACTGCTGAATCTGGTGAACCTCATCCTTGGACAAACCCAGCGACATCCCATTTGCCATTGACGGCTTTGATGCGAGCTGGCCTTGAGCCATGGCGATGAGTAATCTGCGCCAAAAATCCTCTGCGACAGAGATTGGCAACCTTGAACCAAGAGCGCGCGAAAGAAAACGAGAGAGAATACAATCAGAAAACCCCCAATACCAGATATTGTGAAAGCCCACACCGTCGGATTAACAAACAGTGTAGCAATCCTTTGAGAAGGGGGAGCTAGTCCAGCAGTGCGGTGGAAGACGGAGAAATAGAGGTGTGCGGGTGAGTGTGATTGAGGAAAGAGATGACGAGGTCGTGGAGGTGCATGATTAACTGGTTTACCAATTTTTCTTACAGCGATATGCCCCAAGGGGGGCGCTTGTGATGCGATTACGTAGAGTGTGGATGTGGACCGTGCACCTCGGCTTGGAGTGTTTTCGTCAGTCACTGCTGTCCTGTCTCGTTAGCGCCAATGTCCAAGGTCCCCGGTCTAGCGGCAACAGCTCCCTGTAGCTTCTAATTGCCTCAAAGAGCAACGTGCAATTCCATCTCGTCGGCCTGACTCAACCGATACAACCCAGGTACTGTGCAAAGCTTCCCAATCACCTCACAAAGCCTCAAACTGCATTTCTAAGCCAGCAGCAAGGATCTCTCTCTCCCGAATTGTAGACTGTAGAGACTGGAGCATTAAAGTGTCCTTAAATTCCCAGCTGGTTTCACTCGCTTCATGCCAGCCAGACTCCCACCTCGCCTATCCAGAAGCTTCTCTTCTACCATCCGACCTCTCGGGTTCTGTCGTTCATATACCACCAACCCATTTACTTCACTACGCGCAGCTGAGCCTCTCAGGCCTGTTTCGTTGTGGCATCCTTCCTTCCACAACAGATTAAGTAACTTTTATTCCTCAACATCAACCATGGATTCCAGCAAGCCCCATGCGAACGGGGTGCAACCTCCCAAGCCAGTACTTTTCTTGTAAGTCGGTTGTCACACGCCAATACTTTGAGGATTAGAGAGCTTATGTAGTTGCTGTAGTGACATCGATAATTGCTTGTACCCCAGAAGTGAGTTCGGAAAATCTAGAACCCCAACCGTGCAGAAGCTAAACTCGGCCAGGCTCGAGGGTCCAAGATCACATGGCACAACTCATCGACGAGTATTTTGCGAAGCATCTTTCTCTCTCCTGGGAAGACGCAGTGAAGCTGCATAAGGAGTACTACACCAACTATGGTCTAGCCATCGAGGGTCTCGTGCGACACCACCAGATTGACCCTCTGGAGTACAACTCCAAGGTCGACGATGCGCTGCCCCTCGAGGACATCCTGAAGCCCAACCCTGAATTGCGTCAACTTCTCGAGGATGTCGATAAAAGTAAATGCACAATGTGGCTATTGACAAATGCTTATGTCAACCACGCCAAGCGTGTCGTGAAGCTGTTGGGCATCGAGGACCTCTTCGACGGCCTGACCTTTTGCGACTATGGACAGCAGCCGCTGGTCTGCAAGCCTGCCAAGGAAATGTTCCTGATAGCCATGCGGGAAGCAGGCGTCGACAAGATGGAGGATTGCTACTTCGTTGGTATGGGGCAGTGACGACCATTTTTCAACGATCTCTCCCCTGACTGATGTGTTAGATGACTCGTATCTGAACTGCCAGAAAGCCCAAGGCTATGGCTGGAACGTGGCACACCTGGTGGAGGAGGGCCTGCCTGTGCCGAAAACGCCGGCATCTGCGCATCAGATCCGGCACCTGGAAGAACTCCGAGACGTTTTCCCTCAATTTTTCAAGTCAAAGAACACTTAGACTCTTGCAACTCATTAGAGACAACGATTGAACGACCATGGTTGGACAGAATCAGGTGGTGTCGAGGGTAGAGACACCAATTGTAGAGGGAGCATAGAGCTGGATTAGACCCGTTGTGTTTTGTATTCTTTAAATTAGTTTTTCTCAGACCGGGTATTGCTCAATCTATGGATATCCGTAAACTTAACCCCCCGACCCTTTCAACGCCCAAAAACACCGCGTGCGCAAATGTGCAAGTGCAAAACTCCTGAGTCCATGGTGCCACTGGATTTACGGCCGCCTAATGCCCCTGATGACCTCGTCAAGCTTTGTCAGGATCTGGTCCTTCTCTTTGATCGCGTCCTGCCTTTGCGCCTCGGCAACCTTAAGCTCGTCCTCTAGTTCCTGGATGTAGCGCTCCTGGTCGGCTTCACTGCTGTCCAACCCCGGAAGAGTCGATATGAGGACTTCGATCTGCTGCTCCTTGATGATCAGGTCGCGCGCTAACTCGGCCAGGCCATCCTTGAACTCGTCGGGCGGAAGGGGGTCGACTGCGATACGGAATGTCAGCGGCTTGTGCAAAAGAACGCGCAGAGTCTCGGGGGCGAGAGGGTGTCGTGCGTACCCTCCTTCTGTTCAGGGTCTTGTTTGACCTCCCTGATTTTATCATTGGGTCCTAGGAGCTCGAGATCGTGACGTCGGTGGACGAAGTGGAAGCTTGCAACGAACTGCTGGGCGAGCTAGAGACGGTGTCAACCATTGTGCGCGTGAGAAAGGGAGAGCGTATCATCGCACCTGGTCCACAGCATCCTGCAATTGAGTGAGTCTATCGCCCATTGCGGCGCTGCTGAAGTTGTTCCCCCGTCGATTGGTTTGTTTGAGTATGCGGTGACAGGCAAGGCTGCAATCACGAGTGACGGCGATGGTTTCGCGGGGCTAAATGCTACCTAGGTTCTGGTCCGGCGATCTGCCAAGGTACCTACCGACCTATCTCACGCCGCCAGGGTACTTGCTGCAGGTGCACTGGCCAGCTTCCACGCAGTGCCTGCCGGACGCGGTACGTACCCTTCCCTGCCAATCTCGACTTCAACTCATGTTAACGAGGTTTCGGCGCTTTCAATACTCATAAAGTACTTGCCTCCCCAACCTCTCTGCACGATGATACATACCGACTGACCTGTTAGGTACTTTTACCACTTGCACCATCAACTTCGCAGAGAATGCACGTTATACGACGCTTATTACTCCGGCAACGGCCCCAACCATCGCACCTCGTCATCCCCTTGCTTCACTCAACATTCATTTCAACATGGCCATCACTAAGACAGGGCAAAAAGGTACGCCCCGAACTACTCTACCCTGATCCTCCAACAACACACCACCGCGATCTCGCATCCTTTCTCGCGTATGCGGAACGCACCGGTCTCGACGTTGCATCAACAGTCTACGTCGGAACCCGTTACGAGTACGTAGTATCTTCAACCCTCTCGCAATACGGCATCCAGGCCATCCGGGTAGGCGGAGCCTCGGACAATGGCATCGACCTCCTCGGTACATGGAACGTACCCTCTCAGAATCAACCTATAAAGGTCATTGTGCAATGCAAGGGAGGCGCCCAGCGTGCCGGTCCCTCGCTAGTCCGGGAGCTGGAGGGCTCCTTTATCGGCGCTCCTGTCGGGTGGCGCGGTAGCGGCGTCGTTGCGCTCCTAGCCAGCGAGAAGACGGCGAGCAAGGGCGTTCGAGAGGCTTTGGGCCGGAGCCGCTGGCCGATGGGCTTTGTCTCGTGTTCCAGTGACGGGACTGTACGGCAGATGCTCTGGAACCAGCGGGCGGAGGAGGAGGGGCTGAGAGGACTAGGGGTTACCATGCGCCATGCTGAGGCTGGAAACGGCGAGTCGCAGATCGTCTTGACGTATAACGGCAAGCGAGTCCGCAGTGTTTCCAAGACGGAGGTGCTGGGTGTTTGACCCTCGTACCAGAGTCGGGCCATACATCATCGACCCGGATAAAGAGCCAATATTGTGCCATGGCGGGATTACCATCGTACTATGTACGCTGCTGAGATATGTGGCGGAATAACTGTTACTGTTGCAGGCAAGGCCCCAGAGAGAAGTACATGTAGAAGGAACACTGGTCAGTTATACCCATAAGCGAGCAGCTGCTATGTCCCCCATGTATTAGCCTATAGAATAATCAGATCCATGCATGGGATATCATTCATCACTGACAGTCCACAGTCTCGCCTCAAAACGCACAACGGCCCGATCAACAAAGTTGACGACGACATCTAAGATCAAGAGTGCTGGAGTCTGCAAACCGTCTGGTTTCTCTCCAAGTTCTTCTTGCCGGGCACAAGCAGAGGGTTACGGGGAAACGCAGGGCATGTAAGACCAGATTATTGGTGCTAATTAGCACCCGGTCCTGCTCAAGCATACATGCGTCAAGGATATGGGCCTCTCACCAGACCTCGAAGATACGAGATGCATGATCACATCCGGGTTCCCCTCTTATAAGCACGCGACATCGACCGTAGAGAAGAAGCAATGAGCATGAGTCTCACTACATGATCCGTACATGAAGGGGTGGTTTGGAAATGCCCCTCAAGTCCGCTACTGCCAAGACAAGAAATGTGCAAGCATGTCTTTTTTTTTTCTTTTTTTTTTTCTTGGGAACAATCAAGATGAACCTGCATGCAGCTTTCTAACCCCGTCCGCCTACCAGCCAGCCGCCCCAGTCCCAAAGCAGAATGAAAAAGAAGAAGAAAAAAACCTCCCCATTCATCAGTGTTCCTCCGTTCTGTTGTTGAGAACCTGCACATGCCTGATGTGTGCCCGTGTAAATCAAAATCAATGCCTGGTAAGATTGGGGGTGGTTTGTTTATGCAGTTTTGAGGGTGTTGTAATACATGAACACTCGAGAAAGGCAAGAGGGTATTTATTTCATTCTCCCGAGAGGGAAGCTCGCTCCCAATTACGCCAGGTAGCCAAGCTCGTCGTCCTCGAGCCTCTCCAAGTACTCCTTGTCGAGAAGAATCTCTATGCACTTCTTGATGTCCGAAACCTTTGGCACAAAGCGCGACCGGATCTGGTTGATGGTCTCGCTAACAAGCTGCGTGTGCTTCATCTTCTTTCTCGCTTTCATGATACGCACAATGGCAGACTATTGGCTTGTTAGCACGGCGTGACGATGTGAAGGGTACGAAATGACATGCCTGCAGCAGGAGCTTGCGGTCCTCCTCGATCGTCTTGTTAGTCTCCACTTCTTCCTGCTTCGCCTCTTTGGCGCCACCAATGTTCAGGTTGACTCTGATTTTCTTGCTCTTGAAGTCGTAGTTGAGTTGGAAGCTCTTGCCGGGCCCGGGCTTGCCATCAGGCGACACGATGAGAACCTTGGCCTTGAGCAAGATGGCCAACGCTTGATCCAGAACCTCCGAGCTCAGCAGAGTCACGCCCGCGATGTCCTCATAGCTGTGCTTATCCTTGACGTTGAACATGAGAAGGATGGCCATTTGATAGGCAGACACCTGGAAGGTGTAGGGCGTCTTGCTGTTCTTGCAGTATCCCGCCTTGACCTCACCCTTACACAGTTGCCACAACCACGTCAACTTGCGGCCTTCGTGCCTGTTCTTGTAGAACCGAGTAAAGCGTTCGCAGTCTTCGTTGATCTCGGTCGGAGGGGTGAAGCTTGTGTTCGGCGCAGTCAGGGGCCAGAAACCGGTACCGAGGATGGAGTACTGGGAGTCGAGGGCGTTCTTGTTGATACCAAGACCGGCAACGTGCTCCTTGAAGCTGACGTTGAGGTCCTTGGAGGTCTGCATGTCCTGGAACATTCTCTGGAGCTTGTTCGTGTACTCGAAACCGCACGCCTCCTTGAGCTTGCTGATCATGCTGGTCTCCGCGTCGTCCGACGACGAGTTACTGTGCACCAGGCGACGGGCAAGCATGCGGGAGTAGAACTTCTGGAAGACATCCTTGTCCTCAATGTACTTGAAGACGGTCATGATCTGCGTCAAGGTGTTCTCCAACTCGCCCTCTTCGATGCCGCTGCCGCTCTTCCTCAACAGTACGTCGGTGTATTTGGCCAGAAGCTCGGGCGACTTGTTGGATCCCGACTTGCAGACCTCGTTCCTGTTGATGAACTCTCGGCAGGCGTTGTCCAACGATCGGGTGAACTCGGCCTCGCCCTCGAACGCGCGGGTCACCAGGCCCGAGTACTGAGAGTGGATTTCCAGTAGTGCATCGACGTAAACCTTGGGCTCCAGCTTCTCGGCGTCAGACGCCACCTTCTCCACGGCGCTCAAGCCCGCCTTGCGGACATGGGTCTCGAATCGCTGCCTTAGGGGATCCAGGCCCTCGGGGATCCGCGAGAGTAGCTTGTACATCCTGGCCATATCCTCTTCTCTGTCGTTGTCCAGGAGCACTTGGAACTCGTCTCTGAGCAACGTCGAATGGTCGGCAATGAGGGCCTGGTTGCACGTCTTACGCAGCGGGTTGATAATATCAGCGTGCAAGTACATGCGCACTCGCTCCTCCTCTTCCTCCAGCCGTGTCTCTGCCTTCTTCATGTATTCGACAACGCTGTTCTCGGCAACAAACTGCTTCGATTCGTTTTGGTAGTACTCCTTGGTGGCGGCCAGGAAGGGGCGCTCGAAGTGGAAACGATAGACGTCGAGAGTCGACTTGGTGGGGTCGGCGTCGTCGAGACCGAGAGAGACGAAGGAGTCAACAACCTGCTTGATCTGGCCGTACTCAATGGTCTCGCCATTGCGCTGCTTCTCGACCAACTTCAGAACGGCTTCCATAACCTTGGTGGAAACCTGTTCGAAAAGCACCCGGCGCCACTGCACAAGATGGAGAGTGTACACGTCGTAGATGTTCTTCTTGCCTTCGTCCATCTCGCGCTTAACCCAATGGCGGTTGAGATACCGAAAGAGGTGATGGATGTATTTGGCGGCGATCGTGTATCGGTTCCATTCTTTGATGTAAAAGGTCAGCAGCGCCTCGTCGGTGTGTGTTTTGGACTGTTGGACGAGCCCCTCGAGGTGTAGCTTGAGATAGTCGATGAGCTTGTTGTAAAGCTCCTCTCCGAGAAGATGAGCTATCCGAGTAGATCAGCGTGTCAGCCCTGCACGATGGTAGAAAGGATTGATAAACCAGCTCACCTCCTCTGTGGTTGCCGGATCCGATGCTTCCCTGAGGAACTGACAACCCAACGGCTTTTTGGGAGGTGCAGAAGTTGTGAACGGCACTAGAGACACTGTTAGAAGGGTTATTTGCGGCGGTCAGTTGGTGATGGCGTACGTATAGACTCCCATGTACTACAGCGAACGACGGTCAGCACTTCTCATCGGATCAGGATAGGGAGGAGGCGACGCGGCGCGGGGTGACGTGACTTACGATCTGCATGTCGATACCACGCTCAAGATCCAGCATGATGCGCTGGATGCCGGCCTCCAGGTACTTCCATCTGTATTCAGTCAGCGCGGGGATGTCGGCCAACGGTGGTGCCGTCGCGAGGCCTCGGGGGTCCACTCACGTGGCTCCAATGTCCTCCCGGTTAGGAACCGGAGGCATTTGGGTAGCGGGCGCCATCTTGGCAGTTGACATGATCCGAGTATTTCGAGTCGAGTGCGCGGTCGGCAGAGGAAATCGGCGAGGCCGTCGTGGCCGTCGTGGTGGGGTAGGGGGCGATAGGGTGTTGGTTCGGGGGGAGGCGACTTGTCGTGGGGGAAGCGGGGAGAACCAGCCGCGAAAGATGACGGATTCAGAAGAGTCGCCTGCAGATGGGGGAAGAGATAATGAGTATATGTGGCTTCGGTCCTGCTCTGCTTGTGGGCGGAAGGATAAAGAGTCAAGATGGATGGGTTCGGGAAGAGAAGGGATATGTGTGTTTGCGGCACAGACCTCGACGGCTCCAGAAATCGACGTCGAAGTGAGAAGGGTGGAAAGGCGAGGTCGTGGTCGCAAGGGTTGGAAGGAGGGAGAGGCTGCCCGACGGGGGACGGAGGTACCGTAACCTACAGCTGATGGAAGGGAAGGAACGCGGCGGCGGCCTTTTTTGTCTGAGTCAAAGCGGAAGACGAAGGAAATCGTCAAATGGCGCCGTGGAAGGGAAGGCAAAAAAGGAAAAGAAGAGGACGGGTTCTGGCCCAAACGCAGAGCCAAGCCGAGGACGCGATCAGGCAGACACGACGAGGGGAAGGTTATAAAGATTGCTTGGGTAATGGGGTTCGCTTTGCTGGCGAGGGTGTGTGAGAGGTGCGTATGGAGGCGTCCGGTGGTGGAGGGAGGTCTGAAGAAGGCCAACCCAGCCCACACTCGACAGCGAGAGCCAGACCACTGACGCCTACGGGCCACAGGGAACTCAGTCACAGCGCGAGTGGTGGTGGTGGAGCCTCTCCGTCATGCTGAGTGGTGGTGTCTGAACCACCCACGGCTGGACTGGGCTGGGGGGCCTGGGTGCCTGGAACTGGGACAGAGGGAAGAAAGTGGAGCAGGCGTCCTGGAAGCGTCTAGCGCATGGAACTGCCGTCCTACACCGCCCTCCACTTCCGTCTTTGGCAATCTGCAAAAGGAAAGGCGTGTTTTGACGTTGTCGTGCTTAATTGCTGCTTGGGCCAGGGGTGGAAGACTTGCAAGGTCGGCGATGGGGTTAATCAGCCTTATGATATACCTTGTCTACCTTGTTTGATGTAGTTGGTCCTCTCTTTGCCTTCTCTTGGGACACTCTTCTATCATCATGTTCCACTTTGCACCCTCGACAAAGTACAATGACCAGAAGGCGCTATTTCTCCCTTTATCTCTCAAAGCCGTCTCGTTTGTGAAGTAAGTACCCGTCCTGGCTGTCATTTTCCTCCAACAACCAAAGGGTGACTGACAAGAGCATTCTTTATTTGCATGTGTTGCAAAATACTGAATATCTACAAAACTACTTTCTACCTGTCACTTGTTTCCTCACCCAGGCCGCTTTGGAGTATCTAGGTAGCTCAATGACCTTCCCTTCCATTCCCTCGCAACGTTGTCCTTGTCTTCTTCCAGGGCTCAAGTCAATGCTGCTCTCACTGGGTTCCCAACAAGAGCCGATGTTACCTATCTGAGTTACCCCAGGCTCTTTGATATAAAGGGTGGGACTATGTATTTTTTTTTAATGTAGGAGCTCTATCTTGAGAGGCTGGGCACCAAACGAGAATCGCTCATCAACATAGTTCATACTAAGTGCACAAAGCAACTGGCCCAAGGACTCAATTCACAACCCTAGATCGTGCAAGCAAGAACAGCAAGACGTGACTATACAGCCAGTAGATATTCATGATTAACAAAGGAGGAAGCAACCGCAATGACCGACCCACGCTCCAGCTATAGTACAGGCTTTTAATACACACCGGGTATAACCAACGGAAACAAGACTGAGACGGGACACCCACACTACATGTGATCGTGAGAGCTCTCATCCTCTGCACCTCCAAGTCGCTGAACTGTGCGGAAAATGTTGACCATGAAGTTCATGGTCCACGCCAGCAGGCCGGCTAGCATAAAAGACGCCAACGCCTGGCTGAGCCGCCTGACCTGGCCTGCTTCGACGTTATGGAAGACGAGGGATTCGAATGCCAGGGATGTGCTGGCTGATTTAAAAATGATGAAGAAGAGGTCCAGCAGGATGAGAGCAAGCTTCTGGACAGCGGGTCGGAGGCCCAACGGCTTGCCCGTGTACTCATCCCACAGCATGTAGCCTATGTATGGCAGTGCAAATGTGTCGACAGCGATGGCGACTATGCTTTGCGCGCGTTCCGGGCTACTGTTGCTCTTGTCATCTTCGTGCCGGTAGATGCGCGCCGCGATGGCCAGCGCCACGATGGACGTGAGCATGACGGTGAGGCGGAAGACCAGCGGTACAAGGTAATGTCGCAATATAAGAGACCACATCCTCTGCCACATGGTCTTAGAACGCTTCTGTTTCGAAGAGGCCTTCTCCAAATCTCGATGGACGGTTTCGTCGTGTCGTTTATTGAAGCCGGGCTGCAGCTTATCCAGCACCTCGACGTCTACAACCTCCGACTCTTCGCCTTGCATATGCCCGTAGGCCGCCGACTGAAGAAAGTCCCTCCATGCTGCTGGTGGGCCTTGGGTCGCGGGCCTATGTGCCGAGACGATGACGGGTTCTGCGGTTCGCAAATGGTCCCATTTCCTGCCATGCAATGCGCCCCTTCCTCGGAAGACATCTGTAAGCTTAGCCCTGGTCCTCGGGCGGGCCTTTTCCAGAATAGGGTCACCGGTCCAGTCGACATAACCGTCTTTCGATACACGGCGGTCGGGTTCGTTGGGAGAATGATTGTGGTGAGGTGGAACGGCTCGAGGCAGGGGCGATAGTAGCTGGAGCTGGTCCTCTGTTGGTGCTCCGTATCGAGTTTCGTATGAGTCGATCCAGGCTATATCACGTTGAAATAGTCAGCGGTGGCCCCCCCCCCCCCCCTTCGAAGGGTTGTGACCATTTTGATGTGGGTGGGCCAGGATTCAATCTTACGAGGAAGTGATCGTGGCCCTCTCAGTCGCGGGGCACCTGCTTCGATCGCGGTACTGCTTGTGCCAACCGATGCTCTGAAATCCCGTGAGCCAGAACTGCCGGGCGGATGGCTAGATGTGCTCATCGCGGTCGCGACCGCGGTTGGAGCAGAAAGATGCGGGCTATGTCGATGCGGACAGTGACCGAGGGCGTCGTGGGTTTAATGCTTTCTTAATGGCGCAGAAGAAGGCTCGCATATTAATATGCACTCCGCCTTTCGGCCGAAGCTACAGGATAGGATGTATATGCTATCGATACTAGCACGTGTGGCGATGTGGTATTGTGCACGTATGTATGGTCGAAGGCGGTACACTGGTAAGAGGATTAAAGGAAAGGGTGACGACGAAGGAGCGAGAGAAGCGAAAGAATGCCGGGTTTTGGTCTGGAAAGCAAGGGCGGACTGCAAAAGCAAGTCAATGCAAAGGAAAGGTGACAGTAAGGGCCAGGGAGGTGGGCGCGCGTGACGCGAGGAGGTCAGCAATCGTTGGGTGCTCTCTCAACGGCGGCGGAGGCAGAGGCGGCGGCGGCTGTGTTGGATGTGCGTGTGTGTGTGTGTGTGTGTGTGTCTCGTGGAGAGGGACTTAGCTAGTGCTGCTGGCTGGTGGTCTATTCCTTGGCTTCGTCGTGTCAACGTCGTCGGCGTCGTCCAGCTGCTATGAATACACATACACACCGAAGACGCGAGAGAGAGATGGACGGATGGAGAAGACGATCGATACGACGCTCCAAATGTTCCACGGTTGAATCGGTGACGGCACCTTTTGCCCGGGCGTTCCAGCAAACCGGGAAACCTTGCAGAAAGACTGCAGCACCCGTCGCAGCGCAACACGGACAGGCAGCTCGCAAGAAGAAGACTAAACGAAGGGAGGGCTGCGGAACGGGAGGAAGGAAGGATATCCAATGGAGCGTGCCCTGGGAGGCAGGCAGATTGCGGCAGCACTGGAGCAGCCTGTGGGCCGTGGACGGATACACCAGACGTCGAGTACCCACTGCTACCTAGGTACCCATCTACCTAGGTACCCATCTACCTAGGTAGGTATCTACTATGTACATAGTATCCGTAGCGTAGGTACCGGCATGCGATGGGAGGGAAGGAAATGTACCACCTGTTTTTAAGCGACTTTTGAGGGCCAATTTGCGCAAGCGCAGATTGGGACCAGCCAGGCACCAGGAAAGAAAAAGAAGAAAACATGGACAAGGTAGAGGATCACACGTCCTGTGGACCCGATCACACGCTTCGGGACAGTTAAAGCCCCCCTGGCTCGCCATTTCTTCCCCTATTGCGTAGCCTGACTGGGGCAGTGGGGGATCCCCAACTGGTCGCAACGTAACCATTCTTAAGCTCTGAGGGGCATCCCTACAGGTATCGTCCTAACAATGGACCGCGAAGCGAACCCAGCACGCCACTTAAAACGCTACAAAAGCCTATGACGCCCGCCTGCGTCACTGCCGCCTGTGGTCCCAGGCTCAATCCAGAAAGCTTGACCCAGAAGCTAAGATGTACGACAGGGGGGTCGGTTTGGCGTGCTAGCAAAGGGCCGGGAGGCTCAGAGCTTCCAAACGCAGACTCCACGACACACGTCAAAATTGCCTCCTGCTGAAGGACAAGGACCGTGAGGCCGCCCTGCATCGTGTCGCTTCCCCACGACTTATCGCATCCTCCCCTCACTCGGCCGAGTATACATAGAATACCGTCATGCAAGTCGCGACGAGTTGAATCACTTTGACCCCGAGCCAAAACGCACACTCCCCCCCCCCCCCCTCCCCCACTGCGTCCTGTCGCAATCACCGCGGGGCTCAACCGTCGCATCTCCTCGACCAACCGACCGATCGGCCGCTGCCGACAACTGACTGTTCCTCTCTGTCTCTCTTTTCCGCCATTTCATCATTACTCGAGCTGTGCCGTGGTGCCCACTATGCGCCTCTACCTACTCCCGCTCACCACGAGCCGGACTCTGCTCTACGCGCAGCGCCTCAACGTTGCGACCAACAGCCAGCAAGGCTTGGCGGACAAGGTTGGCAAGAAGGCCGCAAAGCTGTGGGCCGGCTGGGAAGCCAGGGAGAGCGGCTGGCAGAAGAAGGTCGTCAACTACGGCAACTACGCCCTCCGTCGGATCCCCTACGAGGAATGGGGCCTGAAGTCGGTCCCGCCCATCTCGGCGCGTCGCAAGGACGACGAGCTCAAGGGCAACGAGAAGATTGAGCTGGTCTTCCCGGACAAGGTTATCCCCACGGGGAAGGCGGAGCAGGTCGTTAGGACACTGGCGAAGGAACGGGACGCGCTGCACAAGAGGAAGCTTATATGGTGCTTGATTGGCATGCCCATATCGGCGCCCTTCGCGCTCGTACCGGTGTAAGTGATGGTGACTTTTTTTTTTCAGTAACTTTTTGCTGACATTACGATCCGCTAGGATACCTAACCTGCCCTTCTTCTACCTAGCCTATAGAGCTTGGTCGCATTGGCGCGCTCTCGAGGGAGGCAAGCACCTCCGATTCCTCGTTGATAACAAACTCCTGGCCCTATCCCCATCGAAGCTGCTGAACGACATTTATACGCCGTTGATCCCCAAAAACACGACCCAGACGCCGTCGAAACCAGCCCTGGGCCAAAGCGAACCTCTGCAGGGCAAAGCGGAAAACGCAGAGGACGAGGCGATCCTGCTTTCGCAGGCCAATGGCCAGCGTATCGCCAAAGTGCTGGACGTGCCCGAGTTGGCCGTCGAGATCGAACGGGCTATTTGGCAGGTGAACCATGCCAAGCAGGCCAATCAAGAAGAAGTTACGGACGATGCCGCCAAGCAAGCCAACGCCGAACCCCCAAAAGACAAAAGAAACCCTGCTGCTCCGCCCGATAATGAGAAAAGGTAGCCTCGCTTCGCCGAGGCTCTCCAGAACCGCCAAGACGGTGTGTAATATTTGCTCCACGGCTGAGAACTTGTTCGGCATGATATATGGGCGACGATCGAGAGCCGTTCCGAATAGACTCCTCTCTTCCCCCTCTCTTTTTTTTTGGGGAGAGAGGCTAGTGCCAGAAAGATTCCCCGCTCCGATTAATGAATGGCGAAATCGTGGTTGTGTTCGATTAGTTGAAAAAAAGATAGACGGAGAGGCTGGCGGTTGAAGCACCTCTATGGCGTCTCGGTGGCCGGGTAGATGTGGAAGCCGTTGGCTCGAAGCACCGGCAGACACCCGCATATACACATTAGTCCGAATGCCAACACAACGCGGCGTGCCGTGTCTTTGGAGAATGGTCTGGGAACGAATGAGGACCACTGCAGTGAGCCCTCGTCTGCATCACCGGCATCGAACTCGTCGGCCTCGCAGAAGAAGTCATACTCTTCACCGTTGTGCTCCTTCCAATGTGCCGCGCGGATGTGTACTTGGGGATGCTGCTTCTCTGCTTGCTTGTATTTGTTGTTGTCGTCGGAGGTGGCGGTGGTGGTGATGGCAGCGTTACCCCTCGCCGCGGCGTCTTGACGGTCGCACTCGGCGATGATGTCGAGGATTTCCTCGCGGGTGTAAATCGTGCTCTCGCGCGTCAGAGCCTCCGACTTCCAGGCCATGGCGGCCTTGTGACGGAGCAGCCTCTGGGTCGGGCTCACGTCCCCACGGCTCTGCTGGCGTCTCTTTTCACGTAGTCTCTGGTACCGCTGCGGCGCGATGGCGTGGACTTGCGGGTTGAGAGGAGAGGGAACGAGAGGGCTGTAGCCGGCCCGGCTTGACAGCGTCGACAACTGAAGCATCTTTGGTTCCGATCCGTTGCAGCGGTCCCGAAATGCAGTTATGACGATGGGCCGGTTTAGAGAAGGTGAGTCTCTTTTGCTGGTATTGAACGAAAGGGACTGTGCCGCTCTGGAGAGAGAGGGATGCGGACGATTAACTGGCCCCGGTCCTCGACATGGTGCAATGTAAATGAGGGACCGGGAGCTGCTCGGAGTAAAGGGCGGAAACCGAAACCGAAATGGCACCTTTTGCTGTCTTGTCAACACAAGAAGGAGGCGAGGGTAAAGATCGCGTGTGTAGATGGGTAGGTATGGGCGAGCGTGAGAGGAGGTATGGAGCTGGACCAGTCTGGAATGTCTTTGGAGGGCAACCCAAGAGGGATAGACACGGACGTTCCTCCCTGGTGTCAGTCAGACCAGACCTATAAGCTGTAATGTTCCACACGTCCGCACGCACATCAAACACACTACATACACAAACACTGGTAAACTAGCAAACAGATAAACAGGCAAGCAGGGGGGCAGAGGGTGGAAGAAGCAGTCTTTGAGAAGCAAAAGATTACGGATAGTAACAGTGCGTGTGGGTGGAGGAACGAGCGGGCGGGTGTGCGGTTGATATGGGATCATGCCGCCATGCTGGACGAGGACGAGTACGGAGTATACATGACAACTTTTTGCTCTTGTTCTCCTCTCTCTCTCTCTCTCTCTCTCTCTCTCACACACACACACACACACACTATCTCGTATTCTGTATCTCCAAGGGTGCCACCACTTCGCCTTGCCGTCCGTCCCCCGATTCCCTCCGTGAGCCGTGGCCCAAAAGGTGAGAAGTAACTTGCCTAAAGCGTCCGCTCGGGCACGGCGGACCAACCCAACTGTCCAATGACACGGCAAGCGGAGGAGAGCCGAGGGGAAAGTGTGGAGGACTAGGGGAACTGTACAATAACGTAAAGCTTGGCCTAGCCCCCGAGGGGCGGCAGTGCAGCTACTGGCTCGCCCTCTCGGTTTTTTTTTTCCTTCTTGATTTTCTTTTTCTTCTTCCCCCTCCACCCTCCCCTCTCCTTCTGTCTACCCTTTGGCAAGACAAGGTACTTGGATGTCTCCGCGAAAACTGTTGGCGTGGAGAACCCCCTCCCCCCGTTTGGTGATGGGATTCGATTGGGTCGAGTTGGTTTCGATTCGAGAGCGATACCTATGTTGAACCCCTGGCGTCCAGTATCCTTCCTCGCCTGTTTCCCCATGTTATGGGTTTCAACTTTTACCCGCCGCGGATCCTCTCTGGCGTCAATTACACGGGCCGCGTCCGCGCGAAGGAGGACCCTTTGCACGCCATTTAGAATGGAGCGCCAGCGCCACTACCATCACCGCAGGGAGACTGTTGGGAGAGACTGGTGAGCCGTGTGGGTGGTATGCTTTTCGCCATCACGGAGTAATTCATAGGCACAGGTATCGCCTCTTCCTGCCGAGCTCGGACAGAGAAATATACCCAGGTAGACAGGCAAATAGGGAGAGCCTACCTGGTAGATACCTACCTACCTAGGTACCTACCACCCACCGTTGGTGAAGGAGGAACGAAAACAGGTATCCGGTGAGCAGAACTGGAATCCGTGATAATCTGTCGCCCCGCCCACCCCTGCCCAAACCTTCGGGACGAGGCGCACTGCATTCCCCTCCCCCGTCTTCCCACACTTCTCGTCCGTCTCCGAGAGGGAAAAAAAAAAGGGGGGGGGGGGGGGGGGGGAGTGAGAACCATCCTTTTCTGGGGGACGACGGCTGGGGATAGTTTGCCTCTCTCGTCATCAGAAGTCGCCACGACGCAGAGTCTTCCGTTTTCGATTTTCCCTTGGGGGAAGGAGGGGGAGGATACGGGTTATTGACCTGTACTTTGCTACGTCTCACGATGGTCAATCCCAATATTGTTGTTTTCTTGGCAAGCGCACTGAGCACTGGAGGCGCCTCATTAGACACGGTCGGTCGTCTGGGTTATTTTGCCATGTGGAATTTTGCAAGGTAGGTGGGCAGGGCGATCCCAAGGAGGGACGTGAGACACTGAGACACCAGAGAGGTTGTTGTTTACTTCCTCCCCTTATCGGCTACTCGTCGATAGGACGACGTTTTATTTTTTTTTGTGCTGATGGGGTAATGTCTTATCTATCCCATCCCGCCGTACCACCTCCTTCTCCCTTCGTATGCAGTACGCGTACGCACCTCGAGGAACATTACTACGTAGATTTCTGTATTGTCCATCTGACTAAACCCGACATCCCGCTCCATCCCTGTCTTATCTAGGGCGACCGGGTTCGGCTAGGGAGATGAATGAAGAAGAGTCGGGGATTGAGGCCTTGGGGGCAGAAGAGAAGATAGTCCGAGAGCCAGGGGAGAGAAGGGGGGAGGGGGAGAGCTGAAAAGATCACTTGCTACAAAGTTCCGCCATGGCGCATGCTATATATGCACACTATGCCGTTGTGACGGTAGCTAGTTCATGTTGAGCCTCAATGTTTTTATTGTTTATTTCTTTTTTTTTTTCCCTCTTCGTGTGAGGGGTCCTCAACCATGTGTACCTGTGCGATCGCCAGAGGGACCGCCAGACACGTACCTCCGTATCGAAACCCCGCGCCCGCTCCCACGATAAGAGAACATCGACGGTTCTCCCATGCAGTGGAGAGCGGGTTTTCCATCCAGCATCCTACCCGAGGTGGACATCCTTGTCTACCCCTCCCTTCCCCCGTTCCCTCCCCGGCAGCGTTTCTATCCTGCCGTCCATGAACTTGTATGCATTGCATTGGAGCAATTCGTCATTGGCGCGGCCGACACGCCCGGCCCCCACGGTTCTGCTGGTTTTTAATCCCCCCCCCCCCCAACTTCGAGAGAGATATAGATAGTCATCCGTACCTAGGCATCTAGGTAACCTTTTTGTGAGAGCGGCCTGCAGTGTGGGCTCCCAACAGCAAATCGTCCGCGGTCCCTCCGTCGTCCCCACTGGAGCTTCCCGGGTACGGGTGTCGTCCGTCTCTCGTCTCTTGCCGAACCTCGGCGCCGGAGCGGGGCGGTCGGCGACAGGGGGACGCTGATATATAGGACCGACCGAGGCTGGGAACCTTGATCCTCCTCTTTTCTTATTTCCACTGCCAGCCTTCTCAGGGCAATTGATACAAGCGCAAGCCGAGACCGTTGAGGGTTGCAGCAATCTAGTTGGTCTGTATCTAGTCAAGGTCCACGTGTCAACTACGTGTTGCTTCTTCCCTCCGACAAAGATTGAGCGTCGATAATGAGAGGGAGGGGGGGGGGGGGGGGGGCTGAAAAGCAGTATTATATGGCTGTTCTTCAGCATCTGCAATCACAGAAATCGGGAACACACAAAATGCTTGTCATCCACGGCTTCAGGCCTTTATTTTTCGGTCGCGAAGAAGAAGAAGAAAATGAATAGACTTTTGAGTATCCCATATTCCAAGGGGGATTGCCCTCGAACAGCGTCCTATGTACTCCATCGCAAAGGGTTCCGTCCCTCAAATCCTCATCAATGGTTATTTTTTTGTGGTGATCGCCGGTGGTCGTGACTACCGGTCCCACCTCTCATCAGACCCCTTTCTACTCTCCTGTATTAAGATCATCTTCCCTCATGGGTCCAAGTCCAAGAGGGGCCGCAACGCCGGTCTGTCCCTCTAACAATCAAACCTTCATAGCCCGGGTCCCCCACAAGGTCCAGGACGCGACATGGGCGTGACTGCCTATGAGGAGAAAGCAAAAAATCAAGGAAACACGCAGCATTATAGGTATAAGCGTGATAAAGTCTGCAACACTTGGCAAGTCCTTTTTGTGTTTTCGGGGGGGGGGGGGGGGGGGGGGGGAGTCGATGGAATGCGCGTATGCTCGATCCAGAAATGGGAAAGGAGGGGGAAATAGACCGATGTTGGTGATACAAGGGCCCCGAGGCGGTTGTTGTTCCTCGGGTCATGAGCGCATAAGCAGCCAGTATCCGGGCCGCCAAAGTAATATCGCGATTCTTGCGGATCATCGTCAACGCATCATGTGGTGGACTGAGGCGTGGAGACTTCGGATTTGCCGACCATCTCCGTGACCTTGAGCTTCTTTGCTGCGCGACCAGAGTCTGACATATCGAGGGCCTCCTTGAGCTCCAGCTCCAGCTCGTCAAGACGACGTTTGAGGTTGTTCTCTCTGCGGTGGCTCTCTTCCAGCTGCTTCTTGCTCGTCTCGAGCTGCATGCGCAATTGAGCCTCGGCCTTGCCGCTGATTTCCTGCCCACGTCTTGCGCTTGCCTCATCTTGTTCCATCTGGCTCAGCCGGCCACGGAAGAGTTCGTTGATCAACTCCAGCTCGCTGACGCGGGTCTTGAGGGCCGAGTTGGTCGCGATGAGCTGTTCATGGGTCTGGGGAATGTCGAGATGGCGGTCGCCGTTCAGGGGGGAGCCGGCACGGTTGTCGGAGAACCCTTGCAGGCCTGCCTGAAGCTGCGCGTCGTCCATGCCCTGGAATACGGGGAGGCTGGGGTTGTACAGAGAGGGGGTTCCGGTCCGAGACACAGGGGATTCGCCGTCCGCGTTGCCGTTCGTAGATTTCTGGGAGGGTCGTCGTTGGGCGGAGCCAGGATGCTGCCCGTGTAGGTCAAGGCCGTTGGGGTCGGTCGCGCCGGTGAAGTTGTGGCCATGCTGCTGCTGCTCCCAAACGCTGCGTTAGCAAACGATAACCTGCCACTGAGAGCGAGGTCTGAAGGCGCATGACAAACCTTCTTCTTCGAGGCCATGCCGGGGCGCATCGTCTTGACGCGATTCCGAGACTTGATGACATCGGTCTTGAGCGAAATCGGTCTAGGGCGCCCGTGGAGACGCAGAAACAGACCACACGCATTGCAAAGAACCGTCCCGTATTCATCGCGACGCCATAAAGGCGTAGTCGAGGTTTGGCAGTTTTGACATGTTGGCTGTGTAGAGTCGCGATCGTTAGCGCCGCTGGCCATCATGGTGGTGTCTTCCGAAACAAAAAGTCCCGAACCCGTTAAAGAAGAATGAGGGGAATGACAAAGAGGCCCTCTGGAGGTCCGCGGAGCAGTTTGGTAGTATAGGAAAGGCAAAAAATAATGCTGACGGCTTTGCGCGAATGCTGCCGGTGGTGCGGGATTGATGCGGGATTGATGAGGAAAGCAAGAAATATTCTGATAATCGCCGGTCGAGCGTAATCTTATCTTCTCGCCCCGCTTTTCCCCACCAGCGACAGGGTTGGAGATAACGGAAGGCAGACCAGCCACTGATACGCTCGCGCGATAAGGGGAATTACAACTGTCATGTGCGCTTGGGGTGTGTTCTGAGGCGTTCCTTGGATTGGCTCGCCAGGGGAACGATAGGAACGGAACCGACATACCGTGGTGGAACCTCCGCCAGAGGCGTACGTTGGAGTCGGCGCGGGGGCAGGCGCTGGGGCAGGCGCGGGAGCGGGCGCTGGCGCTGGCGCTGGCGCGTGTGTCGGTGTGGATGCGGCGGGAGCGGTCGCGGGAATCGCTTCTCTGTGTGGATCATATATCAGTCCTTATCCCTCCACTCTTTTCGTGATAACAGAAAGAGGCCGAGTTGTCGCGCAGTCAATGGGGTTGCGTAACAACGCCGGTGAGAGGTGCGCATGCTGCGCAAGTGCATCCACCAAAGCCGCTCCGTTAGTAACGATTGCGCGGGCGGGCGAAGAAAGCGCGCCGGTTTGAGCAACACCTCGAGTCGGCTTCAGCCAACGGACCATCTTGTCGCCCTTTTTCGCCTGTACGACGTTGAAGAAGCTAAACATAAAGGGGGCAGAAGGGTGCGAGAATAGGGAACGCATTAAGGGTGACCGGAGCCTGCCTAACAAATCCTCCATCATTTATCAACGTACCGCATCTGGGGCGAACTGGTCGCGGAATTGGCCTGGGCGAGTGCTGAAATGCCCGGCAACTGGGGCAAAGACGCGGACGCTGACTCGGAGGTCGAGGTCGAACTAGGTCGGGAGATGGGCTCGATGTTGGTCTGTGGCAACGCCAGGTTGGCGAGGGCAGTGGCTTCTTCCATGACGGATCGGAAGGAAGGTAGGTCGTGGTCTGCGAGTCTGTCCAAGGCCGAAGCAGGCGCAGGATCTTGAATGACGGCCACGATGGCGGTTGCGGCGGATTCGTCGCGGAGGATAGTCGGGCTTTCGTGGGAAGATGGGTGAGCTGGCGAGGTGCTGCCCTTGTAGTGTTTGGGTGGGCGGTCGCGTAAAGTCCAAGTTTTCCGCAGCGAAAAGATTCACGTGCTGGCTCGAGGGTACCCGTCCGGTGTTGATGTTTGGTCAATGCGAGGTTGCGGGAGACGAATTGGGCAGTCGGGGGAGGCCGGTGGGTGGACGGACGAGGGAGGACTGGTGAGGAAGAGGGAAGGGGAAAAAAAATTGATGCGGCAAGGCACGCAGGAGGCGCGACCAGGTAGGTAGGTAGGCAAGGAAGGTGTCGACTTGATCCCAATGCAGGTACGGTGCCTCCAATGTCAGTGGAGTTATGTGAGTGCCGAAAGTTCAAAGTTTGATGCGAAGTTACAATGAGGTCTTAGACATTGGAACGAGTGGTCCTTGGGAAGAGTAAAAGGACAGAGAGAATGGACGATTTCGATCCCGTATCCCCCTAATCGTCAACAATTCGCTACGCGATAACTGTCGATTTGATCGGACCTATCAAGTGCGATTGTCTAGTGGTCGTTCTGGGGGGCACCCGCTGGAACTCACAACTGAAAGCGGGTCATGATTGGCCCGCCTACTGAAGTCAGCCTTACAGCACGAGCAGCTGTGCGCTGGGTCAACAAACTGAAAAGAGTTTTTCGCATGTCGCAACGTACCGTCATAAGGGGCAGTGTCAGTTGCCCCTTGTATCCGTCCAGATATTTGTATCCGTAAATCTACGGAGTATCTGTACTTACCTACGGTACCTAGCTAGGTATTGCCAGTGTCGATACTTTCCCAATCCTTCCCGCATCGGAGCATCGTACGGAGTACATAGTATAGGACTTGCTGGCTTGCCGCATCTGGCCGCGAAATCAATTTACTTAGCGTCAATGTCTCTTTGAAATGTCGACGTCGCAGAGTCGCCAAGGTTGCTGGCTGCTAAAGGAGGTAAGCACCTTGTACAGCGCAGCCGATGTCATCAGAAGGCTCAATTCCAAAGCCTACACACACTCACTTCTACTATGTGTGAGAAGGCCGAAGAGCGACGATGAGGACAAGAGAAACGATGAACTGGGGTCCTGGTATCAGGCCGGGTCGGGGAGCCCCACCCATATCCATATCGATAAGCTCCGAAAAAAAGATTCGACCACCAGCGCCACTAAGCGTCCTACACTTCTTTTTCCTCGGTAAACAGAGACGGCAGCCGATTCTGCGTCTTTCCAACACCCGACGACCGCCACGATGCCCTCCACATACAAGAAGGAAAAGCCGTGGGATACGGACGATATCGACAAGTGGAAGATCGACGCCTTCACCCCCGCCGACAACGCCGGCGGCACCTTTGCCGAAGAGTCGTCCTTTGCGATCGTCTTCCCCAAGTACCGCGAAGTCTACCTCAAGGAGGCATGGCCTCTCGTCACAAAGGCCCTCGAGAAGACGGGCATTGCCTGCTCGCTCGACTTGATTGAGGGCTCCATGACCGTCAAGACAACGAGGTGAGTATTTCGGGATCCCCCCTCATCGCCCATTCGACGCCCGGGCCTCGTATAGTAGTAGTACACGGGAGAAACTAATAGGCACTGCTACAGAAAAACGTTTGACCCCGCCGCCATTCTCAACGCCCGTGACCTCATCAAGCTCCTCGCTCGAAGCGTCCCCGCGCCCCAGGCGCTCAAGATCCTCGAAGACGGCGTCGCTTGCGACATCATCAAGATCCGCAACCTGGTGCGCAACAAGGAGCGCTACGTCAAGCGCCGGCAGCGTATTCTTGGCCCCAACGGCTCTACCCTCAAGGCCCTCGAGCTGCTCACCCAGACCTACATCCTCGTCCAGGGCAGCACAGTCTCCGTCATGGGGCCATTCAAGGGCCTGAAGGAGGTGCGCCGCGTCGTCGAGGACTGCATGGCCAACATCCACCCCATCTACCACATCAAGGAGCTCATGATCAAGCGCGAGCTCGCAAAGGACCCGGAACTCGCCAACGAGAGCTGGGACCGTTTCCTGCCCAACTTCAAGAAGAAGACGCTCAGCCAGAGACGCGTGCCCCTCAAGGTCACCGACAAGAGCAAGAAGGTCTACACCCCCTTCCCGCCCGCTCCCGAGAAGAGCAAGGTCGACAAGCAGATCGAGACGGGCGAGTACTTTTTGGGCAAGGAGGCCAAGGCCAAGGCCGCCCAGGCCGAGCGCATGGAGCAGCAGAAGCAGAAGAAGGAGGAGAGGCTGCGCGAGAGGGAAAAGGAGTTTGTACCGCCCGAAGAGCTGGGCCACAAGAGAAAAAAGAGAAAGAAGAGCGACGGCGACGACGAGTAAGGGGCGCGGGCCGGAGCGGTAGTGGTGCGAGACGACGTCGTGGAGGAGAGTGTGTGCGTGTGCGTGTTGCAGACTCGAGTAGGTGCCTCACGCATCTAGACAGACAGGGGGTCGCCACGTACACAGGTGAGGTGTCGGCTCACCCAAGATACCCTTCCATTCATGAGAGTTCAGGATTCTTCTCGCATGTACACTGGCGATCTGCGGAAACTGCACCGCCCCGGAGGACTGTATATCATCAACAACAACAAAAAAAAGCGAAATTTGACGTTTTAATGGGAAACCCCATTCCAAGCGCTGGTGTGTAATGAATTCATTTGACTCTAGGGGTTTACTAGTATTGACTAGGTGGGCTAGGTAAACCACCCACCCAAACCCGCACATTCAGCTCCTGGCCGCCTTGCATGTGTTTCTGCAATCAAACCCATATCCACCCATGGCGACGCTCAGCAGAGCAGTTCGCTTGCCTAAGTGGCCGAGCAGTTGAAGTAGCGGCGGTAGTAGTATCTTGGGGGGTGCCGGGTGCCCTCCTTCCCACCGGGATAGTAAAGCTCCCAGCCGGCGTCCCAGCTGCTGTAGTAGTGGCCGGCGTAGGCCATGTAAGGCCATCGATCCGGGTTAATAAAGAACAACGTGACGTACTTGAGCTTGGAGCAGATCTCCTGCCAGTCGTAATAGGCGGCGGGTACGTTCTCGCCGATCCACTCGCAGGTGTTGTCAAAGACCCAGCCGCGGTTGGGGCCGGTGTGGGGGACCAAGCGGTTCACCCAGAGGCCCAGCATGCACGTCCCGGTGTTCCTGATCGGGGTGCACCAGTCGGTCGGATTAGGCGGGTCGTCGTCGTCGTCCCAGTTCTTACCGCATTTTGCCCTTTTCGAGAGGGATGCGTTCTTGCGGTGGTCTCTGTTGATGCCGGAGCTCTCGACAAGCTCGTCCCAGAGGTCGCTTTCGACGGGGATGATCTTGTGGCCGTGCTTGCGGGCTTCCTCCTCGGTGATGTTGAAGGGGTTGTCATGGGGGAAGGTCTTGGATTCGAGGTGGGGACCGATGGAACGCTTGGGTTTGGCGGGCAGGTCGAGGATACGAGATTCCACGGGGAGTGTAGTGCCGTGCTCGACGTTGGCGATGCCGCCAGTGGCAGCTACGAGGTCAACGCTCGCGAGAACCGCCGAGGCAGCCGCCGAGAGGATGGCCATTTCCTTGTGCCACATTGTTGGAGATTGTCTCGGTGAATATATCGGCCACAAGACGTTCTCTGGGGAGCTTGGTTTTGCCAGGGCTCGTTGTTTGAGCGATATCGATGGGTGAGGCTGTGGGAGGAACTCCTCTTATGGGTAGAATGGAAGGTATTAGAGGTGATGTTGACATGGAATTGTGAGCTTTGGGCAAACGCCACGACAGCATAAACGACAGGAGCTATGCAGTATGATCGAAATGAAGCAACGACCCATGTCAGGCTGTCTAGTCATGTGTGTATCATAGTCACTTGAATCCCACGAGGTTTACCGATATGACAGGATGGACCGGGACATACGAAGAGGTGGAGATGAAGAGCAGTAAAGAAAACGCCTGGGCAACAAAGAAATATTTACCCCTGCGGCCATTCGACGCAATATACATATATGCATTTTCCTTTTTAGTTGTCCATAAACAGCCACATAGCTTGGCCGTGATAGGTCAGGGAGCAGGATGACTCAAGAAAATAGTCATACGGAATGAAGAAACTCATTTCCATTCTCACCTCGGTGTTGCTCCATCTCCTCAGTGGCCAGAAGAGACGGTGAAATAGCCTTGGCGCCCGTCTTCCCAGGAAGATAACAACCCAGCGTCGCAAAAAGACAACGTTACTTGCAGGTGTTCTTTATTCACATTGAAACATGTTACACGACTCCCTATCACTGTAGCCGATTCATCGGTTACTACATCAGGCAGACCCGCTCCTCACAGCTTGGGAGAAGTCTGAGTCTCCCCAAACACGATGACGAGTTTGCCAAACTGCTTGCCGGCCTCCATGTCCTTGAAGAGCCCATCAATGCCCTCCAGATTCGCCAACCCATTGACAGTGCGGCTGACAACCGGCCTGATCTTCTTGTCCCTCACAAAGGCGACCATGTCTCTAAACTCTTCCCGCGACCCCATGGTCGTCCCCTTGAGGTCGACGTTCTTGAGTACCGCCTGCATTAGCCAGTCCATCTGCGGCGACACTGTCATGCCGTACTGGCTGATGACACCACCCGGCTTGAGCAGCTTGACCGCCTTGGCGACGATATCGCCGCCGGCGCCATCGATCACGGCGTCGAGGTACGGCCGCGAGTCGGGGAGCTGGGCCTGGAGGTTCTTTTCCCATCCGTCCTTGTTGTAGTTCGCACCCCCGGCGGCGCCGAGCTTCTTGGCCTTCTCGAGCTTGGCTTCGTCGCCCGACGTCACGTAGACATTGCAGCCAAACGCGACCGCAAACTGCAGAGCCTGGAGCGCCACACCGCCGCCGATGCCGGTGACAAGAATGTTCCTGCCCTTCTCGGCGTTCCCGCTCTTGGTCACTAACGCGCGCCATGCAGTCAGTCCGACGAGGGGAAGGGCCGCGCCCTCGGCGGGCGTGAGATGCTCCGGGGCTAGCTCAACCTCGGTCTCGGGAAGAGCGAGATAGTCTTGCGCGGTACCATCGGGGTAGGTCTTCGTGGCCCCAATGACACTGAATTTGCGTATGTCTTCGGGCCCGTCGGGGCTGGAAGCCCAGCCGCGGCATGGCGTGATGAGGACGGCCTTCCTCAGGAGGTCCTTGTTCGCGTCCTTGCCAACCTCGACGACAATACCGTAGCCGTCGGCGAGAAACGTATGGTCGAATGAGATGCCCGGGTAGAGGTGACGCCGGATGAAGAGGTCGCGATGATTGAGGGCCGCGGCTGTCAGCCGGACCAGGACGTCTTTTGGACCCGGGGACGGCTTAGAGACTTCATTGATTTGGAGGCTGAGAGTTATAAGCCCCCTCCGACCTTGTCTTCAGCAATCAGAAACGAGATGTTCGACTCACGGGTAGTAAACTTTGCCGGGTTTCCCCTCGATCTGCTTGACGGTGATGGAATGAGGCATCGTTTCACCGCTTCTATGTCTGCTATCTCGAGGACTGCATATGTGAGTTAAGCTACTGAGGATCGGCACAAACAAGGAGATTGACCAGATCTTATAAAATCAAGAGTAAGGCAACCAGCTAAAGATTAATAATACGGAAAGCTACGCCGATGCCGACGGAGGCGGTATGATTGTGTGGGGAAGGAACTGACCCCCCCCCCCCCCCCCCCCCGGCTCCTCCAGTCCATCCTCCGCACAGCCGGGGACCGGTCCCCGCATTCCATGACGATGGCGGGGCTTGGAACCTCGGCACATTCGCATATGTCACAGTAGCTTCGGCCAAAACATCAAAAGTGTTACCACTCTCCAGCGACTGCAAACCTATAGCCAATATCGGCCTTTGGGCTCGTTCCTGGACGTCTTTCGATACATTCCATCAACACTGACCTGCCACACTCCAGTGAACCGAACGCATCTCAATTCTCTCACCAAGTCACTCCCTGCATCCTGATAGGTGTATGCAGCAGACGATCCCCATCCTTGTTCGGCTTGGGCATACCACCTGCCCTTATATTGACCTGCAGCGCCGAGTGCATGAGTCTGGGCTCGCCGAGCCCAGAATCGCGCTCCTCGCGCCACTTGACAAACTCGGCCTCCGTCACGTTCTGGGCGAGGTGCTTGTTCTCGGTCCTTTGCCTGGCAACGTTCGTCGCCGCTAGAGGGCCACGGCCGGCCGGCGGGTAGTCGTGTCCGGTCCATATCTTTGTGTCTTCTGGCAGGTTCAGCAGCCGCCGCGTCGTTGCGAACATGTCTCGGGCGCTGCCTCCCGGGAAGTCGCAGCGTGCGGAGCCGACGTCGTGGTTGAAGAGGGAGTCGCCTACGAACACATTTTCTGTTGCAGGGTCAGCCTTTTTTTCTTGAACTAGGTCTTGTAAACCTTGCGGAATACTTGAATCCGATCATGTATCCCATGTGATCTGGGGCATGGCCCGGCAGGTGGAGAGCTCTGGCCTCGAGGTCTCCGATTCCAAAGACCTCGTCGTCATCAAGCAACCGGTCAAAGACGTTGACGTATTCGTCCTTTGCAATCCCGTATCTCTCACCAAACCTCGCCTGAACGATTCCTACTCGTCTGCCTATGCAGATGTCTGGGGCAGCCAGCTCAAAGATGCTGTGGATGATAGGTTCCTATGCCATATTCGATGTTGCGAATGGCGCAGCGAGGAATTGTTCTTGCAAAATGGAGATACGATTATTCGCGTGCTTTTTTCTACTAATCTGCAGGTTACCGGTCGATCCGGACAAGGGAATCCCATAGCCAGCATTCCGCAGCATCTCATGTATACCATGCCGTTCGTGATGCCATAAGCTGGCATATATGCGGCAGTCCGGTCACAGAGCTAGTCCCCGAGAGGCCCACTGCAACCTCTCCAAGACGAGGCATCCTGGCAAAGCAGCCCCCGGTCCCCGGCAACGCCCGTGCACCCCGACCGTCCACACACCCGAGGTCGGCGACCGTCTGTTGTTGAGTTGTCGCCGTCCTCCCCCCGGTCTTCGGGGACAACATCCCTCTCTGGTTTATTGGTGCGAGGGTTACGAGTCGCCGAACTCACAAACGAGATTATGCACCACCCATGCTGCTTACACATTTTAGCCATGTCTTTCTTCATCTGCCGTGTGGCCCACTTTCACGCGGGCGATTCTAGATACGACTTCCAACGCTCGCTATTGACGCCACCAAATTTTTATAGTTTTCTACATATTGTTTTCTGGACTGTGTCTGCGCCACGTCATGATGAACTTGGGAAAGGCGCCACGGCGCCCGGAAGACGAACAAGTGAACGCCACCTTTCCGTCCGCCTCAAACATGCTAAACCGCCTTCAAAGAACCAAGCCAACTCGTCTTGACGTTTATGGCTCGGGCATGACGCAGATCGTCCGCATCTGTAGCAAACGGAGGGTACGGCTTTGCAGGGATTTCCCCAGTTACTCAAGGGTCCAGCTTTCGACTATGGGGACGAATGGCTGCGGCCCCGCTGCTAGAGCCACTTTACCATCTCTCGTTACGCCCCCTCCTGCTTGATTCACTAAGCAACGGAAATTGGTCAAGTCCGACGTCTTGTCATCTGTGAGACCGCTGTCTTCGGGATTTCTGCTCCGGAAGGCCGTATGACTTATAAGTTCATGCGAGACACATGCACGTTTGACGACCAACTTGGATTGTCTCTCTTCCCGTTGCCGATATCCGGAAACCCTCTCAAATAACTCACAATCAGGTTTGAGGGCCACATCCGTTTGCCCCAGGAACAACACAATCATTTCACACCCGAACGTTTGGATTTGCGACCAAAATCATGGCAACGACCGTTCTATCCGGCGCCGCATTCGGTGCCTCGCTCGTGGCGGCGGGCGTCTACCAGCCCTCCGTCATTATTGCCCAGCTCAAGTTCGAGGACTGGCACATGATCCAGGCCTTCGTCACAGCTATGGCCAGCAGCACGTACGTCGCGGCAGCCAACCCCCCTTCGCCCTCGAAAGCCTCGTGATTAACACCGCTTCCCCAGCTTCATTGTCTATACTCTCGACAGCGTGGGTTACGTCCGCCCCAACCCCCGCAGTCCCTCGCGTCTGGGCCTCTTCTCCCAGTACGACGGCAACATCCTCGGCGGGGCAATCCTCGGCGCCGGCATGGCCCTCTCGGGCTCCTGCCCGGGCACCGTCCTCGCCCAGATCGCCGTCGGCACCAGGTCCGGCATCTACGTTCTGGCCGGGGCCGCTCTCGCCGGCATCGCCTGGACGGGCTCCCTGCAGAGGCTCATCACGAGCAACGCCTGTGCCGCGGGGCCTGAAGGCCCAAGACTCACCGTCCACGAGCGCGTAGGCGTAAGCAGGGCCGCCGCGTTCGTCGGACTCGAGGCCCTCTACGCCGGCGTCATGTACGCATGCTTGACGTACGCCCCTGCCAGCCCTCGTGCCGTCGTCGTGCCAGTTGTCGGCGGTGCCCTGATTGGCCTCGCGCAGCTCTTCTCTCTGCTCGCCCGCAAGTCGATGCTTGGCGTATCGACGTCGTACGATGAGATTGGGAAATATTTCTGGTGGGCCGTCCGTGGCGGCGGGGAGAAGGGAAAGCCCGCGTCGTATAGCAACATCCTCTTCTCTGCGAGCCTGGTCGCCGGCGCGTGGGTCCTCGCCCAGGCGTACCCCAAACTCGTGTCCGACGCCGCTGAATCGGTCGTCTCTCCTTCGCTGGCCGCCGCGGGTGGATTCCTCATTGGGCTGGGCTCCAGGATCGCGGGGGGCTGCACGTCTGGACACGGACTCAGCGGTGTCGCGGTGTTCTCGACCGCCAGCTTCGTCACCATCATGTCAATGTTTGGTGCCGGGGCCTTGGTTGCCCCGTTCTTTTACCAGTGAGATGGGACGTTTGGCACTGCATAGCGCTGGCGCGCACGGCGTGGTCGGAAGACCTCATCGTTCTGAATACCCAAGAGAGACCCAATGGCAAGGCCTCTCCTTGGAGAGACATGGCCTCGGCCATTGGTTGATAGATCGCCGGCTCTCATGCCGCCGAATCTGGAACTCTGACGAGAGAGGTCACGCAAAGCCCGCACGCACTGGGTCTGCTTCTTTGGGGAACACTGGAGCAGCGGCTGCATTGTGGAGGTTGTGGGGATGGTCGAACGGACGCCGACCAACAAGTGATTGGCTTCGCCACAAAGTGCTTCGTTATAAAGCCGACACCGCGGAGCCTTTTTTTTTTTTTGAAAGACAGCCATTGTATACAGAGTATATACTTGGAGCCCTGACGAACAGTCAATCAGCGGTATGATCGAGGAATGAAGACATCTTGGCAATGCATCTAGACTATACATATTTTTTCTTCATTTCCTCTTCCAATAGTGCTTGGGCATGGGCTAGCAGAGTAGTTCGGGAATATCCATTTCCCTCACACCCCCTCCACCGCGACCTAGACCCGGCAAAGGGTCTTACTGGTTAGCGCTCGCCTTCCTGGCCGTAACTTCGATCTCAATCTTCATGGCCTCCTCCATCAATCCGGCCTGGACCATGGTGGCCGCTGGCCTCACGTCGCCGAAGTACTTTTGCAGTACAGGCCACGTATCCCGGAAGTCTCTGCGGTCCGGGAGGATGTAGCGCACGCGGACGACGTCCTTGATCTGAGCGCCGGCCTCGGCGAGCGCGGCGGCGATGTTCTTCATTGTCTGCTCCGTCTGCTCGGCGATGTCGGGGGAGATGACGCCGGTTTGGTAATCGTAACTGTTCGGATAACGTCGCTTTAGGAGGCAAAGCCACACGAAACTAGTTGGCAGGCAAAGGGGCAGAGAGAGACAGACCCTGTGGTACCCGACACAAAGATGAGATCGTCTGACACTACGGCGCGGGAGTAGCCGATTTGTGCCTCGAAGGCGGACCCTGAGCTGATGTTTCGCCTGGCCATGATGAGGCGAAGGAAGGGCAAAGTGTGATGCGCCGATAAAGCTGGTTGGTTTGCTGACACTGCTTAGTTGTAGAAAGAATCAAGACAGGATGGAAGAAAGAAAGAACAAGTAGAAGCCAGTTTCTGGGTGGAGTCATTCAAGGTTGACTCACTCGCACTACCTACATGCATCGTCTGCGCAGGGCAGTGTTGCGACGAACAGGCCGCGCGCCCGAGGGAAGCCAATCAGAACCCTGATGCTAGACCTCAGAATACCACTTCGGGATAGTAGTACCGAACAAACCCTGGAATCGTGTCTCGGTCGCCTCCTTTTTGAGTGAGGATACTCAAAATGTGGAAAGCTCCAACACCGACAGATACAATCGGCATCGTTGTGCGAGACGTTTACCCTGTCATTATGCGTAAAAGGTTGACGGGGCGGGAGGTACTGTTCGATCTACCAGCTGGATATTTGGGGCTTTCTTGAGTCTATGATAGAGGGTATATATTAGTAAGAAAGAGGCTACGCATTGAAACCGATCCCGAGCAACAGGTCCGAGACACGTCGACGTGGCCGAGATCATCCATCAATGGAATGGCCACCGCCAAGCGGAGCGGACCGTCGACTTCGACCTATGTGCAGTCTGGGACCACTGACACTTCCCTTCTCGGTGCCCTTTATCAGGCCTGGGAGTCGTTGCCCCTTCCTTAGTAGAGTGTGCATGCTGCTGTGCTAGATCCTGCCCCAGGTCAAGCGACACTTTCCATGCTTGTCTCCCGATTGAGAGCGCGACTGCCTTGGTGGAAGGCCACTGTACTTTTAGAAGAACACTCGAATACATGCAGAGAAGGTGCGATATAAAGGGGCTGCGACTTCGCCCAACTTTCCTCCACTATACACCTCAACATCCTGCATAGTAAATCAACCCCTTTCTTGTTGTTTTCGAACATAGTTTGAACAAGGTCTCGTCACCAACGATCAAACACCGAGTAGACCCCCCCACCCAACCCAAGTCAAGCCCCCGCAACATGCCCGGCCTTCCACTTTCAGAGCTGTCTGCTCCGTCTTACTCCCCCGGCTATGCCCCAGATGGCGTCGAGGAGGAGGATCAGAGCCAGATCGTCTCGATGACGACCCGGAGAAAGCCCAAGTTCCTACAGTACCCGCCGGACGTGCCGCGTATGACCCGGCTTGGTCCTTGCACTTTCGGCGTCAACACCGGGCCTGTGGCCGATAATGCTGATCTGACCAAGCTTACGGTCCCCATGCTCAAGGAACAGCTTGGCTTGCGAGATATGCCCGAAGGTGGCAATAAAAAGGATCTGATCGAGCGACTGAGAAACTGGAAGACTTACAAGCCCGAGACCGTCGCTGTCAGAGAGGCACCCGACCGCCAAGTCTTCGGTCCCATCTCTTACAATAGGAGCGTCACGGGAATTACGCGCTTCTGGGTCAAGCCAGATGAGAAGGATCACATCAGCGCTGCCAAGAAAGCCATGGAGGAATCGATGTACATCATCAAGCAGCAGGACAACCATGACGGCTCGCCAGGATTGACTGTCGGCGTTTATTCTGAGATGGGCTCCGACAATTACCAGGTCACCATTGGGAACAAGACTTCTTGCAACTGCTCGAGCATTGTACGTGAGAGCCCGGGCATCTATAAGCCACAGTCACTGACAGACATCTGCCAGACGTTCCGACCCAAGAGCAACTGCAAGCACATCATTTGTGAGTACACACCGCCCTCTTGCATCACCTTGAACATCACTGAAAAGCGGTAGACGTCCTGACACATATTCTCCGTGCCCCTGCCGAGCTTCTCCCGCAGAGGACCCTCTTTACCGAGGAGCTCATGAAGCTCCTTGACCACGCGCCCAAGGTACGCTTCACTGCGGCTGAGGTCAGCACCGACCCCTGCATGTCGGATGGCGTTCCAAAGTCCAAGGACGGCAACTGCTGCCCGGTCTGCTTCAAGGACATTGGCGAAGCGCAGACTGCTTGCTGCGGAAAGTGCGGCTACCATACGCACTCTTCCTGCTTCGACATCTATGCGCGGGAGCTCAGCGGTTGGGGCGTCGACTGTGCCGTTTGTCAGGGTGCATGGTCGCCCGCAGCCGTCTAGGAAGGATCCGATATAGGTAGGTGAGGCCTGCAAGAGGCGGTGCCACGAGAGTGATATTCTGAAAAGGGGCGACGGACACAACCGAGAGAACTAAGAGGTTTTGACTGGCGGAGAGAGACAGATATGGGGAGAGGAAGTGTCCAAGAGTTTGACGGCGCATTTGCTGCACGATGTATCTGCATAAGCGAAACCATGGCTCTTTGTGTCTTGCGTTCTCGCCTAGAAGGCATGATAAAATGAACACCAAATGTTTCGTACCTATTCACCGCGTCCATCGCCTAGACTGGCTCTCGTCACGGCTGGGACCTGATTCAGAAGGATTCTATACCTATCCTTGTGGGAGTATCATACAGTAAAGTAAGTTTGCCGAACTTGTCACCCACTCAATCCTAGACAAGTGTCAACAAACCTCTCTCTCTCTCTCTCTCTCTCTCTCATCTCTTCTCTCCTCCCTCCCTTCTTCATCAGAGAAGGGAAGCAGAAGAGAGGGGGCGGGTCCATAAACATCAAAACCAACATAAAAATAGTCCCTTCGCCCCCCCTTCATCCTCCTCGCGCCTCACACCCCAAGGGTTTTTTGATGTGTCCGTAAAACTCCAGAACGCGAGGATGAAAAAAAAAAAACCAAACCTAAACAAACAGAAAACAACCGTCATCCTCCCTGAGGCACTCATAAGACGGGGCCATGGTGAGCTGGTGGTGATGGTGTTGGCCCGAAAAAAGAAAATGCAAGAACCAACCCTCCCAAATGCGTTAAATCGAGTACCCCTCCCCCGAAACACGCATTGCCCATGCCTACTGCCGTCGCTTTGCTTGCCAAAGGGGGAAGGGGTGTGAGGATTTCTCGCTGGCTGGTGAGGCGACTATTTGAGCATGGAGTGAGTGCGGATGCCCTTAGGACCGAGCTCGCTACAAGTTCATGACTGGTTAGTAAAAGAAACTCTGGAGGGCTACGGATTGAAAGGGGAAAAGGGGGCTCACTTGTAGTCGACTCTGCTCAGGCTGGCTTGGCGCTGGGCCTCGAGGCCGGCCATGTCGAGGTTGTGCTGGCAGAAGGCGATGCGAGCGGCGACCTGGGCGCCGAGGAACATGGCCTCCTCGAAACCGTTCTTGTTCCACTCGCTCAAGTAGGTCGGCAAAGTGGCCAGCTTGATGCTCGTCGGCGTCTGGCTGTGGAAGTGGTGGCCGGAGTGGTTGCCGACGGCATCGGCGCCTCCCGAGGGGCCGGGAGTGCCCTGGTTCTGGGCCGAGGCCGTCGTGGCGGCTTGAAGGAGGGGGTTGACGCCGGAGGAGCCCCCGGCGGCGACGTTGACGGGGAGCTGAAGCGGGACCCCCGTGAAGGAGCCCGTGGGGGTCTGCGCGCCGGTGCCGGTGGGCGTGGCCACATTGGAGGGCAGCTCCGATGTGAACATGGTGGCAGTGCTGGGGGAGATGAGGTGGCGGGCTACGAGGGTCTGGAGGATGTTGTCCTTGAGGCCGCGCAGGCGCGAGCCGTTGCCGACGAAGACGAGGTTGTCCCAACACGCGGGGCGCATGTACATGTCTTCGATACCCTGAACTGTGCGGTAGATGGTGGTCACGATGCGGTCGATCTCGCCGCGGTCGGCGAAGGTGAAGCGTTCGGGGCCAACCTCGATGTCGCGGCGGACGCGCTTGGCCTGCAACTGAGGAGATTGGGGCGCGCCGTTAGTGGTAGTGGTGCTGGCGGCGGCGGCGGCGGCGGCGGCGGCGGCCTGAGCAGTCGTTCCGTTCGTCTCCGGAGCTGCAGGAGAGACTGCGGAGTCTGTGGGTGCTGCGGGGGCCGGCGTCTCTGCAGGCTTGACCTCACTGTCGGTAGGCGCGGGAGCGGCGTCATCAGCAGGCTTAGGGCCGTCCGTCATCTCCACGTCCTTGGGTTCGACCGCGCTGCCAGACTCCTCCTTTTTGGGCTCTTCCTTGTCCTCGGGCTTGGCCTCTTCGGGCTTGGGGAGCTGAACCTCCTCCATGACAACCTCTTCCAAGTGAAATATGTTGTGGGTCCGCTTCGAGTTGGGCAGGCGGACCTGCTTAGCAGTCTCGACCTCTTGCCCAGCCTTGACCTTTCTGCCGCCCTTCTGCTTCTCCTTCTCCTTTTTGGCGAGGAACTCACGCGCGTTTCCGGTTGTGACGATGGCGGCAACATCGAGTACGCCCTCGTCCGCCACCTTCTCCTCTAGCTCTTCCTCGATGCTGCTGGGAAGGCCAGAGCGCGCAGCGGGTTCATGGGCGGCGACTGCATCGGGTATGGGTGCGCCGGCGGCGATGCCGGCCGTCTGGTCCGTCGGGAGCTCCATGAGGTCGGGGCTGTTGGGCGCATAGGGCAGGACCTCGCAGATGTGGCTCTTCTTCAGCTGCTCCGCCATGTCGTACGTGAAGCCCTTGTCCTTGAGCTTCTCGAGAAGCTTGCGCGTGAACATCTCTCCGCCGGAGATGAAGCGCTCCGGGTTCGGCGCGCCGAGTTCGCCATGATTGACCACACGACCCTCGTGTATGCAGGTGACGTCGACCTTCTCGTAGCCAATGTCCACCACCGTGAGGGCGGGCCACTTCAGGCCGTACTGGGTAGCGATGCCACTGTGGATCATGCAGAGGGCGGGCGTCCGGGTCTTCTCGAAAATGTAGCGCGCAAGGGTCTCGATGTCGGGGCGGCACCATTGAGGCGAAGCCATGAGCATGATTGGGGTGTTGTGGTACGTGGTCGTGAGCATGCTGTGGACGTGGTCGAGGAAGGCGAGGAAGGCCTCCATATTGACAATGCGACCGCCTTGAGACGAGACATCAATTAGCACACCAGGCGTCAGGAAACATGAAGGCAGTCACTCAATCGCACCTTGAAGCGGGTAGACAGCGCCCTCGGTCGAGTCCGTGTCCTCAACCCACTCGTACTCGTCCTCGTCGACCCGCGGGCCATCGATGGCGAGCGCGCCTTTGGCACTAGGCTTCTTGCGCTTGAATGTATGGAAGGGGCGCCACTCATCCGTCTCGGCGTCCTTGAACATGCGCGTCGGAATGCGGTGGATGGGCGGGGTCAGCTCGCCGCATCCCAGCTGGGCCATGGTCGTCTGGCTGCCGGGACAGATGATGAGGACCTGGTCCTCGCGGAACTTGCCCGTTTGGGTCGACATGTTGCCGACGCGCGCAGCTTTCTGAGCGCCGCTGGGAGTCTTCTTGGAGTCGATACACACGGGAGTGCCTTGGGTCCCTGGAGTCGCGGCGCCACCTTTTTGGGGAGGAGCTTTCTTGGATTTTCTCGGCGTCTTCTTCTTGGGCGTAACTGGGGCAGATGGCGGGCAGGATCGCGGTCTGAGTCTGGTCGCGTAAGAATTGGAGTCGCAGCTGGCAGCTGGGGTGGCACTGCCCATGCCAAAGCTGGCCATTCCTAGAGGCTGCCACATGGTCCGTGCATCCATGTTCGCATTATCCTTTCTCCGAGACTTGCAGTGATTGCAGGCACAATCCACCTTCATGAGCTTGCAGGGCTTCATGATGGGAGGGAATTGTGCAGTGATGCCGAAAGGCAATGTGAAGATGGTTTGAAAGAATTTCTGGAGTTGCAAGGCAGTAGTCAAAGGTGGAAACCAAATCAAAGAGACGGGGCAGGCTGCTGAAGCCGCGTGCTGTGCGGCTTGTCATCAAGTTGGTCGAACCGGGTTGAGGTCATTCGGGTTTGTTCTCAATGATTGATCATTATCTTTAAGCAATACATAGATGGCCGAGCTATCTTTGCTAGGTCACCTCAGAGACTGAGAGTTGCCCCTCATAGTCCAGCTCCGCGATGTCTTTGCAGCATGCATGGAATCTGCCTCGACCGGTGTCCTAGTTTCTATACAGTAAGTAGTGTTGCCCCGTCCGCCGGCAAGTGTGCCCCCTGATCCTTTGATACGACCCGTAGCTGCTATTCATGTGGTATGCCCCCCTGTGCCGGCCATTTTGGTCCTGTACATCCGTAAACGCCTTTTTCCCGTCATAAAATTGGTCGTTATCTGCAGTAGTTGCTCGGTATCCTCAGCGAGGATCAATCATGGAAGCCGTCAAACGCCTGGTACACATCTCAAAAGATAGGAATAGGACTGAAAACTGTGTCCAAATGGTGCCGCGGCGCCTGGTCTGCTCAAAAAGAAAAAACGGCAGGGAAAAAGACTAATAAAAGAAAATGAGGGAAGAATAAGAAAATGATGGTATCATGCGACGTCGGCTGCTTTCGGGGCGGTATGCTGCCTCGACTCAACGCTGGAGACTTCTTTCAACGGACTGCCGAGAGGGGTGAGGAAATATCCATCATCTGGGAAGGCTCCAGGTGCAAAAGGCGTCGCTTGTTCCGACTTGTGAGCCGTTGCTGTCTTGGAAACAGGCGCATCTGCCTGCTGCGTCTTCTCGCCGAGTGTGAAGTTGGCCTTCTCCAACTCCTCATCGTCGGACAGATCGGGTACCGTCTCCGTGATCGATGGGATCCTGTCCGAGCCGCTCCGAATGGAGGACGAGTCGATGGACTGTCTAGGAGAAGGAGTGAAAGAGGACTGAAGAGGGCTTTGAAGATGACTGACGTCTCCGATGTCACTCTTACTGGCGCGAGAGCTCCTCATTGGGCTTTTCGGGGGAAGGGGCGGGGGGATTCTCTTGGGGATGGTCACCAGCGCGCCCTTGGCGTGAATAGGGGCGGCCATGACGGCTGTGCGCGCGGCGGGTTGCGCGGCGGCAATCTCGAAGATGACGGGTTCTTCCTCCTCGTCATCTTCGTCAACTTCATCGTCATCCTCATCGTCGGCGTCACCGTCTTGCTGCTCATTCCGGGACTCCATGTAGATGTCATCGTCGGTGGTGATTACGCTAGCATCGTCCTTGGTGTAAACGCTCGAGGCCTTGGTAGTCGCATCGTCAATGGTGCTCACGTCGGCTCGCAGGTGATCGTCGCGGCCTGCCATGACGGTTCCTTCTATGGAATTTCTCCCGCTGATCTGCCTCAGAGGAGTGAAGTCAATCTTGGTGTAGTCCACCTCTTCCGGCTCCTTGAGAACGGGAAGACTGCTGACGGAGGCACCGTCTTCGCTCTGGTTCTGGCTTTGACTCGGCGACGTGGCTGGCGTGTCGGTCGTGTTTGTTTGCGTCCATGCCTCGGACATTTTGGTACGGCTCGTCTTGGTTGACATGAGACTGCCTCGGTTGCTCTTGGTCGTGAACGTCTCACTGCTCTGGCGGAATCTTGAAAAGGCCGGGCTCGAGGGGGCAGGGTGGAACTCGAACTGACTGCTCGTAGGCCGAAGGCGTGTACCGGCCTCCCGGATCTCCAAGCCCGCCATTTCTAAAGCGAGAACGCCGAACGGATCGGGATCGTCCGCTAGAGGAATGCCGAAGGGAGTCTTGGGCGATGCCGGCGAGGTTTTGGGTGTCTCAATGACTGCATCGCCAGGTGCCGGTAGCGCCGACAGCTTCTTCAGAACGGCCTGGTCGGCGTCGACCCTTCCCTCGGCTTCCTTGATGACCTCGAATAGTGGGCGTGTTTCCTCCACGTGTCTCGACACGTTTCCCGCGGCAATGTCCATGGCCGACAAGCTGGTACCGTAGAACCTCTCGTTTTCGTTTGCTCGCTCGGTCAGGATGCAGCCGTTCAAGTTGACGTTCTGGGTTTGTCCTCTCGCCTTCATGTATGTGAGAACGGTGTTGTCGAGGTCCTTCCATCTACTGTCGACTTCTGTTGATTCCAGCGCCACCAATGGTCCGGTGGTGAGACTGATGTCCTCTCCCAGGGTAACGGTGGGTTTAGTTATTAGTGATTCGAGAGCGGCGATGTTGTTGATTACCAGGACACAGTCATAAATATCTACGCCCATAATAAAACTTAGTGAAGGCGTATGCAGGAGAATGCCCGAGGGTGGTGACCAGGTGCCGTCGGCTTTGCGGGCGATGAGAATGCCGGAGCCGCCGGATCCTGTCATCCACAGACCAGATCGCATACATGTGAAGATGGCAATGCCGGCGGCATCCTGTATTATGCGAGGAGGTATCTTTTTAAAAACGCGAGCAGGGGTTTTTGGTTCGGCGTTGGCGTCAGCATCCGTGTTTAGCAGGCTATCCAGTGGTGCCAGAAAGCCGTCGGCTAGAGGAGGAGCGGGTGTTAGTGGCAATGTACGACGACGAGGCAAGACATGGCATGCTAATCCAGCGACGAGGCGGAGAAACAAAATCAGATTCGAGGATGGCCTACAACAAAAGGACTTCAATATGCGAGCAGAACGATCGCATTCGGCATCGAGGGTGGCGGGCCAGAAAGCCTCGCGGCCAACACGCGAGGCGGCCGAGGCGAGGGCGGCGGTGGTGAGGGGCGCGGTGGGCTTGTTAGACCAGCGGAAGACCTTCTCGAGAGGGGATCGGATGCCGTTTGCGGTAGCGATGCTGGCTCGGCCGTTGCTCGTCGTGCTGGCGTTACTTCTCCTCCTGGCGTCCCAGGAGGGGAGAAAGCTGGAAACCCGTTGCATAGTTTGTGACGGAGGATTATGGGCGTTGGCGGCAGTGATGTCTTGTCCCCGTTCGCGGATAAGGACGGGGGTACGAACGCAGCGACATGCGTCGGCGAGTATGTGGTGTAGCTCATTCACAAGCACCAAGAAACGGCTGCGTTCACTCTAGTTTCCCGCCGGTATGGGAAGGCCGGTATGGGAAGAGGATGGAGAGTCATGAAAAAGAAGAAGATGGGAGAAATTGGGGGACGAATTGGACTTTGTTGAATAGACTCAGACCAGGTCCACAAGATCGACTGAGCATCCTCCACCTTACGAGAGATGCGGGCGGAGCAGTAAGTAGCTTTAGCAAGGTGCAGACAATTTGTTGCAGCAGCAGGCTCACGGTTCACCACCCATGATGCAGCGCAGCGGAACGCAGTAAGAGACCTGCAGGAAGGGGGAAGTGGAGGGGAGGGGGGGGGGGTGTAGGGTGTGTGGTGCAGCAGCTGCAAGTGGGGTGTGGGCGTTGATGTTTGGGGGGCGTGTGACTCGTGAGAGGGCAGCAAGGGAGAGAGAGAAAAGGCCTGAGAGTACTTTACAGACGGTACGTATGACACTACTCGTCCATGTGGTTGGTTGGTTGGTGACGTGGGCGGGCGACGAGGATGGCCATTAGAGCGATGATCCATGTCGCGCTGGCCGTCAACGGCGCCGGATCAGAACCCAGATGAACCAAGACCGGGTTCCAGCAGTACGATGTACATGGTAGTGTACATTGAACCTAGACGTACCAACACTCACGAGAGAAGCGGCACCAGGCCACCAGACCAAACTAGACCAGACCAAGACGAGACCCGGTCCAAGACTTTCAGGCCTAGAGTAGGCTTGTGATCAGTTTTGGCCACTTCAACTGCGAGGCTCGAGGCTCGATGCTCGTCAGGATTCCCAAACGAACGCCAGGCGGAGGCGTGAAGCAGGTGAACGAACAACCGTCAGGGGACCTAGAGAGGGTAACGGGATGATGACGGGCTAGGAGAGATGAACGGTTGACTCGCCCTACCATTATGCTGCGTAGTCCCGCCCCGGTCGATTCGCCAAAGTTCTGCTTGATGGGGGTGGGTATTTGAATCAGGCAAGGCGATGATGTCAAATGAACTAAAAAGGTATTCTTGGCCTCATTTGAGCGCCTGCCGAGCAAACCCGAAACCATTGACTTTGGGGGCTCCCTTCCACTTCCAGCTTTTGCTAGGCACCAAAGTATCCGTACATCGCACTGTATTGTGAGGGCCAAACTTTCGGCTGTGGGGCTTTCGTAGCCCGACAACCTGACTGACTGACTGACTGACAGCCCGACAACCGGACGGGGCCTTTTTTCTCTCTCTCTTTTCTGTGCCGAACGGCACATGTGCATCTACACAGGTAGGGAGTGAGTACACACCAGGTACAGCGGACTCCCTGGGTAGCTTGTCGTGTTTGTTTCTCGTGCTTGTTTCTTCTCGGTGCAGCACACGTCGACGTTTGACTCGTTCAAGCATGGTAGTTAGTGCCATACCAGTAACTGCATCAGGACTAGACCATCAGACTATCCAGGACTGACAGCAAAGTGCGTGCATACCGATGATGACTAGACTACCTGCGTTTGGTGTTTTGCTTGCTGACACACACGCACACACACACACACACACACGCCGGCAAGCAGCTTACTACTTACTAGCTGCGTGAGTCGACCTGGGGGGTCAGTGAGTAGGTACGGATACTTGATGCCTGACAAATTGCCGTCTTTTAGGTTTTCGCACGATTACTCCTCCCACTTACAAATGCTGGCTGATGCGTGGGTATGCGGCAAGGTACGCAGAGGTTACGCCAGCAACACGAAGAACCAACACTCTCACTTCGTCTCAGAAGCCAACCTATGCTCCAATATTCCATCTCTCTCTTTCCTCCGTCCTTCTCTCTTTCCTCCGTCCTTCACTCTACCCCTCCCTCCCTCCTCCCTCTCTCTCTTTCTCTCTTGCCAAAGTGCCTCAGTTGGTTACGCAGATCGGCATCGGAAAGATGCTTCAAAAGACTAGTAAAAGCAAAAGAGAAGAACCAAGACCCATTTGGATAAGACGCTCGAAAAGCAAAGTGGGGAATAAGAAATACCTAAGAAAAATCCCCTCCACACAGCCAATATTATCAACGTCCTCGATCGAGACATTCAAAGACATGACTAGGCCTACCTTTTTCTCCCTTCCACTTGCGCACCGTGTGTCTTCAACCCAGAGCGCTGTAGCCGTTATCCGTTATTGCCGTCCCTCATTGGCGAGGCATTCGCTGTCGAGGAGGGTAACGACTATTGCCGCGTGGGCGCAGGGAGAGAAGCCTCTTCAGGAAGCGTATATTGCGCTGAAACCAGGTCATTTCGCTGCGAGCCCGAGCCCGTGTGACCTGACCCTTCACAACCCCCATCGGACCCTGGCGATCTGTTCGCTCGGTCATCTCCTCTTCTCTGGCCATGCAACCGCACCTTCCATCCAATCCAAGACATGGAGACATGGGCGCGCATAACATGGAGAGAGAGAGAGAGAGAGAGAGATGGGACCGGGCGCAAGTGTAGACACACATACACACGGGTTGGCGTCGGCATTCCTACTCGTCTTGATTTGTCTTGTCTTGAGGTGCGGCCTGATCTACGCATTGGGCGAACCATGCCGTATTGCATTGATGTGTCGGTAAGTTTGTCTGCCTATACACATTCTGATTATGCCCGTCACGAAGCTTTGACTACCTATGCGAGGGACGGCCAGGGACGCGGTAACCCCATCTTGGCATCTTTCAAACACATCCCCCTCCAAGAAATGGCTGAGCGTCTGTTCCATCTCTGCGGCGCACAGCGAAGGAGTCGGGAGACATTACGATCCGCGGTCGTACCTTCTTCCAGGTAATCACAGAAACCTAAAAGAGAAAGTACAGTGTTACGGTGGAGCAGAAAAAAAGGAAGTTGCGTCCATTTTCGCGCATGCCATCGACAGCAGCTACCGAGTGAAGTGGGGTTCAAGCCCCATTGGTAGCTAGGTGGTCTGGTCCAGTGTCTCCTCGTGTCTCTCTTTCCTTTCTCTCGCTCTTTCCCCTTGCTAATCGAAAGAGGGCAGGCAAGAGTGGCTGTCTCTTCTTTTGTCTTTCGGACCACACAGCAAGTGTTTCTCTCTCGCTAAACTATCTCGACTTCCGGCAATGACAAATGTGTGGGCTCATTCCAGTTCGCCTCAAGTTCGCTTTCGTCCTCATATCATTCCGGGTTCTGGCCCGCCGCGGCGAACGCACTGACATCTGCGTCCAGCAGTCACAGACGAATGTTTGTCTGATGGATTGATTGATTGGATCAGTCCGACGTAGGGTCCTTCGGCTCTTCTCCATTCGTCACACCATGTCAGACTGTCAGTGCGGCGCCAGCCACCATCAGATTTCCTGTCAAGGACGGGAGAGGGGGCCGAGCTGAGCCGTGACTGTCCTGTCTGTCCGGCCGTTTCTCCGTCTCTTTTTGCATCCCACCCACATCAGCTCAGCATTGCGAACCCGGCAGCTCCCACCCATCCATCCATCCATCCATTCATTCATTCCTGCGTATCGGATGCCCTGTGCTGGGTCGACGAATGGGTGTGGCACTCTATTCGGTGTTCCTGGCTAACGCATCGCACTCACTATCAAGCCAATATCTCGATGCACCCGAACCACCACTTCCTCCTCGTGTGTGTTTACTGCTCCCGTCGTCTGTTGGCCCTGTCGACTGACTGTACCCGCAGCACCCCTTCTGGGCCACATCTGATCTGTTCGTCCCTTTTTGGCCCTGCTCTCACACCCCGCCCCCGCTGCCATCCTCGTGTAACCGGGGCGGGGTGAGGGCGACTGTCGCATCCCACCTTGCTATTATTACGTATTCACCACATCGCGCACCACAGTACCGATCGCCTCTGCCGTAGCTCGTGCAAATCCGAAGACAGGGAAGTCGACCGCGATCCGACGAACCCCCAGAACCACCAGGCCAGCCCGGCTGGGCCCAAGCAACCAAAGGGGGGAAGCAAGAAAAGCAAACACCTTGCGACAATGAACTAATCCGGCCAAACCGGGAACTGTTTCATTCTACCCGGACGTCGTCGCCGCTGCCGCCTCCAACCCTCCCTCCCGCTTCACGCTGCTCCTGTCCTAGGTAGACGTGTGCAAACGCGCCCCCTCCACTGGCCGGACGCCTGCAAGCAAGTCGTTACTCATCTTCGGCGAGCGAACCAAACGCCTCGGCTACCAGCCATACTGCCACACTGCGTAGGTATCATGCTGCAGCGCTAGCATCTGACACTATCACACAAATGTCTCGCCCTATTCCCCCTCCCTTGGACCCGAAGGGTGCAAGCCGCAGCTCTGCAGTATCATCGAAACCAAGAGCTGCATGCATGCATGCATGAGACGCTATTGCTGCAATTCTACACCACCCGCCTTGGGCTCTGCCTCTTGTCTACGTGCGCTAGGTCACTTACAACCTCTCTGACCACAGGCTCGATAGGCCACTCGAATGCTGCTCAAGCCCAATCTCGCAATCGGCTGTCTGCCTTACATGTCATTATGTGTCGCATGCTTGGTCCACCGGTGCGAGAGACAGCCAGCATTGATCCCGTGAGGTGGCGGCAAAGGAGCAGACGTTGTCTGTCACCCGTGCTGTTCGTGCCATCAGCCGGTTCTCTTCTCCTTCCCTTCCAAGCGCGGGGTATCCCCCGTGGCAAGATGCGGCAGCTCTGGTGGAAGCCAGGTAGGATTCATTCCGGATTCTTCTACGGCGAGGCGCGCCACCACTAAGATTCAAGGTCGGGTCTGTCGAGAAAGGCGCACGGCCAACGCCGATTAAATGCCAACGGGATGATTTGATGTGTCCACTAGCGCACCACGTTGCCGCCGGAGAAGACTCCAGTTCCGTCCTTCTGCGTGTTCCTATATCCTAGACAGCCCATTTCCACTCCATAGTTCGACTTGGGGCTTCCCGATACCTCGAGACCTAAGCCGTCGAGGCAAATATCCCAAAAGAGGGGGCATTCTTGCATGTCACGAAAACAGAAAGGTGGCACCATAAAAAAGCCAATGTTCAAGGCTGGCTCATCTCGGGTGGCACCTCTGCCATACGTCCGTCGTTGCTATTTTGGCGCGGTCGCAAGCTCTCTATTTGAACGTTCGATTCGGTTACTAACATGAACCTTGAACGCGGATGTGGCTGGGAAATGAAGAAATCCCCGCTTCCCTGCCCCCAGCGAATCCCAAGATGGATGGCTGCTCCAGCGTCGGGATGCCACTTGGCAAACCAAAGCCACATCAGACGACCCGCTCAAGGCCGGAGAACCGGGATTTCGGTCTATTTTTTCTCTTCTCTCACTGAAGAATGTCCACGGCCAGGGATGATGCACGAAGTCATACCGAAGCAGGCATGCCGCGAAGAAAATGGAGAATTTAATGGGGTATCTTTTTCTGTCTCTCTCTCTCTCTCTCTCTTCGGTGCTTCCTCCCCCCCTCTTTTTTTCTTTTTTCTTTCTTTTTAGTCCAGGAGTGCGAGGAGGCTGCCCACCAATCAGATGTACTACTATGGTATCAGGCCAAAGTTTAACCCCCTCGTCAGGTAAATGTGGCCGTGCTTTTTTGATTATTTCAGCGACGGTACTTTGAGGTTCTTGTGCACATCTATCATAATTCTGGCCAGTGAGAGTCTCTCATACGTGGGTCACAACTCCACACTACCTGTTATGGAGTTTAAACTTACCCATCAGACCATAGTATGAAGCCTTTTCTATACCTCACAGCCTCACAGGGGCAATATGGAGGGGGTTCCGAGCGCAGATGAGCCCTGTGCCGGATATACAACATTTCGGGGCTCCGCCTCGGTGCCATGGCGTGCCCTGGACAACGAACTACTGGATTCTATCCGTACACAGTATTGGACGTACACAGCCGGCCGAGTGTAATAGTGCAACTGGAAAACCATCCACCGACTGAAAAGAAGATGAAAAAATTGAAAAAAATAAAATTTGGGGAGGAGCCAGTGTCGGATTGCCCGGCTGCCAAGAGCGGGTACGGAAACGGGTAGCCCAACGAGCTTACCAATGGGTGGGAGCATCCGCAAGTGCCGACGACGCCTCGTGGCCAGCACGAGGGCCGCAACTGCAACAAAGCCCTCGGGGGCTGAATCCTCTTGTTTTGTGTTAGCTGCCGTCACATATAGCTGGCCCAAGCTACCAAAGCTCTCCGTCCCTCTGTCCATCCGGCTGGCCGGCGGTTTTGGGAGTGCGTTGAACGAGGGTGTGTGGATTGCGTCCGAGCTCGCTGGTGATCGCCACTCCCTCAGATTCACGGTTGTACGGGAACCGGGGGAAAGGAGGGGGGGGGGGGGGGGGGTTGTCTCCCCCCCCCCCTGTCCCAGCCCGCCCAATCGGATCCTGAGAGACCAACAAACTTGTCGACGGCAAGGAGGAATCTTTTGGGTTGGTTCTACGGATACGTGTATGTAACTTGTCGGGCCTGCGGGATTGTGGTGTGGTGCAGCAGCTCCAGGGGGGCCTCGCCTGTACGTGTTCCGGGGCAGTGCCAGGGAGCCATGAGGTCATCAAACTCCTTGTCCTCCTTAATCTCTACGTAACAGATCGTTGCTGGCTGGCAATGACGGCCAGTCAATCAACCAGTGGTTCTTTTTTTGGTTTTTCCTGCTCTCATGATCACGTCACTGAGATTGGTACACATGAAGCGGTTTGGCAATTCGTTGACGAAAAAAATAAAAGGAAAAATCAAGACGTCGGCTCCTTTAGCGCCGCCACCCGATTTGTTCCAGAACGAAACCCAGAAGGAACGAAAGGACACAAAAAACATAGCACGAGTGCCCGGGTTGAAGGTCAAAAGTCTGTGACAAAAGCCCCGGTCCATAATGTCTCGAGCCAATTTCATAACCGCTACTTTCTCTCCGTTGAACCCGTTTATGCTTATAACAATATTACATTACTCTACGAAGTGCGGCTATACTCGGCTATTAAGCTTCGAACCAACCCGCCGGAAAGGGTTGGGTCGAGTTGGGTGTGGCACTCGTTGGTTTCCCCCATTACAGCTGCTTCTTCAGCCCGCCAACGGAGCCGATGCCGTCGGCAACGTCCGCCGCCTGCTTGTTGCCCTTGAGCTGGCCTGCGAGAGTTGTGTCAGCACCGGGGTAAGGTTTGATTTCCGCCGAAGCGCCGTGTAAGTATTTTCTTTGTTCTCTTGTAATTTTATTTTGTTTTCATCTTTTTGTTTATAAATAAGAGAGGGAAAATGAGAGGGAGAGAGGGAGAGAGAGAGAGACAGAGAGGAAGTGGTGGGGGATTGGGCTGCTCTGCACTCACCATCGACAAAGTCCTGGCCGGCCTTCATCCCCTGCGCCTGCATTTTCTTCTTCTCGGCCTCGGCCTTTGCCTTGAACAACATGATGCTGGTCGCGCGACGAGAGCGTCAGTGTGAGGCAAAGCAAGATACGGCCACGGAACACATTCATTCCCTTTGGTTGCGGGCAAGTGGTGGAAAAGGGTCGGAAAAGCACTCACCCGATCTGCTCGATGACGGGGTCCAACATGCCCTGTTGGTAGGCGAAGAAGCCCGCGAGGAAGACGGCGACGACGACGGCCAGGGAGATGATGAGGGATTGCGCGGTGGAGGTCTCCATCGTTGATGTATGTTTGTTTTTCTGGTGATGAAGAGCGGGCTTGATCGAGTTGCAAGGGGCGGCGGTTCGCGATGATGTATATATATATCTCTGTTAATTGCAGGTCTTCTCTGATCGTTGTCTGCCCCCCCAAAAAAAATCCTACAACCGTTTCCCATCGAGCCCGTTTATATCCCTTTTTCCAACATCTCAAAGAGATGGAAGAGGATGGGGGAAAAACTTGGTCTGACGTGCAGCAGTTCCCTCTCACGTGTGTAACCCCCCCGGTGTAAGAGAGAGAGGCGATCGACAATGACGTCCTGCTTCCGCGTGGGGGAGGGGGTAACATGGGCGCAAAAATCAGGGTCTCGGCCGGTCATCCAGATGCGGGAAGCAGGCCGCAATACATCACATTTTCTTCCGAGGATGGATTCCCCCTTCCTTAGGAAAAAAAAACCCCCCAGGTTTGCCTGGTTACTAATACATCATTCCTCCTCTAGGCGATCCCCGAAACTGGCTCGAACCTGATTTTGTTGCTATCCCCCCCGGGTGTTTCCCAGTCCTCCTCTCTCGCCGGGGTCCTTATGCGGGTCAGGCCGGATCGGGTTCCGAGATGTCGTCAACCTGCCCGACGGACACAACGAAAAGGGGTCTCGCAAGGGGACTCTCGTAGGGCTCGACCGGCGAAAAAGGGGGGGGGCTTACGGCAAGACGAAGCGCATGAACTGGAGCATGGCCCCCAATACCCCTTCCCTGGAGGAGGCCTTCTCTCTTTCGGATCGTCGCTTAACCAGGCTTTGAAGAGTGCCCCGTTTTGGTCGGCCGGCAGTTGAGCGAGGTTTCAGCGGTCGCATGGACCACACCCTATAAAGTAAGTTTCCTTCAGCTGGTCTCCATGGATGTCTGACCGGTAGAGACTGGGCTGCTTTTTGAAGGCAGGTTTAAATGCATTTCGGGGGAAGGGGGTGCTCTTTGGGTAGACGAGTGGTCGGCGACTGCCCGACGAGGTGAGTGTGTCGCGAGGCTCTCAAGGGACTTGATAGCTTGTCCCCGTTGAACAAGCTCTCGCGGGACGGAAGGGCTGCCCTTTTCCATGTCGTCCACGCTTCGACGTCGAGGAGGTTCGACTGGTGCCGTTTGTCGTCTCCTGGGGGCGGCTCCCCAGGGTTACTGCGCATTGTTCATGGCGGAACAGTACCTCGCGTAACACGAGAGTCGCGCGACGCACATCATCAGCCAGACGCTTAGTTCTCTGTGGTATACAGGCCGGGAAGACTAGCTAGGCGGCAGTCTATGCCGTGGTGTCATAGAGGCAGAGGGGGTTCACCCCGTGCCTGGTCCCGAACGATGACGGCTGAGAGAACGAGTGATATCGTTGATCCTTCTATGGGGAGTATGTGAACTAGCGTGAGGATTTTGCCTAGCATACCCTACGGTGGCCTCGTTCTATTGCGGGAATTGGGGGAGAGGTGTTCCGCATATCTGTTAGAGAATGCCCTGGGCCTAGGCTTCTTGTTGAGGATGCCGAGGAGGCAGTCTCACTGGTATCGAGCGCCGGTGACCGGTTCATTGCATGTAGTCATACCAGATATTGCGAGCAGTCCACGGGCAGCTACGAATCTTTATGGGAGTCAACTTGGAAAGGAAAGGTATGGTTACGATAGAGAGCTCATCACCCGAGGAAGCGGGTTACCTGGCGGCTCCTACCAATCCGACGGACTCGCCTGGAGCCCGTTCGAGGCAAAGAAGGCCGTACAGAAGGGCCAGGAGCAGCAGCATCCAGGGCGCCGGCTGGGAAGGAGCGGAGGCGAGCGGTTCTTCATCCTTTTCTCCTCTGACTGTACATCGATTGAGAATAGTCATCTGTGATCTCGCAGTGCCTTATCAGCAGTGAACGATGGAGAGCTTCCGTAGTCGACACCCGTCGCTTCTCGTTCTTCTCGTCCGCCTGCTCTTAGCCCGAACAATACCGAGATGCCGACAGCGAGGAATACCGAGACTCCTCACTTCACCGTAGGTGCGTTGTACGTGCTCTGAGACTGTAGCACACGCTGAAATGTGGCCAAGGTTCGGAGACTTGTTTGGGCTCGGGATCTCTCGAATATACGGGCCGGTAATGAAACTGCGTAACATATCCGTAAACAGGTGTGCTAATCTGCATGCTACTTCAAATGTGATTCCCGTGGGCACATCAGAAACCAAGTAAGACCGGCATCAGGGTTTCCAGTTCATGTGATCCTCGGCTTCGGTCTGTTGCTCCCAACTGACAACGAGACCTCCAACCCAGCCTCTCCTCCTGGGAGGTGCGCAAGCACCCGATACTTGTGTAACATACGGCAAGTAGCACATCCTGAGCCTCATCGTCCTCGCACCTAGTGTTCCTATATCTGGCTACCGAAGACAAGTACCAAAAAGGGCCCTGGCTCAGGCTCCTGGACCGGTCCTGTCATGGGGGGGTTCCTTCGCCCCTTTGCCGTCAGTCTGGTCGTGCTCATCTTCCATGGGCTTGCCCGTGGTCTTTTTGACTCGCGCCATGATCAACTTCCAGTACGGAAATCCCATGATGGAAGCCTTTGCTGAAAGTAAAGAAATATGGGGGAAACCCCAGTGAGGGTTTGAACAGTGCTACGTTTTCGTTGGAGGAGAGGACGACGATTACTATGAGACAGCCTCATATCTGAGATCTAGCATTCGACTGTGACGCGAAATTCCGTTTGCTCAACAGGAGGGCCATGGCTCAGGGTGTTCAGTCGGCAGGTTCCTCCAGCTTCGGCAAAGGGTTATCTCGCGAAGATATCAAGTCGCGTTTGCCTGCGTCGACCGGTCCACATATACCTTATAACACACTGTGCTAAAGCTCTCCATCTCCCAGAATATCCGTATTGCTAGTGACGGTCCAGTCGTCTAGCTAGTCTGCGTAGAGTTCAACATCAGTGCCAACAGAGACATGGTGGATACGGCTGTGATAATCGCCCAGTGACATCTCGTCCGTAGGGATGTTACAGGTGTCGAGAGCATCTCTACCAAGCCACCTGACCTAGGAGCAGAGCAAGTCCAACAGCTTATCAGCAAGAACCTATTCAAATACTTATGCAGCTGTCTTCAATAGCGTCGTATGGCGGGGGCCCAATATCGCTTTCATCAGGTAACCTTTGCACACAATCTACTCTCGTGGCCATGAACCTTGGCAGGGAAACATCGGCGCCTCCCCGTATGCTTTGTCTCGAAGAGAAAAGCAGACGACTACATGGACGAGAGAGATAGAGTAGCCACCTCAGGGTCGGAGCATAGCGACTGTATCTACATGGACTGGATCATAGTTCTTATACCGGAATACCAACGTACCGAAATACACCGCAGTCATTTGATCTAGTATACAAGACACATCCTAGTGTCTCTCTGTCTTCTGTGTCTATGTCTTGACACCCGTCTTCTGCCTCAGTTGAAAGCCTTCGCAAACGTGACCAGAAACATGCAAATAACAACAGTTTCGAGCCTTGTCATAAATATATATTGACTAGCTAGGACAGAAATAAGTCATGTGTCTACCCAGCCACGGCGACCGCCCACCTGTTATCAAGACCCATACAAGCCTACCGAGTTGGTCTTAACTTACCGGTCACTCGAAAGACCATAAGTATCGGGAACTGGAGGCTCGCCCGTTCTGGGAGATCCGCACTGCTCTGCCACAGCTAGGCGTTCAAACCCAGGCTTGGGCCAAGATATCGGCACCAGTCACGTGATGTGTAGAAGGACTTATCTGGCCGAGTGAAAGCTTGCCGTGAACTATATTTTGGAAGATGAGGCAATGTTTGTGGCGCGGTGCAGCTGGACACCGCGGGGCTCTTCCGCGGACGGACATGTCGGACGGTCGACTGACTTTTGACATGCTACGGTTCAGCATTGGGCCATAACGCGTCAAGTGACGACAAGCTCGAGATCAGCGAGGGAAAAGAGAAGAACAGGTGGCTCGGCTCCTGGAACTGGTCAGATGGGCCCTTGGGGGGGGACAGGACGGCGGCACTCCTCCCTTCTGTCAGCCATTTCGAACGCAACCAGACCTGTACTATACAAGTGGAGTTCTCATGGTCCTGCATGATGTGACCGGTCATACGTGGGAGCCAGGACCACAAAGCTTTTCTCTAGCTCATAGCGGCAGAGTCGTTATGCACCTCTTGCCAACAACGCCCTCGACGCTATCGAATTCCAGCGGGCGAAGCTGATGCTCCAGGATAGAGTTCAGCAAAGGCATCCAGGAGCACGAAAGGGAGAGTGGGCAGCCACCATCCCTGGCCTCGGACAATCTGCAGAGTGCCCTGCTAGATGCCAGCGGGCGACGATGCTCCTTGCATCGGTTCCTCAAGAGGATACAACGCCGGTCCCTTGCGTGACGAGCCTTGGGAGAACCATGGGAGAACCGAACCTTGAAAAGCACCAAACCGCGACTCGAGTGACCGAGAAAGCAGACCGAAACGAAACAACGGTGTCGACATCTGTCGGGTTGGCTCTTCGTCTTCGTCCAACGGACCTCCTGCCCGGGGCTGCTGCGAGTTGTGGTCCCAACTCAACGAACGACCTGCCCCAGAACGGTCCTTTTGCCAGATGTAGTCCCGTCCAACGATGGAAGTGCGTGGCCGGGTGCATGACCGGCAACAAGTCGGTTGGTTCCTGTGGCTTCGAGTCGTTGCTTTGCTTGGCCGCCCACCCCCCCAAGTATCACGGGCTCAACGTCAACCCCCACAAGTTTTCACCACGAACAGCCAAGACACCGAGAGGCAAACAGTCCTTCGAAGCCGAGCTGCCTCTCCATCGTCCCCGAACATCTCGTCCCCCGTCTCCGTACTCCTACCTCTCCGAGAGAGACCCGGCGCCACTTAGCCTCATCAAGAACCAAACCCACACACTACCGCCCGGGCACCCGCAGCCCACCAAAACTCCTCAAAGACGGTCCACCTCCGCACAATGACCCGCATCCTAGAGTCTCGATTCCTCGGGGCTGCTCGCAACCCACCGGCCGGTTG